GCTCTTAGGATAATTTCCAAAGACTTCAAATGGTTGCTTCTTAAATAATTTTAGCAGTTACTACATGTTTCACTGGGGAGCAGGTCCACAGAGCTCCTAACTGCCATTCCATAAATGGAACTCCCAATGTGTCCTGTACATATAACTTTGATTTGTTGACCTGACAATATTAAATGTTCCAAATAATCAAAAACATGAAGAAACGATTTTTAAAAACAGCCCGAGACAGCCTGTGTTGTCACAGGCCCGTGGCACTGAGATGGAATAATAATCTTTCTGCGTCCAAAGAAGAGCTCCAAAGCGGTCTGACATTGGAGTGGGTGCTTCTGGACTGCGTGGGGATGAGCACCCAGCAAACTGTGGATGTGACTGGAGACAGACTGATGGACGCCTCAGCGAGGCCCACACGGGTGGGTGAGCACTAAAGACCGATGCTCACCGGTGCCCTGGTGCTAAAGAAGCCCCTAGAACCTGGATGCTGCAAGCTTGAGTTTTGCTACCTGGCGGAAGAGAAAATTGGAGAGAAAAATACTTGCATAAGAATGATTTTCTTGCACCATGAAAATTGTGGACTGGGCTTCAGGTCACCAGTATAGGTGCAGTCAATTCTTCGGGCAAATTTAGCTGAATGGAGGGAGCTGAGGGAGAGAAAGGGGGGGCAATGAAATAGTAGAGACCTTTTTTTTTCTTATAACTGAGAGCTTAGAGCATGCTTAAATGCTCAGTGGAGGGATTTGGATCAGTGGGGAAGGCTAACAACACAAGGAAAGGAAATAATTGATGGTAAGAGATTTGGGGGACCAGCTTATTTATTATTGGAAAGACAGAGCTCAGAACTGGTATAAATCCAGTTTGTTACATTGGGTAGCTAAAATATGAGTGTATATGTATCTGATGCCTTTTATTTTTATTTTTCTTTCACTTTATTTACATTATTTTATTTTATTTTATTTTTTGGTGAAGTAGAAGTAATGGTCATCTTCCGAGAGCAAAGGGTCATTTAAAAGTTTGCATGAAGAAAGTCTGTAGAAACACACAGTGGGTACAAAGATTGCACTGACAGGCAAAGAGGTTCAGAAAGCGGAGCAGGGTGGAGGCCCTGGTAAGGCTGTGGATCATGTACAGAGGGTCTGACTGGTCTGACTTTATCATTTTTCTCCAGCTGTGCTCAGCTGCCCTGGAGCAGAAATAGAGAAGACAGACCATTGAGATCACCCAGGCTTGGGGTTATAAGTATAAGAACTTGTTAAGAATCTCTTTCTTAAAAATGTGTTTTTCTTTTATTGATTTCAGAGAGAGAGGAAGGGAGGGAGAATGAGAGGGAGAGAAACATCAGTGTGAGAGGGAAAAGTTGATTTGTTGCCTCTCACATATGCCCGAACTGGGAAGTGAACCTGCAACCCAGGCATGTGCTCCAACCTGGAATCAAACCTGTGATCTTTTGGTTTGTGGGATGATGCCCAGCTCACTGAGCCACACCAATTAGGGCAAGAAGCTCTCATTTATCTTATATAGCTGCTCTCTAAATTAAATAAATCCTTTAAGCTTTATACTACCTATTTTCCCATCCCTTTGATAATTTTTTTTAACTTATCTGGCTCTTTTCTAGATTTCCCATTTTCTTTTACAAATTCGAGGCAGACAAATCTTACATCTAGCACTTGCTGTGCGAACTTAGGCAAGTCTTGTGACTCCCCTGTGTCTCAATTTTCTCACTTGTAAAATAGGGGGAGTAATCACAGTAGGATTCCCCCCTCAGAAGGTGGTTTTGAGGATTAAATGAGCTAAGGTATATACTGTGCTGAGTATGACTTGTTGTCGTTATTGTAATTCAGATGAAATACTCAAGTTGGGAGCTGAATGAGATATGAAAGATCACATTCCGGCCTTTTTGTGTTATGCTACATTGAACAGATTCTGGTATTTCACACATTTTCTTTTTCCTTTTCCCACAAAGCCTCTAACATTGTATAGTCAGTCAGCATGAGGAAAGGCCCCAGTCTTAAATTCATTGGAAAGTCATTCTTTCTTCATCTTCTATTCAAGGCATTAATTTTTGTCTCTAAGTATCTAGAACTGGACCAGATGGGGAGCTGGCCTTTATCTACATGTCTTTTGCTTCCAAATCTATCACCTTTGACAACCTCTTCTAAAAATGCTGCACCTTTTCTTCCCTACAGGTAAACTGAAGAGTCCTCATAATGGCCAAGTTTTATAAAGTACAAAATCCTTAATTAAGCTGTAAGCCTTCTTAAGGCAGGTACTGCGATTTCTATCTTTTAATAGGCTTTGTACCCAGGAAGTTGCCCGTGTAATGTAGGATATAAAACCGGTAGATGATAATGATGATGATAGCACCACAGCTTCTCATCCTTAGTTTCCCTTACCATTGACCTCTGTGGGGACCACAGCAGGTGGAGACGGAGCGTAGCGCTCTGAGCCCAGAAAGACTGTGCCTCTATCCCTGACAAGTTGTGTCCCTGATGAGTTGTATCACCTCAAATTAAACAAACTCAACACTCTAGATTGTTCAGTAACTTATTAACAGCTTTCTCTTTTCCCCCTCTCATTCTTGTCAGCCATTGACATATGGACTCTTCCCCAGGCCATCCCTTTCCTAAAACATCCGACCCCTGCCTACCAAAAGTTAGGGTGGGAATTTCTTCTCTGTCTTAAAGTCCTTCATGCCACCACCTTCTAATCTGTCAGATGTGCCCTTCCTTCACCAGGCAAATTTATTCCATTTCATCATTTATTACACGTTTGGGAAATACCTTCCTTCAGCTCTTTGGCCCAAGCAATACCCTGCTTTGCAATGTGCTCACCTCCTTCCCCCAAGATCTGTCTATTTTTCTGCCCTTTATTCACAGTTACTGAATTCCTTTCATGTGATACCTTTCACAACTGGAAGATTTTTTCAATTCTCTCTAAATTGTAGAGATGACTTCCATTTTCTCCCAAGGCCAAAAAAATACACAACTTTTTTGCCTTTAACAAGCAGATAGTGTAGCTATCTGTTCAATGTCTGTTTGGCTGCACGAAGTCTGTGTATGGTTTATAACCAGTGCTGAAGGGGAGAGATGATCTCATCTACTTGGTTCTACACTGAGTGTAGCAAGGTAGCTACAGACAGCATAAATTTCTGATTGCGATAATGCCTCGGGAGGAAAATTAACACATCTTTAGTTCTGATGCAAATACATATTTCAGCTTTTGATTACAAAATAATGACATACACCCACCGATCACACAAAAACTTAAATACAATAAACATCTTTAAATACTTTACAAGAAAAAAGGTGGCCATTTCACATTAAAATCTTTACATGGTATCTAGTTGAAGGTACTTATTCTTAAAGGCTATGAAATACTGAAGAAATAAGGGCAGGGTGGAGCACAGGAAAGAATGAAGGAGAAAGTGCAAAATGCCTCATAAAATGCCGAATAAATGAGCGGCTTCTGATAAAATTTTATACATGCAAATCTTGAATTGTGCTTTAGAATTTTTTAAAAGCATCTTTGTTCTATAGCTTTCTGAAGATAGCTCTATATCTTAATTGAAGTCCCTCTCTGACTTGCCTAAGTTATTAAGACCCTTTTACATTATATAATTCCATATACCTAGTCTCCCTTTCTAATAAAGACTGCATTATTTTAGCAAAGTCACACATATAAAGTAAAGCTCCACTTTTTATTTTTTTAAGATTTTATTTATTCATTTTTAGAAAGAGAGGAAGGGAGGGAGAAAAAAGAGGGACAGAAACATTGATGGTCCGAGAGATAGATAGATCATTTGCCTCTCACATGCCCCCAACTGGGGACCTGGCCAGCAACACAGGCACATGCCCTGACTGGGAACTGAACCAGTGACCTTTTGGTTCACAGGCCTATATGCTCAAGCCACTGAGCCACACCAGCCAGTGTGGGGTCCATTTTTTGAAAAAATGTACCCAAACTTCCTAATGTAGGAGAGTATGATTCTCTTTCTTGGAAAGCTCTATGTTTATTCCAAGTGCCATTTCTCAAAATATTTTTAGAATCCCTCTTAGGAAACATCTTCAGTTAACCAAAAAACATGTAACAGTGAAATCTTGTTACTTTATAGAGATTTTATATATGGGGTCTGGCACACATAATACCCCTTTTTTATTACAAAATCTTTTATTACAAAATCATAAGCATGTAATTCTGTAACGTAACAGTACCACACTCAAGCACACCTTATGATGTTTTAGATGAAACGTTCAAATAAAAACTATAAATTATTACACCCATATTATTATCCTGCCACTACACTAAAGCAGGCGTCACTTCTGCTGGGCCCTGTGTGTTCACCCAACCTGTAACTTCAAGTTACATTTCTGGCTGCATCTAAAAATTATTTTACCTCAACAGGCAAAGATTTTCTACTATAAAAGATATTTTTTTAAGTGTGAAAGCATCCCGAGAGGGGCACCTCCCAATTTATTAGAAACAAAGTAGCAGGCCTTTACCTCCCGTACTCCATAAGGGCAAAGCCTCACAGCTGGACCAGGCAGCTGAGTCTGAGGGTAGGGTGAAGAATATTAGTTTTTAAGGATGATCTTAGAATGCTTTTTAAAAACAGCCACACTTCTTTATTTTCATGCTTCAGGTGATTAGATTTTATGACAATAAACCACCTCTTCAAAATCCTACAATGGTTTTATATGAAATAGGAATTTTTAATTTCCCACAAAGATTTTAGCGGGCACCAAAGTGTGTAGAGTTTCCTGCTCCCAATCTAAGCCCCCCAGGCATGTGTCAGAGAAGCATATTCTGGAAATCTGAAGTTTTGTTGAATGGCGGTGATTTAGGGGGGTGGTAAGCAGTTCTGAGCGTCTCTGTTCTTTCCCGAAACTCTACGTGTTGGAACAAATACTGATTGCATTCAACGATCGTGTTTGTTTCACAGTGTGTAACAAAGTCTGTACCTTGAGCTTTTCAGTAATTGTGAATTTTATTTTAGACACTTTTGGCACTTACAGTTCACAATGCTTGGTGTGGTTTAAGATTAATGTGCACTTTACATTCCCTTTGTCCCTTCTGAAGAAGGGGACTTCGCCTTGTATGTTGTTTGGGGGAAGAGGGGTAGGCCTCCTCCTCTGTACCTTCTTTAAGTGTTTGGCTTTATGAGATACACGCTTCCCCCCAGAATCCTGTATCGTTAAACAAAGCTGGTGAAAATTTGCCGTCACAAACTGTGTGTGCCAATCCTTTTTAGAGGCTGGTATCCCCGACTTCAGATTTAGGCTGTTTGGTCAATGCTGTCACAGGTTCTGGTGGCCCTTCCCGGCGGAAAAGTACGACTGGATTTTTGCGAGCCCACAAGGCCTCGTCCCCAGCCACCCTGCTGGTCAGACTGGAAGAAGTCATTCTGCTGCAGGCTCTCAGCCGGTTGTTATAGCCGTGTGGGTTTCGCAGGCGTTTACGCCTTCTGACCTGCAGGCCCGTGCCCTGGTTGGGCAGGGAAGCACCCGCATTCCTAGTCCGGTAACCCTCTCCCCGACTGCGCCCCAGGAACATCGATATGTTGGGGTTGCGAATGGCATAGATGACAGGGTTGATGGCTCCATTGGCCCAGGTCAGCCAGACAGCCACCACGTTGAGGAGCGAGGGGGCCCGCGCGGCCTGGGCCTGCCGGGCGGCAGCCAGCAGCACCAGGAAGCAGTAGGGTCCCCAGCAACATACGACGAAGACGATCATGATGAGTACAGTGGTGGCCGTGCGCACCTCGCTGAAGAAGCGAGGCACGCGTGCGTGGGTGGTCATGGGCCGCACGCGCACATCCGACAGGCGCACAGCCTTGCAAACGTGGTAGTGGCAGAAGCACATGAGCAGGAAAGGCAGCAGGTAGCAGGCGACCACCAGCCCTACGCTGTAAGCCGCGCCCAGCTGCGCTGGGTCCGGAGTCGTCCGGTAGAGGCAACTGTGGAAGCTCTGTGCTGCCAGGGACTCAAGGGGTGTGAGGAGCAGCTCCCAGGGCAAGGAGAAGCCCAGGGCCACCAGCCAGACGCCCGCCAGCAGTTGGAGCGCGCGGCGGCGACCGATCTTCTCCCGGGGCGACCGCACGATGGCGCAGTAGCGGTCCAAGGAGACGAGGGCCACGCTGAGCGTGGATACGATGCCGAAGCACGAGCTGAAGAAGCGGCTGGCGGTGCAGAAGCCGCGCCAGGGCCTTGCGGCGGCGGGGTCAGGCACCAAAACCCCGGGCGGCGTGAAGAGATCCAGGAAGGCGGCGGGCAGGCACAGCAGCGCCGTGAGCAGGTCCGACAGGGAAAGGGACAGGATGAAGGTGTTGGTGACGGTGCGGAGCTGCCGGTGCTTCACGATCGCCCCCATCACCGCGCAGTTGCCCAGGCTAGACAGCAGGAAGATGAGCAGGAGGACCAGCGCCTGGGCCGCCACCACCGCCGGCCTCCCCTCCGCCCCAGCCGGCCCGTGCCAGCCGAGGCCGCGGCCGGTCGAGGCGCCGGTGATGTCGCCCTCGGCCCCGCGGCTCTGGTTCCCCAGCGCCGCGGCCGCTGCGGTAGCGGTGGTGCCGAAGGAGAGCACGGCCGCGGTCTCCGCGGAGGAAGTCTCTCCAGGTGTGCCGGCGGCGGAGAGGGCGCCGGGGCGTGGGCTGCGGGACGAGGCCGCGCACACGGGCTGGCGACCCAGCGGCGGCTCCATGGGGCTCCGCAGCCACCGCAGGGCTGCTCATTCCGCACCAGGGGAGGCGGCAGCAAGCCAGTGGGTGGCTTGGCCTGGGAGACAGGCCGCTGCCGGTAGTCGGGATCTGCCGGAGGGCTGGCTGTCGCCCAGGACCCCGAGGAGCCTCAACGTGGGTTCCAGGCGTTGCTGCGGGAACCGCCTGTTTACGCAGGAGCGTGGGGCGGGACAGCGGCCAAGTACCTTCGGAAAAGCCAGCACACTTCACCTCTTCCCGAGGCTGCTCGGCCCCGAGTGTGGGCTTTAGAGAATGCCAGATCGGCCTCTGCAGGGACCACTGGCCAGATAAAGTGGGAGTGGCTCTCATATAAATGACCAAATTCAACAAGGGTTCATTCTCAGGCTCTCTCCTTGAATACTAATGTCGTTCAGGGTGGCCTTCGTGGGGGACACTTTGCTCCCCGTGGGTCTTTTCGGCATGTTCAGGTAGGGAAGCAAACAAGAAACTGAAGTGAAAAACTTTCCAAATCTGGAGACCCTAAACTGGAGGGGCAGAAAAATTTAAACCAGGCGTTCTCAAACTTGAGCATGTGCCGGAATCACCTAGAGTTCTTGCTGAAACATAAGTGACTGGGCCCGCAGATTATCAGATTCAGTGGGTCGGGGGTCCTGTCCTAGAATTTGTAGCTCTAACAGCTTCCCAGGTGGTTGGTGATGGTGTCCCTGGGCTGATGACCACACTTTGAGAACCACTGCTGTACTGTGCTTATTAAAAGGCAAATTCACTGGCTGACTCCCAGGATCACTGAAGACAGGCCCATGAATCTGAACCCTGCAGGTGACTACGACACAGGTGTTTTGAGGAGCTAGGTTATGGACCTTGGAGGCAGGATGTCACCTTGTTTTAAAGAGCCTGGATCTCAGGACCAAAACTGGCTCACACATGTGGCAGGGGAGAAGGGAGAACGATTGTTCCTTGCCCTGTGGCTTGGCCTCCATCAGTTCCCTGGAATGTGACCTGTTCTAAGGGGCACCAACTGGGCAGTCACAGAAGCAGCTCCAGGTAGGTATCTGGTTGGGAGACATAGGAACAGAGAAGGCCTGACTCCCCAGGGAAGCTTCTGGACATGTCGTATTTCTGGACATGTCTTCTAATGGGGAAAAGTGTGACCAACCCTCAGGTTCTCCAAGGCTGTGGTTTGCAACGCGTGGACCAGCTGCATCAGTATGATGTGGGAACTTGTTGGAAATGCAGATTCTCAGGCCCTACCCAAAATCGGAATCAAAATTCTGGAGTAGGGCCCAGCCACCTGACCTGCAAGTGATTCTGACACACAGTCAAGTTTGAGAAACACTGTGCTGAAGAATGATGAGTACATTTGCAGATCTTAAAGTCAATGGTGTGCTTTGGTTGCTTATTTCAGTGAGGAAAAGTATCTTACTAGAAATTTACAGCATAAATAGGAATTCATAGGTAAACCAAGATTGGGTTTCTCAGCCTCTGCATAGAATTAACCTTTTGAGACAAATAGTTCTTTCTTCTGGGGGCTACCCTAGGCATTACAGATGTTCAGCAGTATCCCTAGCCTCTCTCCTCAAGATGCCTGTAGTGACAACTACAAATGTCTCCAGATGTTGCCAAATGTCCCCAGGGATGAAGGGTGGGGGGAATCAACCCACCTGAGAATCAATGAACTACGACAAAAACATAATAGATTAATTTATTAAGCAAATCTCTGTGGTAAGTTTTCAGAAACAACAAATAAGGATTCCAGCTGAAAGAACTTTAGTCTTAGGTAAGCACAAATATATTACAATGTTGTGTTGTTAAAAAAATACAGAAATTTAATGTATGGAAGCAACTAACTCTTCCTAGGGTAGCTGTTGGAGACTTCACATGAGAAGTGACATTGGACTCTTCGAAAGAAAGGAAAGGAAAAAAAGAAAGAGGAAAGAAAAGGAAGGGAGAGAGAAAAAGAAAGAAAAAAGAAAGAAAGAAAAAGAAGGATGTTTGATCCATGTGCAATGTCTGAGGGTTAGGATCTAAGTACTTTACTCTTGGGTACTGGTGAGAAATTTCTGTATCTTAAGGTACATCAGGGTAGGGAGTGAAGAGGGAAATAAATAATAAAAACAGATTGGGACCCTCTTAGAAAGGCCTGGTGTGTAGTAGACAGGATGAAGTACAGAGATCAAACTTCACTGGGAGAAGACGGGGTTAATGGCACTAGCCACTGAAAGAGTTTCAGCAAGAGATGGCCATGATCAGGTATGGTTCCGAAAGACAAGAGTGACCTCACATTCTCCTGGTTTCCCTCCTTCCTTGTTTGCCTCAGTGTCCTCAGCCAGTTCATCCTCCCCCACCTACCTTTAAATTCTAGAGGCCTTCAAGGCCCAGTCCTGGGCAGCTCTGGACTTCCTCCTTCATCCCAATCACACCCACAGCTTTGAAATCTATATTTTCACAACTCTAAATTACGTCACCAGCTCCACACCATGTATCTTGCTACTTGGCATTGCCCCACAATGTGCAAAGCACCTCAAACACAACATGACCAAAATGGAATTCATGATCTTTCCTAAAAACCTTGGTCCTCAATATTTTGCATCTTCAAACATGGCACCACCTTCCACCTAGTTTACTAGCCAAAAACTTAGGGTTCTTTCTTGATGAATTATTCTCCCTCATTTTCAGCCCATATCCAATCACCAAGACCTGGGAATTTTACTTATTAAGTATCTTTGTATCCACTCATTTCCTCCATCACTTGATCCTCCTCTTGAATCTTAGCTCGAATCTTCTCTCTGGACTGCTACTGTTACTTCCTAACTGGGTCTCCCCATATCTAGCCTCTGCTCTACACTATAGACAGAGTGCTCTTTTGTTTTCAAATTTGTAAATTTTTATTTATTTGTTTGGTTTTTTTGTTTGTTTGTTTGTTTAAGAGAGACAGGAAGGGAGGGAGAGAGAGAGGGAGAGAAACATCGATGTCAGAGAGAAACACTGATTGGCAGCCTTTCGGCCTGACCTGGAACCAAAACCACAACCTAGACATGTGCCCTGACCAGGAATTGAACCAGTGACCATTCACTTTGCAGAACAATGTGCCACACCAGCCAGGGTGGCTCAATGCTCTTTTAAACAAAATTAATCTGACCATCCCACCCATTTATTTAAACACTAATGGCTTTCTCCTTTTGATTTAGGGTAAGAACCCCAATCCTTAATATTTACAAGGCGCTGCATGATTTCACAACTCCTTCCTCTCTAGTCTGATTTTGGGTCACTTTGCTCCTTTTTAGCTCACACTGGCCTTTTGCGAGTTCCCTAGGACACCTGCACCTGCTATCCCTTCTGCCAGGAAAGCTCCAGCACCACCACTTCCCCGGTCCCCGAGGATCTCCGTCTCCGAATGAATGTGAGTCTCTCAGGGGAAGCCTTCCTGGGCTCGGACGACATACCACTGTTTATAATTGTGCTTTTGTGACTATTGCTTGCCTCCTGTGGTAGACTGTAGGCTCTGTGAAGCCTAGAATTTTGTCTATTTGGTTTTTTTTATTAGATTTTTAGCACTTAGCACTCTGGAAAACTGCTAGAAACAGAAAAAAAAAAATTTAAGTGACTGTCAGAGAAGAATCTGGCATCTGGGAGGCCAGTTAAGAAAAGGCATTGTAATGGCCCACAGGAGAAATGAAACAGTCTGAACTCAGGCATTTACAGCAGAGAGAGGAGATTTTAAGGGTAGTGTATGGATGGAGGTATTTGGATATAAGCAACACAAATACGGCACTGTCTCCCTTAAGCAAGAGAGAAATTTGCTGGAAGGACAGGGGAAGTTCAGATTACAAAAGGACAGTCTGACAGCCAGCCCCAAGAACGAGAGCAGTCAGGGCAGCTCTGTGGGTAGACAGAGCAGAAACTAACTGAGGGTGATCTCTCTCGGGCTCTATCAGCATAAGTCTGTGTCTGCCATTGTGTGGACCTTCTGTCATTTCTCTCAAAATCCCAGGACCTGGGGAAGGAGCCTGCTTGGCGCGCCCCGTGTGTGCCTGGTGGTCCCAGCAAGGCTACATTCTGGGGGTAAACCGTTTCCCAGGGAAAGGAAAGTGTTGATAAAAGAAGGAGAAAGCTAGTGATAGTGTCATTTTTTTAGAGAGAAGTGATTTCTTTACCATAGAATGTTATAGCATTACTTTTGTGCAATTAACTTTGGTCAGGGAATTCCATCACAGACCTACTAACTGGGTCTAAACAGACTTGCTGGATGGCACAGCCAGTTAAGATGAATTAGTTACCATATTTTTCGGACCATAACATGCACCTAGGTTTTAGAGGAGGAAAATAGGAAAAGAATTTTGAAGCAAAAAAATGTGATAAAATATTTAATAACATGAATAACATAATATTTCACCAATGTAAATGTAAACAGAATTCAACAGCAGCACTAACAACCATTATTCCTCCCAAATTTGGGGCAGGGGAGTGTGTCTTATAGTCTGAAAAATACAGTCCTTCAATTTCTGTCTACTCAGAAAAAGAGATACTGCTCACCTTCAACAGAGTCTAATGAATACTGAGAACACCACATATTGAATAATTTTTAATACTTCATTTTACAATGACTGATAATGATCAAATTTCTTTTTAACAGGCTCACAGACAATTTACTAGCAAGAATACCAAGTGTTAACCATTCTTTCATGTTTTCGATCTAGCTGGCCTGTAGTCGACAAGTAAAAGGCTTGTCACACTATAGTGGCTCACTGGTTGACTTCTACTGAGGACCCGTATTTCAACAATGCCGTACACAGTCCCTCTCATAAGAGCCTTAAAGATATAGCAAAAGTCCAACTACAGGTTGGTCTTCTCACATCAGTTTATAGACCTCAGTTCCCTAGGTAAAGCAGGCCTTCACCGGACAGAGAGCGCCTGGCCACAGCCGTAACGGGCACCCAGAGAAGCTGGCCCGACCCCCTCCTTCCCAGGCTGTGTACGTCAAGGGTTGAGTACCTTATAATGATAATCCATTTCCCTCACAAACAACTTGGACAGAGGGCATTATTTCACTAAAAAATTGGAAGACTAAAATAAGTCACTGTTTTGAGAGCTACAACTGAAGCCATTATGCCAAGAGCATTTAGAAACAGTATTAGAATAATTACCATAGAGTACTTTTTCAAAACAAGAACTAAGGTTTTGGCTTTACCTGATATGTTAGTGACTAGAAAATTATTTTGACTTTTTGGCATTGTGTTGCTAGACATGAGATTTATACGTAAATAGAGGCAAAGATGAGGTACAATGACTTTGTACTTAGGCACCGTGTCCTAGTTTAGGAAGAGTGGAAGTTGGCTTACATGTACAATTTGGATATAGGTTTCCACATGATTAAGAAAAAAATTACTTAAAGAAAACAACTGCTTGAAAAAGAAAGCCCTTCAAAATCCCAGAAGTCACTTGAGAAGAAATCCATCCCGCAGTGGGTCACCGCCTTCTACTGTGAAACTCGCCACACCTGTGTAATGGGCTTGCCCGGACACTTCCACTATAACAGCATTGTAATCACCGCACTTTGCTTCCTGGGGAAAAAAAAGGATGAAAATAGTACAATATCAAAAGACTGCACTCACACCTGGCTCTAAGTCATACTGTGGATTTTTATCATTTTAAAGAAAACCCAAGGGTTCATCCAACAGGCAATGAATGGAGAGCGACCTGATCAGGTCTGGGTTTTCCCTAAGTTGGGCTGTAGGGTGGGAGACAAACTGGAGAGAAGAGAAAACGTGCAGAACCCTTTAAGAGGTAAGCTTAATTCAGTGATTGAATCTAGAGTCACAGGTAACTTTTAAGTGAAGATGGAGAAAAGCAAAACACGGAGATACTGTGGAGGTGGAACTGACAGGCCTGGGCCCCGATGTACGTGTGATGCGAGGAAGAGGAAATATGTTAAATGTGACTACAGCTTTTAGCTTGAAAGTGACGTCGACTCTACCATTAACCAAGATGGGGAATGAGGCAGGAGAGGCATGTTTAGGGAAGGGGGGAGCACTATTTAACAAGTTGAATGTGCAGTATCTCTGGGATAACTTTGAGACGCATTTACTGCACAGTTGGGAACACAAGTGTTAGACTCAGGGGAGAGGCCCAGGGTAGGCATGGCAGGGAGGAAGGTTTGGAGGTCATCATCAGTGGGCGACTGAGAGTTAAAGCTTCAGAAGTGGGTGAAATTGCCCAGGGGCATTAAATTACAGAGGAGATGAGAAAGGAGCTAAGGATAAAATGCTGGGGCCGGGAAAGGGAAGGAGCAGACATTGTCAGAGAGCCTGAAGGAGCCCAGACAGAGAGGAAAGGTCAGTGGTGCAGGAGGGGATGCTCAGGAAAGTGACGTTAGTAACTATTACACAAATACCTTCAGATCTTAACTGCAGCGTGTCTTTAATTTCTGATTTTTAAAAAGGAGAATAACTGAAGCTTAAAGCAAAATGTCAATGATCAGGTTAGAGTACAGTAATTTTACTATCATGTTATAAAGCTGCCATATAACAGAAAGCCTCACTGAAAACTTGCTTTGTCTAAGAGCAGTATAATGTAATGCTCAGCAGTGTGGGGTCTGCTCAGAAAGACCTCACTCCTAGTCTGGGTCTGTCACCTAAACGCTCAAATTCTCCAATTTATCACCTATTAAAGAATGATAACAGCACTGACTTCCTGGGATTCCTGTGGAGCGATGGTGTGCACACAGCACAAAGTGCGTAGCTTGGAAATGGGCATGTGGTGAAACACCCAGTAAATGATGTGGAGCGGGGGTGTCGAACTCAGTTTTCACTGGGGCCACATCAGCATCATGGTTAACCTTCAAAAGGCCGAATGTAGTTTTAGGACTGTATAAATGTAAGTACTCCTTACCTAGGGGCAAGGAACTCTACATTCGGCCCTTTGAAGGCAACCATGAGGCTGATGGGGACCATGTGGTCCCCAGTGAAAATGAGTTTGACACCCTGATGTAGACTCTTCAATTGCAGACTTGAGACAATGTATTCTAAATTTTTGCACACAACATAAATGGTTTGGTATCTCATAAGTTCATGTACTATATACGAATGCCTAACTTAAATAACTAAAGTTCAATACTCAGAATAATAACCAACCTTTAAAAAGAGCTATCTTGGGATATAAAAGTCTTTGTTAAAATAGATTGCTATGTTAAAGGACTCTTTGTGGCTAGATTCTTTTACTAGATGTAAACAAGTCATCCTATAGATTTCATTTATTAATATGAGTAAATTCATTAATTAGCTCTATTAGCATGTTTAATATCTGACTGCATTACAAAAATTCTACTTCCTGCAACTTTTCAGGACTTTCACATCCTGTTATAAAATGGAACACTCTTATAGAACAAAAACAAACAAACAAGTTCAAACCCTAATTTAATGGTTCTCAAACATTTTGGCCCCAGAATCCCTTCATACGTTCTTAAGGTCTGAAGACCTCAAGAGAGGTTTTGTTCACTTAGGTCATATCTATTAATATTTGTTATTTTGGTAATTAAAGATATTTGTTCATTAATTCATTAAAAAAATAAAGTCATTACAAGTTAACATAAACAAAAAAATTTTGTAATGTTTGCCCAAACAAAAAAATATTTAATGAGAAAAATGGCATTGTTTTACATTGTTGCAAACAGACAGCAGCTAGGTCCCCAACCTGCTTCTGCATTCATTCAGCCGGGCCTCTGGAGAACTCCACTGCGCATGCGTGAGAGAATGAAAGCGAAAAGCAAGGAATGCCTTGGTGTTACTATGAGTGTAGTTTTGAGCTCTGGACCCACGGGAAGGACCGTGGGAACCCCTCAGGGCTCTTCAAACCACACTTTGAGAACCAACATCCAAGCCGAACGGTTGTCACAGGCCTGCTTTACAATCCTCTTCTGAATGCTGAGTGAAGAAACTCATTTCACACCCACTCACACCTCTTCCGTCTCAAAAGTGACACAGTTAAAGGAGCCTCGGTGCCACTCACCCTCACGGCCTTCCCGGTGAAGACTGAGCCGGTGGCGCTGCTTTTGAAGGCTCTGGTCTGGCCCGGCTCCAGAAGCCCTTTGTGGCACTGCAAGGCAATTCGCGCTGTCACTCCTGAGCCGGTAGGACTTCTGTCCACCTGTTTCAGAATAAATGCAGAGAAGCATGTTCAGAGCGCTCCAGTTTCACACTGCATGGCTTCTGTGCCTGGAAATTACAGTTTTAATACCTGTTCATCCGCAAACACACAAATGTTGGTGGTTGGCTCCTCACTATAAGTGTCTTTTCCATCAGTTAATATAGTTCCATACAGAAAGGCAAGGTCTTCACTATCAGGATGAGTAATTTTAAACTGCAAATAACAAAGATTGTCAACCACATGTAAATATGTTGATTCAAATATATTTTTTAAATTTTTTATTGATTGATTTCATTTTTAGAGAGAGAGAGAGGAAGGGAGAGAGAGACACATTGATATGTTGTTCCACTTATTTATGATTTATGCATTCATTGGTTGATTCTTGAATGTGCCCTAACCAGGGATTGAACCCACAACCTTGGCATTTTGAGATGATGCTGTAGCCCACTTAGCTACCCGGCCAGGGCTAAATTTATATTTCAAATAACACATATGGGGTACTGTTAAACATAACTTTTTTATCTTTATCATTTTAAAAATACCTTTTGAGTCAAGGTACCAAATGCTAGAAGCAACATTTTTGTCTAGATAAATAAAGAAAGTTTTATTAAAAGTTATGATTGTTATTCTCAGAGTCCTTCCTAAGGGGTCGCCCTGCACATATCTCTAGAATGGCCCTATTTGGTACACACAGGGCCTAAGCATGCACACTCCGCGGCACGGGTCCGTGGCTGCTCAGACAGGCAGAGCTGAGACAATCACATCCTTACACTGGGGAGCCCGAAGGGATCAGGCAGAAAAAAATCAGGCAATGAGAATCTAGAGCTGAAGTTAATACCATGGATAGAGACAAGACTGTGAGAAGCCACAAGCAAGCAAAAGTTACAAGGATGCAGAAGCTATTAGGTCACAGAAACAACTGGACAAAAAAACAAGATTTATTGTAAAGGATGAAGTCAGTTGGTGTCATAAAACACAGCAGGTACACGCAGAGAGAGGCAGGTGCAAGCAGGATAACTAAGTCACTCACGTCCAGGGCAGAGAATGGTCAGCCCAAAGGTACACTGCTTCCTGTTCCCAGAGGTCTGGTGATTTAATTTTTCCTGGATTTTGGTAACTTCTGCTACTTTGACCAAGATGAATGTAATCTTACTTCCAAGAGTATCTTTACGGATAGTACATTCGACTACCCCTTACCTGTCATTGAAAGTAGTTGAAGAGGTTTGGATTCTTAGAATCCAAATACTCCATTTATAAGCAGGTTACAGAGGCCTGCATATTGGATCTTGGTTCTCTGTTCTCTTAAAGCCCCTATCGGCCCCCCCTGCCCCCCCTCCACTTCAGCACCATCCAACACCACGTGGTTCACTGGTGTGCTTCCCTCCCTAGACCAAGCTCCCTGAGGGTGAGCTTCATTCTTCCTTTGTGCCTCCAGCATCTAGCATAGTATCTGACATACAGTTGGCTCTGGGTAAGTAAGTGCTTGTTAAAAGAATGAATGGATGAAGATGAATTTATATCATACTAATTTCAGCCCAGCTCCCAATGGCCTTTCCCTAAATCTAAATTAGCAAATGAATGGTCAGCAATTCACAAAGTAGTTCGACTGCTTGATTCATCCCTAATAAAAGTTTTGCTCATATTTTTACAGAATCCTTCCTTCAAGTCTGTCTTTCACAACCTTAGTGAGAAGTTCAAGATTTGATGAGAAGTTCAAAAATTACTTCTATTAAGAAAACCATGGCTTTTCCTTTTGATTTCATTAAAAATAAGTTGACATGATTTTAATGCCAAACTGTTAACTTACACTATTAGTTGTCTGCTTAACAGAACAGAGAACTGATGTCAATTCAGAGCTTCAGGAGTTACAATGATAAAACGATTCTACAGATTGGTATTGATGGTTCCAGAAAAAAAATAATTTAAAGCAGGATAAACTATATGTTTTAACTTGTTATTTAAGGTTATAAATTAAGTTAAAGCTTGAGATATGTTTAATTGGCTCATTATTAGCACAAGTATATTAAATACTATCATTCATAAGTTATCTGTTACTTAGAATAATAATTAAATTATCAAATACTAAAACATTCAAACTGTATATGAGTTATTCGTAGGTCCCAATTTCAAGGTAAAATGGCAGACTGGCACTAGAAATGAAAGAATATTTGAAATTTGTTTATTATCTAAATTGATTTTATAAGAATAGTTTTCCCAAGCGAAAACTAGAGTTACTTGAGTAGTTATTTAATAATTTCTTAGCAGTATAGGAAAATTCATTGATTAGGAATTAATGTTCTCTGCAAATAAGAGAAAGACTGATCAGACTTAATGAAATCTAATTTGTAACCTATATTTTATATTCATTATTTTCAAGTTTTGTAGAATGATCATATATGGCAAAACATGCATTTCAAGTTTGTGGAACACTATATTATGATACATATACTATATTTTTAAGTAACCACAAATTTATTAGTATGTATGTATTATTAAAGTTAATAATAGTTATCATTATTGAACACTCATTATGAGCTTGGCACTACACTATTCTAAACCTCTACAAAGCAGGTATTTCATAATTTCCATTTTACAGATTGGAAAACTGAGGCACCTGAGGATACGTAACCTGCTCAAGGTTATAAAAGTTACAAGTGGTTGCTCTGGCTGGTGTGGCTCAGTGGTTGAGTGCTGGCCTGTGAATCAAAGGGTAACTGGTTCAATTCCCAGTCTAGGGCACATGTCTGGACTGTGGGCCAGGTCCCCAGTAAGGACCAAGTAAGAGGCAACCACGCACTGATGTTTCTCTCTCTCTCTTTCTCTCTCCCCTGCCCTCTCTAAAAAATGAATAAATAAAATATTTTTTAAAAGTAATAAAATAAGCCCTGGCTGGTGTAGCTCAGTGGATTGAGCACGGGCCTGTGAACCACACGATCGCCGTTCAATTCCCAGTCAGGGAACATGCCTGGGTTGCAGGCCAGTTCCCAGCAGGGGACACACGAGAGGCAACCATACATTGACATTTCTCTCCCTCTCTCCTTCCCTTCCCCTCTAAAGAAAAATAAATAAAATCTTTAAAAAAAAAAGTAATAAAATAAAATAAAAGTTACAAGTGGCAAAGCTAGAACTCATAAGTAGTCATGCTCTATAGCCTAAGATTCAAACCAGTACCCTATTCTTAATACAACTAATCATTTAAATACAAAATATAGGTATTTAAATTTCTGCGTAAACATGTAACTGATATTTCCTTCGTGACACAGAGAAAGGCGACCGTTCTGATGGCAGCGACGGCACCGACCTGAGCTTTCACTGCTTCTGTCACTGCACTTGCCGCATCCACAAGGTCCCTGGTCTTCGAGGAACAGACATCCAGCCCCAACTTCTCGGCGCTGACAAACGCATAAAACGCACCACCGTATGCAACATCCACCACCACCTGTCCACGCCCAGGAACATCCACCAGCACATCTAAAAGAAATGTGTTTGCAAATGAGTTTGTGCTACAATTGTGACAATAAAAATCAGAGAATATGTCATGCGTGTATGTTGCAGGTATGTGGAGGATCTTTTCTCCCTGAAAAAAAAAAAGGAACGAAGCCAAAGTCCATCTTCAAAATAAGCATCAAGTAAATAATGATAAACCTTCAGCTAAGTGTGACTTCCTGCTTTTAATTTGATGTTTGCATACATTATGCACGTGAATGCCATGTTTTCTTAAGTTACACATGCCTATTTGTTAACTATTCTGAGAATGTTTTTTCTAGGGAACATCATGAAGGCAGAGAGAAGAAAACCCTGGGACACCAATGTGTGAAAATTATGAAGGAAAATGTAAGTTCCCTCTCATACTACTAGGAAGGGTTTTATTTTATTTATTTTTACAAAAGATTTTATTTTTAGAGAGAAGGAAAAGGAGGGAGGAAATGAAAACGAGAAACATCAATCGGTTGCAATCTGGGACCAAACCCACAACCTGGACATGTGCCCTGACCAGGAATTGAACCAGCAACTTTTCGCTTTGTGGGACAATGCTCAATCAGCTGATCCACACAGGTCCAGGCAGGCAGGGTTTTAAATAGTGAGGATTTGGAGTCCTATTTACAAATTGGTTTTTTACAGCTCTAAAGTTAAAACAAAATGAAAAAAAGATATTTTTCCTATTCCTATATGTTATATACACTTATTCACTTATACATTTCATCCCAGGAAAGCATCCTGCAGGCAAATACTGAGAACAAAGCTATTGTAGAATCACTGGCCTTTAGGGTGTTATTTTGCATCAGGGTTTTAATGAGTATTTTAAGTGTCTAACATACCCAAAGTTTCACCTGAAGGTCAGTTGTTTGAAATCCTGAATAGGTATTTCCAAAGGAATGGGGCTGGATGATATTTTGGGATCTTATAACTGTTTTCCCCTCTCTCACATTTCCCTCTCTTCCTCCAGTTCAAGTGGGCTTGGTTATCGCAGCATCTGGGGGAGGCTTATGGCACAGGAGAAAGCAGATTTTGTGGAAAACTAGGGTCTCAGGGGAAAAAGATTTGTTGTCAAAGGAGTGTTCTGAAGGGAGAAATATTCCTCCTGGTCAGTAGAGAAATTGGCTCTGGACTGAGAAAAGAGGCTGGAGGTCCTGAGTACAGAGCACCTGTCTTCCCCACAACACCATGGAGAGGCCATGGGGGCGGCGGGGGCAGGGAGAGGGCAGATTGTCAGAGGCAGCAAAAAGGAGGAAGGCAGGGGCAGCGGCCACATGGAAGGGGGAAGATGATGCTTCCCTGGTAACCTGTGCAAGCTGAGGACCAAAAGGTCCTCCTCTCCAAGGCCTTGGCATATACATATCAGGAAAAGGGGCAGCAAGTGGAGGGATGAAGCTGAGCCGGGTACAGTCTCAAATTCGTGAGTGAAGTTGTGAAAAATAAAATATTTCTTGTATTCCTGAGTTAACACAGTCATGCAAAGGTTCCAGTGTGCTATCAGTTACAGGCTAGCCGACAGAGCCCTCTTTATATGTGATGTGTGAAAATACAGAACATGTATCACCAAAAGAGTAAAACATGTCTGTGGAACTTGACAGCAAAACTGATGAAAAATGTCTTCATCTGGGTGCTGGTACAACATGAGAAGCACATCTGATGAAAGGAGAATAAGGAATTAGATGAAAATAAGGAATTGCAAGAAAGCTAAGTGTGTCTTTGGGGTCCTCATGCATAAAGTGGAATTGCTATTCCCCTCACAAAAAAGGTTTCTTTTGAGAATTCCATGTGATAATGTGTGGGGAGTGCTTGGCACAGATGAGAAATGCAATACATGTTAATATTAAAGCCAAAAGTTTAGTTTCCAATGGGAATAGGACTCTGAAGAGGACAAGATGTTTACATTTGTCAATCAGCATGTCCTCTAAATCTCATTTTAGTTACTCAACAAATGTTGACTCTCTCCTATTCTAGCACTTGAACATAGTGAACAAAACTCGAAAGTTTTCATTTTAGCAGGTGGAGTGGAGGTGCTCAGCAATTCTCCGGGGTGGGCACTGTTGTCATGTTCCCATCACAGACACGGCACTGAGGAGTAGAATCCCTTTCATGATGTCACCAAGATGGGGAAGGGCAGAGCAGTGATCTTGGTTGAACACTGTCAGTCTGCCTTTTTTTGTATAGTTCTAAGTAGAGAATTTAGGATTTCGTTTTAATGACACAAAGCGACCATAATGCTCACTGATTATTGTACAGTTATGCGGCGATGCTCTCAGGAACTACTGTGTTTACAGGGTTGGTTGCCCCTGCCATGACCATCCCAAACTGAAGTGGTGGTCCTGCTGCCTGCTGTCCTTTCCCCCCAAATCTTCAGTGCTTCCCTCTGCTCCTGGCACAGCGTAGTTAGCCAAGTTAGTTAAACTGCTGAGGTTCTGCAGATGCAATCCTAACGCAGATGTGACACCGTTCTCTCCCTAAAGGAGAAAGTGGCATCAATTTGCTCTAAGACAGACAAATACTTGGGCTATTATGGAATCATTCAGAATGAGGCTAATCCTGAATTCAAATCCTAGAGGAAGATCAAGACCAGTTGACAGAATGATTTGCATTACTTAAAGACTCTGAAAGAAAGAGGTGATAACCCTGCTCCTCTCTGGACTAAGTTACCCACCAACTCACTTCCAATCATGACTACTAAAGCATCCTCACCAATACAATTCAGCCCTTTGGAGGGATGTCCCTCTATGTAAGGATGATAGTTATTAGACAGCTGTTTTACAGGACATACAGCTTCAGTACTGGGGAGGCCAGAGGTTCAGCACACCTAGAGAACTAACTAGAAACCTTGCATATTCTGTAGTCTGTCTCTAGGAACACACACATACACATGCACACACACTTAAATTCTAAGTAGTGCTTTATACATGCTCATTTAATCCTCACAAACATTCCATGAGATAACACACAAAAAAGCATAGAGAGGGTTAAGTAATTTGAATAAGGTTGCACTGCTTCAGGGGTTGTCAGACTTTGAACCCAGGCAAAGTCTGTTCCTGTTTTCAAAGAGTAAGAACAGAGACATCCACCCCTATTTAAACGATTTATAAATGGCCTAGTTCATTCTCACTTAATTTCCCCCCAAGAAGCGGGGAAGCATTTTTTACAGATGAGTTTTCCTAACTCACTTTTAGTAACTTGTCAGGGGGTATGGTGTGACCACCGAGGGTATTCTGAGCAAGCCAGGAACCCAGTTAATAAATTGGTTGTTCTTTGCTTTTCCCTTGACCCCTGCAGACATTGCTTTGTCCCACTGTGAAATCTTTAGGAATGCCTGAGAGTGGGGGAACTAGATGCTAAGAGAGAAACGCGGAATTCTGTGCTTCCCAAGGCTGTCAAGACCACAGGCCCATACATCTGGGGGGGCAACTGAATTGCATGCACTGCACAAATCTGGAAGGCTAAGATGCTGACACACACCCACAGAGACTTAGAATTACCATTTTATCAACTGCAAAGGCTCTGGGGGTGGCTTAGTTGCTCCATGTGGGTTCCAGCCCAGAGATATAGTGTAGTTAGTTGTGTCTCGGGTTGCAGCCCAGGGCTAGGAGGGGCCCTCTGGTTACCTGTGGCCAGTGCGAAGGCCGGGACGCTGTGGAAGCGCACCCGGCCGCGGCTGAGGCCGCCCTCGCACTCCACGAAGGCGGCCACCAGCCCGCACGGGCAGTGGATGTTGACGCGGGCCTCGTGGGCGCCGGCTGGAGGTGCTGGCACCAGGCCGAAGTCGAGCGCAAAGCGGCCCAGCGCCAGCACAGCGTGACCACACATGGAGCTGTAGCCTTCGTTGTGCAGAAACAAAACGCCAAAGTGCGCGTCTGGTAGCTCGCTCGGCACTAGCACTGCCCCGTACATGTCCCGGTGTCCCCGGGGCTCGTATAGGAGCCGTCGCCGCACGTAGTCAAGGTGCTGGCGCACGTAGCGCCGCTTGGCCAGCAGCGTGGGGCCCACCACCTCCGGACATCCCCCCAGCACAATGCGCAGGGGCTCGCCGCCCGTGTGCATGTCCACCACGGACAGCGTCGGCGTCCCCGGGTCGTGCGGTGGCAGCCGGGGCCCCGATAGCGTGCAGTCGGTCGTCTGCATCCTGGAACACAGCCATGCGCCAGCAACGCAGCCTTCCACAAGTCCCACTGGCGTACTCTGCGAGAAATGGTTAGGACCCTTGGTCTCCTCAGGGGGCGGGGCCTCCGGGCACAAACAAGGAAGTGAGAGGCGGGAGGCGGGTCTTCGTAGCGGTTGCCCGGGTTACCAGGAGACGGAACCCCGGAGGCGTCCGTGTCCCGGAAGTCTGGGCCGTGCTGCTGGGCCGGCTAATCCTGGGACTTCTCCGGGATAATTTAGAAGCGGCCAATGGGTAAGTGGTGTTTGAGGTCCTGGGAAACGTTTGTCATTGTCCCTGGTGTTTCCCTAGGCCGCTGACTCTGGGCTCAGCCCCCGTGGGCGGCCCCCAGGTAGCGGCTCATTCTAGGTTCTTGCTCCCACCGGACCTGGGGCTGGGCCCTAGACTCTTGCGGGGCTCGAGGGTGGAGTGAGACGGGGTGGGGAAGTGTCGGCTCCAGACCTGCTGTAGAGGAGAAGCCGAGCGCGTGTGGAGAGGGGGATAGGCTAGGCTTTTGCTGCTCTGTTCAGAAGGCCACTTCAGTTTCTGTGTCAGTCCCTCTGTTTAACATTCCTGAGAATTGACTTCAAAATCTACACGCAGGCTTTAGTCTGGGCAGAAAAACAGTAAAGGAAGCAGAAGCGAATGGCCATATCCCTATGGTCTCTTGCTTCAGCATTTAACCTCAGCTAACAGGGCTTAACAAAGATTGGGAGGGGGGGTGTCAAACTTTCAGCTCTCGTTTACCGAAGGAAATGCAAGGGAAAATGAACGGACATTGGGAGTCAGGCTTTTGTTTGGCTGCTGATAAGCTGTTGTTGGTTTTCAGGACTTGGGGCTTGAAAAACTTGACATTACTTACATTTATTAAGCATCTCCTAGATGCACTGCCTGGGTAGAAGAAACTTCCGATTCTTTAACGTCTGTCTTCTCAAAAAATCTGAAACACTTCATTTCCATGTATTACTTTAGAACATTGTGATTACAATTGATTTAAAAATAAGGGCCAAATAAGGTAAAGAAGCCCATGGGGTTTTTTTAATTTCAGAAATTTGATAAATGTGAAAATATTACACTTGAGGCATTTTTGTCAGTGCTAGGTCTTTTCTTTCTTTTCCCCCTTGTAGCACAAGGAGAAAAAAAAAATCAAAAGTCTACTTGAATTTGAAAGGAGAAAGGGTATTGTGGATCAGGCCATTTCTAGGCTGTGAATTCATGAAGAATTTGGGAAATGATTGCTCAAGAATAATTGTAGAAATGTATAGTTTTCGTATTAAATTACATTTGACCTCAGTTTTGGGTTTCTTCCGCACTAGGCTGTAGGTTCCTTGAAGGCAGGGGATCTGTGATGTTCCTCTGCGGATCTTTAGTTGCCCCTAACCAGTGGAATCTGGCACTTAACCCATGGATATTGAATGACTGGATCAGTGAATGAAGGGAAACATGCCACTGATGAGAAATCCTCCCTCAATAACTTCTACCTGTTGGTGAGGTCAGAGACAATCTGTAAATCCTGAGCGGTTTGTTTTGTAAAAGAAGAGCTGCTTTCTATTTTCCCCAAGCCTGGAGAGAGGTAGGGGGTTCCCAAATATTGGTCAGAGGCCCAGTGACAGCTTGCTGAAATTTTCACTTGTCCCCAACAAAAATGACAAGAATCAGGACAATGTAATAAGTTTATTATAAAGGTGAATTATTGACTCTACGGGCCTGCCCTATATTCTGAAATTACGTCCTTTCCGCTTTTCTGGTAGTAAAATGTGTTCTATGATGAAAGAGGGTGATAATCGGTGTTGCGTGCGTGTGCACAAGCCAATGGGTTCACTGACCTGCCTGAGCAAAATGAAAAGCAGTGATTCCCCCCCCAGTCCTCTTATTATGGACAGTGTGAATCCAGTAGTCCAGACTGTCTGATTAAGGGGCGGGGCTGGATGGAGCCATAGGAGGCAGGCCAGGCTAGGCCTTGAGGTCCAGGGATACATCCTGATTTGCTGGTAGAGGACTGAGGACATTAATGATAAGAAACTGTATTAACATCAGAGTTCCAGTATAACTTTCTGCAGCGCCCCAGTGTAAAGGAGAAATTTAATTTTTAAATGCATTAAGACTTTTTGTCATACATATGATTTTTTTAAACTGAAAGTGTGTTGATATTTCTGCCAAGTGCTTCAAGTTGCACTATTTTTTATAATCACAAGAGATGTTATTGTACTGGCATTTGTTTTTAAAAAGCTGTCGATATTCAACCAGCATGCCTTGGACTTTACTGTGGGAAGACCCTGTTATTTAAAAATGGCTCGACAGAAATATATGGAGAATGTGGGGTAAGTCTTCACGTTTGTATGCTCTTTGCTTTTGAAATATTTTCACACATGGAATATCTTTTTTCTTCAGTCTACTCATTAATTTATAAAGATATGTAGGCATAATAAAATATTTGTCTTTGTATTGATTGACTGATGTATACTACATCCTTTTGACAATCACAGTTACTGTGTTTTTTAAAACATTTTATAATTTTGTAGTAATTTTTAATTTTTATTAATGATATAGTACAGTGACTTGGACATCCAAGTAAGTTCACTTTACAGTTCCAGAATACTTGTTTGCAGTTATTTTTATACACTATTAATAACTAGGTTCTTCATTTACTACTACTCAGCTAATTTAGTAACTTAGTGAAAGGACCCCTTTAAGAGCATTATGCAGATATAGGCAAATACACTGTAGATTTCTTTTTATTTTACTTATGCTTTCTCTTTGTTGATTTCTGAAAGATGCACATGGAAACATGTTTAAACATGTTTAAATGGGATATCTTATAGAGAGATTTTGGGGGGTATTAATGTTCTCCAGTATTAGCTGTGCACACTTTTTATACCTTGTAGGTGTGTCCAAGAGGACAGAGAACAAATGCACAGAAGTATTGTCAGCCGTGCACAGAGTCTCCAGAGCTTTACGACTGGCTCTATCTTGGATTCATGGCCATGCTTCCTCTGGTTTTACATTGGTTCTTCATTGAATGGTACTCAGGGAAAAAGAGGTTAGCACTTTCTGTGAATGTATCTGGATGGACTGATGTTGGAATAATTATCACTTAAAAGACCTTATCAAGTAATTACACTACTTCTCATTTTAATTATTTTTTTAAATTTATTTTGTTTTACAGAGAGGGGAAGAGAGGGAGGGAAACATCAATATGTGAAAGATACATAGGTCAATTGCCTGTCTCATGCCCTCAGCTGGGAGCCTGGCCCCCAACCCAGCATATGCCCACTGGGAATCAGACCAGCGACCTTTCACTTCCCAGGCCAGCACGCAACCTACTGAGCCACACCAGACAGGGCTGTGGTTTTAAAAGTGGTAAACCTGCTTTTGCTTTATCTTCTGGTTACTTTTCATTATAGCAAGAAAACTTAATGATAGGGCATTAATTATTCAGTAATTAATAATTATTTACTCCTTCAGTAGTTATTACGGGAAGTATCTGATGTCTATTTTACTTTAAATGAGCTTGAAGAAATTTTTTTAAAAGTATTCGATATTTTTTTAAAGATTTTTTTTTTAAATTATAAATTATGATATTTGCAGCCCTGGCTAAGTAGCTCACTTGGTGGAAGTGTCATCCCATGTACCAAAAGAATGCAGGTTCGATTCTCGGTCAGGGCACTCATTAGGTTGTGTTTCAGTCCCCTGTCGGGGTGCCTGCAGGCGGGGGATGCTCAAGGCTCCTCTTGCACACAGGTGTTTCTTTCTCTCTCTAAAACCAATAACTATACCAGGGTGTGGGGTAAAAAATTAGAATCTTTATTGCCTTTTTACAAAGAATGGCTTTTGTTTTCAAACTTTATTGTTCTAGAACAAATACTTTATAATTTAATTTGCTACTAGTTATCTTCTCAAATGTAGTTAAAATGATATAGCTGTGACCTAATTATGAAAACTTACACTAGCACATTAACTCCATAAGCATTTATGAAGCACTGTGTTCTGTGTTTAGAAGATCAAAGGAGGTGGTACCCAAATAACTGACATGGTTGATAGCCATAATCATGTAGCAGAGACGAATATATATAAATGAAATGTAATATAAATCGGTCTTGAAAGTATATAAACAAAAAGTGTATGGAAGCATTGTAAACAAAACGCTCTGGAATCATAAAGAGTAGAAGAGATAAATTGTGCCCACTAGGATCTGAAAGACAAGACGAGAAAGAACATTTTAGGCAGAGGAAACAGCTTGAACAATGGCACAGAGGTATAAACTGTGTGCCCTGTTACAGGGGGATTGGAAGGAGTCCCTCTGGTCGAAGTGTGGACTGCAAGTGAAAGAGGTAGTGAAAAGGAGAGTGGGAAGGGTAGACCGGGCCAGAATGTGAAGTTTTCTTTTTATCTTTTAATTGTGTCCTTTATTTTTTATTATTATTCTATTACAGTTGTCCCAATTTTTCTCCCTTTGCCCTCCTGCGCTCAGCCCACCCTCGGCTCCCGCAGTCAATCCCTACACCATTGTCCATGTCCATGGGTCATTCATACATGTTTTTTGACTAGTCCCTTCCCCTTCTTTCCACTATTACTCTCCTCCTTCCTTTTCTCTGGTCACTGTCTGTCTGTTCCATGTTTCTATGTCTCTGGTTCTGTTTTGCTTGTTATTTTGTTCATTAGATTGCTCTAATAGGTGAAATCATATTGTATTTGTCTTTCACCAACTGGCTAATATCACTTAGCATAGTGTTCTCCAGTTCCATCCATGCTGTTGCAAAAGGTAGAAAAGTTCCTTCTTTCTTTTGCTGCATGGTATTCCATTGTGTAGATGAACCACAGTGTTTTGATCCACTGTCTACTGATGGACACTTTAGTTGTGAAGGTTCTTGATGAGGATGGGAACTTTATTCGGATGGGAATGAGGAGTCACATTCCGCCCTATTATATTTTAGCCGCACCGGCATTAGTTCCTCTGACTTCTCGGCATCTTTCCTGTTGTGTGTCCTTTCCCTTTCCCCAGGCTCGCTCTTCTGCCTGGAATACTTTCTTGTCCCTTTCACTGCAACTTTTTGCCTCTCTGCCTTTTTTCCTTCAGGTTTCAGTTTAAGTTACACCTATTTGGAGAAGCCTTCCCAAGCCAGTGTAAAGTAGATGTACTCTTTTTTCTTTTTTAATAGCACTCTTCATTTTCTTGTTTGTTTTGTATTTAGCACTCAACACAATTTATAGTTAGTTATGTTTGTTTTCTCAATTAATGTTCTGCCCACCCTTGACTCTAAGCTGCAAGAGGGCAGTGACCATCCCTGTTGTTCTCCACGGAATCTCCGAGACCAGCACAATGGCTGGCATGTTGGAGATGCTTGCTTAGTATTTACCGAGTGAATGGTTTATCAGCAAAGGTTTACTTTTGGAAGACATCTGCGGAGGGTGGATGAGAAATCAGAGGGCTATCGGAGAAACACTGATGGCCAGATTCCAGTCCCGGGAATGGAAATGGAAGGGATGGCCAGTTGAAATAGGATCAGCACTTCTCTGCGTTCTACTTAATAAATCCATGGTGATGTCTATGTTGGAAGAAATGTTTTTTCCCCCAGAAGAATCTATAAATTAATTTTTAAAAAGAAGCTCTCATCCTTTTAATTTTTGTTATGAGTAATGAGAGATTATGATGAGAAAGATGTGAATATGTTAAAGCTAATATAGAATAAATGCTCAGTTAATTGTTGAGACTTCTCAGGTCTAAGTAGAGAAGAGGTGGTGGGGGTAAGAGGGTACCTTCCAAATGCATTACAACCAAAACATCAAGTATGTTTCGAGGGATAATTTGGAGCAGATAGAGCTTTCTTTTCCCCTCCCTCCCCTCCCCTCCCTCCCCTCCCCTCCCCTCCCCTCCCCCCCCCCCCCCCCTCCCTCCCCCTTTCTTTTCTTCCCCCTTTCCTCTTACAGATTCCAGAGAGGGGAAGAGAAGGAGAGAGGCAGAGAAACATTGATTGGTTGCCTCTCGCATACACCCTAAGTGGGGACCAAACCCGCAGCTGAGGCTTGTGCCCTGACCAGAATTGAACCCAAAATGTCTTGGTTTGTAGGATGACACCCAACCAACTGAGCTACGTTGGTCGGGGTGAGGGTAAAGCTTTGTTTCGTAGGTGGAACAGAGGAGTGGTCAGCATTTAGGCAGGACCAGTGGGTTTAAGAGGGAGTGGGTTCACTGTGCTTACCCTACCTAGTAAGTTGGTAACAAGGAACACAAAGGCCTTCTTTTTCATTTTCCTCAGACGTCAGACTTCTAATATAGGAAGTAGGGGCTTGGCTGTCTGAGGCTAACCCCTTTGTCATTGTCACCTCTTTAATTCCATAATTCCACCTACCCCCATGAAATTTATGTTTATCTGTTTATGTAGTAAATGTACATAGGCCATTTATGTGTCAAAAGTGTAAGAGTATTTTATCCTCAGTTTCAGGAGTTAACAGTGAAAATTTCTTTTTAGAAAACATATCTTGAGTCCTGGCTGGTGTGGCTCATTGGATTGAGTGCCAGCCTGTGAACCAAAGGGTCACTGGTTTGATTCTCAGTCAGGGCACATGCCTGGGCTGTGGGCCAGGTCCCCAGTAGGGGGTGTGCAGGAGGCAACCACACATTGATGATTCTCTCCCTCTCCTCCCTCCCTTCCTCTCTCTAAAATAGATAAATAAAATCTTTAAAAAAAAACATGCCTTGAATCATATCCAGGTTTTATAAAAAGCTCTTTGGCACTAATAATTATTTGGTAATTGTGCTTCTTTTTTTGTTAGCTCCAGTGCTCTTTTCCAGCACATCACAGCATTATTTGAATGCAGTGCGGCAGCTATTATCACCTTGCTTGTGAGCGATCCAGTCGGTGTTCTTTATATCCGCTCATGTCGAGTATTGATGCTTTCTGATTGGTACACAATGCTTTACAACCCCAGTCCAGATTACGTGACCACAGTGCACTGTACTCATGAAGCTGTCTACCCGCTGTAAGTATTTATCTAAACTATGGATCTGTTTTTGAAAGATGATAATTACAGATTCCATTTATTTCAACAGGTTGAGCATTGTAAAATGGCATCTAGGCACAGGGGGAAATACACAGAAATGATTTTCTTAAGGGAACATCATCTCATAGGAGAAAATAGAAATACATCTTAGTGTAATAGAAGTGAAAGTATTTTTGTATTGGTGTTGAAGTGTGTGTAGACACTTACAAAATAAGCCATACATGTTTCTTAAAAAGGGATTTGTAAGGAAAATCTTTTTGATATGCAGCAGAGAAGTAATATCTGACACACAGGAAGAAGTATGGGCTTTGGAGCGAAAAACAAGCCTGAGTTTGAATCCTAGGTCTGCCAGTAGTTGTGGCAGCTTGAGCCTGTTCAGAGCCTCTTGTAGCTCAGTCTCCCCGTTCATAGGATGGGAGTGATTATCCCTTACAAGGTGGGGATGAGGGTTAAATAAATCCATACACGTCAGGTGCAGTGCAGCGCCTTACATGTAGGAAGCACTGAGCAGTAGCTGATATAATGTTTGAGTTAATGTTCTTTCTTTTTTGTTTTTCTTTTTTGTTTTCAAATGCAATTTTGAATGTTTTATTGCAAAAGTATCAAATTCATAACATTCTGTATAATACCATCCCAGACTACTTCATTTTTAAAAGTTCTGTAAATTGTTGGTGTTCATTTGATGTGTTTTCGAGAAAGTTCTTAATGGTACGAAGTGCCAAAACACACATATACATATGTAAAAAGGTAGTTTTCAAAAAATGAGATCCAGTTATCGAGATGCAAAAATCTTTTACATCTGCCCAGCTTTAGCCCTGCAAATTATTTATTCCATGTATATACTCTCTCTCTTTCCACATATATGGCTGAAATATATATATACACATATATATAATACTCACATATTTATATATACATACACATATATTTTTTCATATATAAGAAAACATTTCATATATGTATAAAATAATACATACATACATATATATATGACTGATAGAGTCTTTTGTTGATTTTTATAGAGCTGTACCCTCAGCTTCAATCAATGAAGTAATAGCTACATAGTATTCAGCATGAATGTACTATAAAATTTAACCAGTTTTCTGTTGTTGAATATTTATTTTCTTCCTGAGTTTTCTTTATTATTAATCCCAAAAAACCTTATTCATAAAGTTTTTTTGTGTATCCCTTTATATTTCCCTTTGATAAATTTCTATAAGTAAAGTTGCTGAATGGAAGGATACAAACATTTTAGGATTTGGGATGCGCATTTTCAGACTGCCTCCTGGAGAGGAAACAGCATGCACTTCTCACTAAAGTGTGAGAGTCCTCCTGGCCAGCCTAGCGCAAATATGAATATTTGACGGGTAGAATTAATATACTTTCTAAACCTGCTTTTCTCTCTCTTTTTTGTAAATATATTTTATTGATTATGCCATTACAGTTGTTCTATTCCCCCCCTTCATTCCCCTCCACCCTGCACACCCCTCCCTCCTTTAGTTTATGACCATGTGTCTCAAGTTCTTTAGATTCTATATTTCCCCTACTATTCTTACCCTCCCCCCTATTTTCTATCTACTGTCTATGCTACTTATTTTCTGTACCTTCTCCCCCCTTCTCCTCCTCCCACTCCCCTGTTGCTAACCCTCCTTGAGATCTTCATTTCTATGGTTCGCTCCTGATCTAGCTGTCCTCTTAGTTTGCTTTTGTTTTAGGTGTGGTTATTAATAACTGTGAGTTTGCTGTCCTTTCACTGTTCATATATTTTTAAAATAATTTTATTTACTTATCTTTAGAAAGGAAGGGAAGGAGAGAGGGAGAGAAATATCAGTGTATGGTTGCTTCTCATGCATCCCCTGCTGGGAACTGGCCTGCAATCCAGGCATGTGCCCTGGACTGGGAATTGAACTGAGATCTTTTGGTTCGCAGGCCCATGCTCAATCCACTGAGCTACACCAGCCAGGGCTTCACTGTTCATCTTTTTTATCTTCTTTTTCTTAGATAAGTTCCTTTAACATTTCATATAATAATGGTTTGGTGATGATAAACTCCTTTAACTTGACCTTACCTGAGAAGCACTTTATCTGCCCTTCCATTCTAAATGAAAGCTTTGCTGAATAGAGCAATCTTTTTTTTTTTTTTTAAATATTTTATTTATTTATCTTTAGAGGGGAAGGGAAGGAGAGAGGGAGAGAACCATCAATGTACGGTTGCCTTTCGTGCATCCCCTCCTGGGAACTGGCCTGCAACCTAGGTATGTGCCCTGACTGGGTATCGAACCGCGATTGCCTGGTTCACAGGCCCGTGCTCAATCCACTGAGCTACACCAGCCTGGGCTGGATAGAGCAATCTTGCATGTAGGTCTTTGGATTTCATGACTTGGAATACTTCTTTCCAGCCCCTTCTTGCCTGGAAGGTCTCTTTTGAGAAATCAGCTGACAGTCTGATGGGAACTCTTTTGTAGGTGACTGTCCCCTTATGTCTTGCTGCTTCTAGAATTCTCTGCTTCATTTTAATTTTGGCTAATGTAATTATGATGTGCCTTGGTGTGTTCCTCGTTGGGTCCACCTTCTTTGGGACTGTCTGAGCTTCCTGTACTTCCTGAAAGTCTATTTCCTTTGCCAGATTGGGGAAGTTCTTTTTCATTAAGTTTTCCACTTGTTGCTCTTCTTCTCCTTCTGGTACCGTATAATTTGGATGTTGGAATGTTTAAAGATACCCTGGAGGTTCCTAAGCCTCTTCTCATTTTTTTTGAATTCTTGTTTCTTCATTCTTTTCTGGTTGGATGTTTCTTTCTTCCTTCTGGTCCACTCCTTTGATTTGAGTCCCAGTTTCCTTCCCATCATTGTTGGTTCCCTGTGCATTTTCCTTCATTTCACTTAGTATAGCCTTCATTTTTCCATCTAATTTGCAAGCAAATTCAACCAATTCTGTGAGCATCCTGATTACCAGTGTTTTGAACTGTGCATCTGATAGGTTGGCTCTTTGTCACTTAGTTACATTTTTTTTGGAGTTTCAATCTGTTCTTACACTTGGGCCATTTTTATGTCTTGGCACAGCTGTTACATATGAGGGGCAGAACCTTAGGTGTTCACCAGGGTGGGGCAACCCATGTAGCTGCATTGCAAAGCTGAATGTGGGGGAGGGGTCCTAGAGGGAACAATGGCACTTGCTCTACTCTCTGCCAAATTTCAGTCATTTCCCCTGCTTCCCACAAGTAAAGTGGGCCCTTCTGGTGCTGATCTCAGGGTGGGTGGGCTTGTGTACGTTCTAGGACTCTGTGGGTCTCTCCAAGGAACTCTCCTGTGAGGCTGGTATTTTCTTCCACTGCTGCCTCAACCCACACAGGTGTTTTCAGTCAGAGGTTTGAGGTTTTATTCCCCCGCACCGGAGCCCTGGGTTGCTCTGTCTGTCTTGCTCCCCACTGTTCCTCCTGCACGTGAATGTGGGATTGCCAGCTCCACCAGCTGAGCCTCACGGGTTGGCCAGCCACCACCTCGCCTCAAGTCCTCTCTGCCCCGGCTGCCGGTCTCCACCCTTCCCACTGGTCTGGGTGGATGTTTCTTCTTTATCTCCTTGGTTGTCAGACTTCCCTACAGTTCGATTTTTCTCTCAGTTCTGGTGGTTTTTAAATTATTGTTGTCCTTCTTTTGGTTGTGCGAGGAGGCAGTGTGTCTACCTATGCGTCCGTCTCAGCCAGAAGTCTACTTTTTTAACCTTTTATAGGATCAATAATAAACTATTTTAGAACATATTTTTGATAATATAATTTCTTATTTTACAGCTATACCATTGTATTTATCTATTATGCCTTCTGCTTGGTACTGATGATGCTGCTCCGACCTCTTCTGGTAAAGAAGATTGCCTGTGGGTTAGGGAAGTCCGATCGATTTAAAAGTATTTACGCAGCACTGTACTTCTTCCCAATTTTAACTGTGCTTCAGGCAGTCGGCGGAGGCCTGTTATGTAAGTTTCTTGGGAAAATGGCTCATGTAGTTATTATTATATGTGACAAACTATTTTCACTGAGTATAATTTGTGCACTTTTTCTTTAAAATGGAATTTTTTTTATTCTGGAAGATAAACCATAGTATGCATTTTTGCAGAAATATAATAAGCCTTATTTTTTTAAATGATGGGTTTTTTGGAATGAAATAAAAATGCTCAAGAAATCAGTGGCAGCTAATCAAAACTGATTTCTATTTAGACAGTGCTTTGTATTCGAAGCTTATAACCTAAACAGGAAGATTTTTAAAACCCAAAAATGTCCTCAGGTGAAGATAACCTAGAGCAACACTAGGTTGAACTAGATTTGGCCTTAGATTTGGCCCTCAGTTCATTTTTAAAACCTAAAAATGTCCTCAGGTGTTGTCTTTGGTCACTCTCGCTGTGTACATGTCGGCTTCTGAACTAGGGGTAGGAAAAGTTTTTTCCTCTGTTAGAGGTTTTTTCATGGATTTCACAATTGAACAGGAGAGTAATAAGAGTAAGTATAAATTAGAAAACAAAAACTGGTTTTTGCAAATAATATGGAAGTTACTCTTGGTAATGTATCCTATTTATCATTGTTAGGTCTTAGATTTCTAAGTTTCTTTATGGAAGCCTTTTCAATACAGCGAAAGAAGCTTCAGTATAGTTTTTTTATATTTTATTATTATTTTTTATCTTCACCTGAGGACATGCTTATTGATGTTCCAGAGAGTGGGAGGGAGGGAGAGAGCAAGGCAGAGAAACATCAGTTAGTTACCTCTTGCAGGCACCCACCCCCCCCAGGGACATACCCACAGCCGAGGCACATGCTCTGACCAGGGCTGGAACCCGAGATCCTTTGGTTTATTAGACAGTGCTCCATCCAACTGAGCCAAACCAGCCAGGGCAATTCTTTATTTTAATATAACCATTCATGCATTTATCCAGCACACAGTTAGACTAAACTGTCATGCAAAAGAAGAAAAAGAAAAAGGTGGCGTTAAAGGGCTCACATACTGAGAAAGCTGCAGCAGCTGAGAGGACGCGGTACGACATTGAACATTGTTGCAGGGATGTTAGGTACCATCTTTGATGTGGGGCCTACCAGGGTACAGAGGGCAAGTCATGTAGCTTAGTGATGAATTTGGTTCAAGATTAGGGTGGTGCTCTGAGGGTAAGGCCAAGGGAAATTGCAGACTAGTCAGGGCTGTGTTGCCTCATACTCTGGTTTACAGACATATCGTTTTCAGCTGGACTGCATGATATTTGAAAATCTGTGGTTCCTTCTAGCTCCTGCCGTTCTCTGTCTCCTTAGATTTGGCCCACAGGTCAGCTACTAACCTGGCTGGCTGGCCTCTGCAGGCTTCTGAGGTTGCTATTCTTGCTCTAGGGATAGAGACCTACTCTGAAAAGGATTTTAGGCAGAAGAGAGACATGTCTAGGTTTGCATTCTACAGAGAGAACTTGGGGGCAGCGTGGAAGATGGATGGCAGGGGAACAGAACCTGGGGGATCAGTTAAGAGGTTATGACCCAAGTCTGTCTGACCTAAAGCAGAAAGACAGTAGGAGTGAAAATCTCCTTTGAAGACAGAGTTGACTGAACTAGGTGGCATTGCATTCGGGGGTTGAGGGAATGGGAGGAGAACACGATAAAGTAGCTTTTGGACTTGGTAGCTGGTTAATGGAAAATGGAAAGCTAGAAGCAAATAGGTTGGTGAGACGTGACATCAGTTTTGGCTGTGCACGGACTGGGCAACAGAGTACATGTTATTCACACCTGTCTGGTGTCAGGGCTGGAACGGTTTAGAAATTGTCAGCTTCCAGATCCCTGTGTCCTGGGCATGGGTCTCTCACAGGACTGGCTGAAAAATTTTCCAGTTATGGGGACAATTGTACTGTTTGAATTTTTGTTTATCCAGAAAATTTACTTAATTTTTAACAGAATGCCAATGTTTGTTTTCCAGACTACGCCTTCCCGTACATTATACTAGTGTTGTCTTTGGTCACTCTCGCTGTGTACATGTCGGCTTCTGAAATAGAGGTAGGAAAAGTTTTTTCCTCTGTTAGAGGTTTTTTCATGGATTTCACAATTGAACAGGAGAGTAATACATATGATATGACAGCGCAGTGGATTGTCTCAGTGACCCCTGGCTACTTGAGACACTAAATAGCTTTGAGCTCACTGGTTATGTTTATGAAAGGTCGTCTGTATGCCTGGGCATTAGTGAAGTAGTCAGGCTCAGCTGTCTAGCCTGTTGGGGGAAAAATCGTTTCAATTATTTGCCCATAGAACATACTTAATAACGAAATGTTGAAGCTTCCTAACATCATTCTGAGGGAAACATGAAAGTGCTTTACTGTACATAGCACTAATTTTATACTATTTATGATGGCAGCACTGTCATCAGCAATTATATTATTCATTCTTCACCCTTCTATGTTGTGTCCCCAATTTTATTTTTTTGATTTTGGATGTTTATTTTTGTCCTCTAATATCTATAATATTTTAGTGATTTGCAAATAACATTAATAGTAACATTAATTCTGATACTGTTTCTGGTCTGAGGTACCCGTGTTGTGTCTATAACTTTTTATTATTTCAGTGGAAGGTGTTAGTAAGGCCCTTTATTTTAAGGCTAAATTCTAAAGGAACAAAAGTGTCAAATGCCTTAGTACTTTAACTGCCCACTGCACTGGGTAAGAGAACGTGCTTTCTCATAATTCTTAACTTAGAAAGGCTCTAACTTAAGAAAGTAAGTTGTAAAATATTTTGGAATGATTGCTGTTGATGCTTCTCTTTCTGTTACATCAGTGAGAAAGTGAGCGGAGTGACTTTTAGACAGCGTAATACCGTAGAGGAGCTAGACGGAGTATCTTGATGGTGATTATTCACATGCTCCCATTTGTATACTGTCCTCATTTCTCCTGTGATCTTTGATCAGTAATGCAGTATGTATAAGTAAGAAAGATAAGCGAGTTAGTTTTGGCACTTTTTTCAACTCTGGAGAAATATTTGATGGGGAGATGATTATTTGAATAAAATGAAGTTTTTGCATTTTTGTTTGTTATCCATAGCTACTGTGGGTAGTAGTTATGTCAGCCTGACACCTGTTTGTCTCTCTGCTCCTGGGAATCTCTCTTGTGTAAAATGTCTATGTACTTCAGTGAGCACTCTACCCATGAATCAGAAGTAGAGACCTGCACCAGGAAAAGAAAGTCTAGCTGTATAGCTGAGTTGATGAGCCCTTTAGTAAGAGAAAGTCATGTAATATTGCAAATTACACTTCAGAATGTTTATTAGCACATGTAGCTATTACTTTTGTGATAATTTGGTCCTTCCAATTTAGGCATATTATAGAGCTGTATTCGAGATTGAAAGGAAGTCAGAGTAGTCACATGTCATTTCTGCCGCCTTCTAATTGTGTGGGAACGCTGGAATTGGTGTGTGCACCTCCTATCTCACCTATAGACTCGCTGCAGTGGCTCAGGGCAGGAAGAAGGCACATCATGGGGAGTTCCCCCTCTGGTTCACTCTTTCCAAAGAAGCCGTAGAGTTCCCAGCGCCCGGTGGTGCTGTACACTAGAGCTTAGAGACATTCCTGGTGCTGCCTCTGCCTGCCCGTGGGACCACCACTCCTCCCCTGTGAAGTGCGGTGGCTAGTGTGCGTGCTCTCTCAGGGCCCTTTTAGCTCCGGTGGTCGGTGATTGAGGTTTGATTTTTAAATACATTTAATTAAAATATAATGAGTGATCTAGCTGATTCAGTCCAATAACGTTTCTCTCTTCTTTCTTTTATAAAATTATATAGAACTGCTATGATCTCCTGGTCAGGAAGAAAAGACTCATCGTTCTCTTCAGCCACTGGTTACTTCATGCTTATGGAATAATCTCCATTTCCAGAGTGGACAGACTCGAACAGGACTTACCCCTTTTGGCTTTGGTGCCCACACCAGCCCTTTTTTACTTGTTCACTGCAAAATTTACTGAACCTTCACGGATACTCTCAGAAGGAGCCAATGGACACTGAATATAAAATGCCAAAAAAAACCTAACAAGTATTCTTAATAAAAAAGTACAGAAATAAAAAATACGTATTAGTATTCTTCTGCCATACATGGGAATAAGACTGTCAGTATATCTTAATGTTTTTGGTGGTTTTGTTTGGTTATGGTTGGACTCGGACACGACAGAACGTGCTGTTACTCAGTGAAGCACACCGGACACTCACTACACACTGTTCTGTGACAGGAGGAGCCTTTCGGAAGCACTGGCCTCGCACCGATTTAGTTACTGTTCAGAGTAAAGTCATGTTCCGCGTGCCTACCGGTGTGCTGTTTCTGGTTTTAAGGAAAACTTGAATGAGTGTAATCTGAAACCCTTAGTTTCGCCCCGATTGTGCTTGCCTGTTGTGTTTCAGCTGGTTTCCCAAACGTAGCGAATTATAAAGACACACACACCCCTGTGGGGTCTGGTAGTAACATGGAAATAAAGTGTGTTGTTCTTACCTATTTATTTTGACCAACATAGTATTTTGATGTATTACAAAAATAGACCACAATTTCTATAACAGGTTTTCTGTTTACAGGTAGTTTGCTTGAAGTTATCTTCGGGTTATTCCTGTTTGTGTAAAGAAAAACACTCATGAAAAAACTACAAAAAGCCTCAAATATTTTGACATTTGTATTTGTCACAATAATCGTGGAAATTCAGAATACTAGGTAGTGAGATGAATGTCTTTTTCCCAAATGAATAAACACATGTACTCACATTCTCCTTTCCTCTTACAACTCATTTTTTTTTTTGCAGAACATCATTACTTAAAAAAAATTACTATTCAATTACAGTCGTCCCCACTTTTCACCCATTACTCTCACCTACCCACCCCCTCCCATATTTAATCCTCCCTCCACCCCGCCCCCATTGTCTTTGTCCAGAAGTCCTTGATACAGGTTCTTTGACTTGACCCTTCCCCCTTTTTCCTCCATTATACCCCTCAACCCTTCCCCCTCCCTTCTGGTCACTGTTCTTTATTTCCATGTCTCTGGTTCTATTTTGCTTGCTTGTTTTGTTGATTAGGTCCCACCTATAGATGAGACAGCTCATTTTTTAAGGATGCATATGCATGCCATATTTTTGGATTCTGAAGCACTGTGTTTTCCCTACACTGTAGATATCTCTGAATCTTAACAACTGATGGCTTCTTAGATTTAACAAAATACAGAAAATATACAGGGTATAAACTTTTCCTGTGGTGGTTGTTGATAGGTATGCTGCTCATCAGTTTTTATGGTTATAACCGTGGAAGCAAAAATAAGATTTTTAGTGCTTAACCTGATAGTCTGACCATGTTTATTCTTTTGTATTATTTGGGAGGTTATTTACTTATTCTACTATTGGTTGGGGTTACACAAGTTTGTTCAGTTTCAAACTTTAAGACTTCTGTTGACAGGTGCAAATTGTGAAAAAAAAGTACACTCACTTTTTCTGTAGTTTATGCCTTTTGAATTCACAGCAGTTGTATCCTTGAAGTTATTTTGTTAATGTGTTTTTTTGCAGTATTTCGGCAAACGGGAAACAGGCTTTTTTGATACGTCTTTCTTTGTTCTTTACTGTAGGAATAAAAATAAAATATAAAACTTCCATATGTATCTCAGGCAGGTTTGGGTGGTTATTAGTGTCCATTAAAATTCTAAGTCCCACAAAGGATCCCTGAATTGGTGTTGGGCAGTTGGAAAGGGGAGGCCTGGTGGGTTATGTGTCCGATTCTCAGGACTACTTCTGCCCCACAATATTTGGGGCCCCTTTAAGTCATGTCCTATTCTAGGAGAAAAACGTGTATGCAAAAGGAGAAATCATACAAGTAATTATGATTACAAGTTCTCACATGCAAAGAATTTCAGGAATACTTAATATATATGTTATTAATTTGCATTTTTAAGAACAAGATGAACAATTCACAGCAACTGTGGTTGCTAATGTTATTTAATAACTTGTTAAAATACAGTTATTAAAAATAAAAATTACCCTTGCCCCAGCTCAACTTTGTTTTGGCGTAGTTCCTTGGATATTACAATCCTCACGGCTACAATAATTACTTCCAAAAGTTACTCCGCTAACCAGTGCTGGATAGGTCATTTAAAAGTCAAAATATTTTCCTGATTAATTTGGGCCAGTTGACCAATTTCAGTTACATTGTTACATTTTTGTGTAAAACCACTAGTTTGCAAGACTTGACAGTGCATTGGCGCCAGCTGGAGAGATTTCTAAAAACCAGCCTGGGTCCCTCCCCCAGCAATTCCTGTGGAGCTGTGCGGGCGCAGCAAGGGGTTTCTAAAGCCTCTCGGTGATTCTAATATCCAACGCTCTTCCTAGTTACGATCTTAATTTCCCCAAGAGACCTTTTCACAATTTCTGGGAAAGTCACTTTTTAAATTATTTCTTACTGAAATTTTGATTCTGCTGGATTATAACTTCTTTTCCAGAATTAAATGATCAAAATACAGGTAATTGTGTAGCCTTTTTCCATTACAATAATAAACACATTTATATGAATTGATACTTCTTTTGAAATATCTCTTGGCCTGAAAAGTCTTTAGAGCAGATAGCAAGATATTTGGTTAATGCACAAATTGTTTATCTTCAACCTTAATTATAGTACATGTATATATTGTATAATATAATTCAAGGGCTTTTGGAGTTTTAAAAGAAATTTCTTTCGTATTACTTCTGGCCAAGATGGAGGCATAGGTAGATACACTGTGCCTCCTCACACAACCAAAATAAGGACAAAAACAATTTAAGAACAAAAAACAACCAGTACTGACAGAAAATCGAACTGTATGGAAGTCCAACAACCAAGGAGTTAAAGTAGACACATTGGTCCAGACCAGTAGGAGGGGCAGTGTGGGGCAGGCAGAGAGGGGTTGAAGCAAAGTGGCTGCGGAACCCAGGGAGGCGGGGGGTTGTGGAGAGGCTCAGTGTGCAAGGCAGCTGGTGGACCGGCAGATCCCGCATTTGTGCGCAGATAAACCAGGAGAAATGGGAGCAAGACAGACTGTGCAACCCAGGGTCCCAGTACAGGGAAATAAAGCCTCAAAACACCAACTGAAAACACCTGTGGGGGTTGAGGTGCCGGGAGAGACTCCCAGTCTCACAGGAGAGTTTGTTGGAGAGACCCACAGGGTCCTAGAATGCATACAAGCCCACCCACCTGGGAATCAGCACCAGGAGGGCCCAATTTGCTTGTGGGAAGCAAGGGAAGTGACTGAAATCTGGCAGAAAGCAGAGCAAGCACCATTGTTCCCTCTTGGACCCCTCCCCCATATTCAGCTTTACCATACAGCTACATGGGTTGCCCCACCCTGGTGAACACCTAAGGCTTGCCCCTCACTACGTAACAGATGCTGTCAAGATTTTTTTTTAAAAAAAGGCCCAAATGAAAGAGCAGATTGAAGCACCAGAAAAAATGCAACTAAGTGACAGACAGCCAACCTATCACATGCACAGTTCAAAATGTTACAGAACAGACGTCCAAGGGTGGGGGGGCAATATTTGGCCCACCCAGGGATGCCAAAAACTGTTACAGAATAACAGAGGCCCCTCCCAAGGACAGTATACTAATACCATCCGGACCACCTACTGGGCTCGTCTGTCTGCCGCCAATTGGAAAGACATCGCTCAATGCCAGAGATTTGTGGAAAGGAAAGGAAAGGTTTATTCAAAGCTGTAGAGACTTAAAGCAGTGACCTGATGTCCCCATAAAAATATCAAAGTCCTTTTGGATACCCACAGATGCCCACAGAGCTTCCTTCTCCCCCTGCCCTAGTTCAGGGTACCGTATCTCAGGAAAAGGAGCACACGTCTGTGCTTCAGGTTGCTGGCACCATCAGCTGTGTCACCATCTAGGTAGGATCTCTAATTAATCCAAAGCCATGTGGCACCTTCTCACAACCTACTGGCAAAGAGTTCTTTCACCCTTCTTCCAGGCAAAATCTCTCCTGCTTCCAGGGCCACGTGGGCAAAGAGAGCATCCCAAAGCTGTGTGGGCCTCTTCTACCAAAGCTGCAGGGGTCGCAATCAGGCCAAAACCACATGGTACTCTTCTCCACCAGAGCTGCAGAGAGGCTGGGGTCGCCACTCTGCCAAAGCCGAGTGGCAGTTCTCTGCTAAAGCCACATGGCGATCCTCTCTCACATGGCTGTGGGAGTCCCCATTCTGGCCGAAAGTGCACGATTCTTTCCCAATGGCCCGTGTCTGCGCTTAAATCCCCGTGCCAGTCCTCCTTTGCAGCCCCATTTCTGATTCCTCCCACAATCGGCTACACCTGCCAGCACTCCTATTTATTCCAAGTTTACTGGGCTGCCATTGTAAGTCTTGGCAGGTGTGGCCCCATGTTGTGAACCCAATCAACTCCAAGCTCTCACACAGGTGGTGTAACTCAGGGGCCCTACCCCCCGTTACATCTTGGGTGAAGGTCACTTCTATTCCCCTAGCTCAGAGCATGGCCACAGATATTTAACATATCTATGCAGCCAGTTAAAGATTATAGATATGTTAAATGACCATGCCAGAGGTTAGCTGTGAAACCGTTGCTATGCAAAACAGCTCTCAATGGCCCTGCTTCATTTGTCCCTTCCCCCAACTGACACCTGTGGGGAGGTGGGTAAGGGGTGAGGACATCTTATTTGCCTCTCTAATATTTCTTGGACACCCTGAGTTCTGGATCCCATTCAAATCCCTTTTTGGGGCCCCCCTCTTGGCTGTGCCCTGTTACAAAAACACTGGTAATCAGGATGCTCACAGAATTGGTTGAATTTGGTCACAAATTAGATGAAAAAAATGAAGGCTATATAAGTGAAATAAAGGAAAATGTATAGGAAACCAATAGTGACAGGAAGGAAACTGGGACTCAAATCAACAGTATGGACCAGAAGGAAGAAAGAAACATGCAACCAGAAAAGAATGAAGAAACAAGAATTCAAAAAAATGAGGAGAGGCTTAGGAACCTCCAGGACATCTTTAAATGTTCCAACACCCAAATTATAGGGGTGATTCAGAGAAGGAGAAGAGGAAAAGCAGCAAATTGAAAACTTATTTGAACAAATAATAAAGGAGAACTTCCCCAATCTGGCAAAAAAAAAAATAAAAAAAGGCTTCCAGGAAGTCCAGGAAGCTCAGAGAGTCCCAAAGAAGTTGGACCCAAGAAGGAACACACCAAGGCACATCATCATTACATTAGCCAAGATTAAAATGAAGAAGAGAATCCTAGAAGCAGCAAGAGAAAAGGAGGCAGTTACCTACAAAGGAGTTCCCATCAGACTGTCCATTGATTTCTCAAAAGAGACCTTCCAGGCAAAAAGGGGCTGGAAAGAAGTATTCCAAGTCATGAAATCCAAAGACCTACAACCAAGATTGATCTACCCAGCAAAGCTTTCATTTAGAGTGGAAGGGCAGATAAAGTGCTTCTCAGATAAGATCAAGTTCAAGAAGTTCATCACCACCAAACCCTTATTATATGAAATGTTAAAGGGACTTATCTAAGAAAAAGAAGATAAAAAAGATGAACAGTGAAAGGACAGCAAACTCAGAGTTATTAACAACCACAGCTAAAACAAAAACAAAAGCAAACTAAGCAAACAACTAGAACAGGAACAGAATCACAGAAATAGAGATCACATGGAGGGTTAGCAACAGGGGAGTGGGAGGAGGAGAGAGGGGGAAAAGGTACAGAGAATAAGTCGCATAGATGGTAGGTAGAGAATAGATAGGGGGAGGGTAAGAATAGTATAGGAAATGTAGAAGTCAAAGAATTTATGAGTATGACCCATGAACTAAAGGGGAGGAACGTGGGTGGGAGGGGGTGTGCAGGGTGGAGGGGAGTGAAGGGGGGAACAGAACAACCGTAATGGCATAATCAATAAAATATATTCTTAAAAAAAAGAAACTTCTTTAATATTTTCAAAAACTGAGTAGCTGTACTCAGCTACTGTTTGGTTTAGGTAAACACTAAGAACTAACTTGTTTACCTTTTGTTTATAAGGAAGAATATTAAGGCAAAAAGGGAGGATCTTAGTTTCAGGATGAAGTGTATCACACTTCACCTCTGACAAGCTAGTCCCTGACGCCGCCGGCCACGTGGCGCCCCCAGCCGACTCACATCCAGCCAGGCTGCTGCGGTTCTTGGCGGGGTTCTGCTGGCTGCTCCTTTGGGAAGACACCCCTGCGTCCTCCCAACACCCAAAAGACTTAGATGTCCCTCTTTACCCTCCTCCCCGACAGCCACTCATTAAGTCCACTGGATTCTAATCACCTTTTGTCTCATTCTCACAGCATGTGTACTCTGAAGTTCAGAGACTGGGTGTCATTTAACTTTAAGGGCAGCATTTGCTCTAGTGTCAGACTCAAAGGTGCTCAATATGTTAATGAAACGAATGTAGTGTTTCTGAAGAGGAGGGTTAGGACCTGCAGGGCTGCAGTAACATCGTGTGTCCAGAAGAGGGCAGGGCAGAGCTGAAAAATCAAGGGCTTCTCTAAATGTCCTGTGAGAAGCCTTTCAACAAGGACCTTCAAAGCTAGATTACAGGTGGCTCAGAGATGGCCAAGTAATTCGAGGAGTCAAGGTTGACCTTTATTACCTCAGGAGGGTGATGGATTCCAGGGATCCGATGGGTGCCTAATAAAGGCTTGATGTTGTATTACTGCTGTTATCATTTATAGTTTCCAACCAGGGAAACAGAGTGGAGGTTGAATAATAACACGTGAGCAGCAAAGCTGAGATTGGAGCCCACCTGGGGCCACTGCCCCAGGAGCAGAAATCAGTAGCGTTAGGGGAGCAGAAATCTTCCTGCAGCTCCCAGGGCCCACCTCCAGTTCTTCAGAGACCTCTCCGGATTCCTCAGCTAGGCCAAGGCTCCCTGGTAGGGTCTCCAGTTCTTAGGCCCCGCCTTCAGCACGCCTGTGACGCTGACACTTTGCACACATTTGTGTAACACCTGATTCTCCCACGTTGCCAGGGTGGGCCAACGACGACGCCCGAGGGGCAACTCTGCTATCAGGGCAGGGTGCAGTGGTTGCTATGGAGACCGCTAGGGGCTACTAGAGCAGGAGAGACCTGCTGGCGCTCTGAAGTTTGCCAGCCTCTGACCCCCGCTGTGACTTCCATTTGAGCAGGGACGAGGTCAGTCTCCATTCTTTACTGCAACCCCACCACCTAATATAATATTTGTCACAGAAAAGACACTCAATAAACAGTTGTCGAATGCAGTTTGGAGTTAATAGGGAAACATGGATGGAACCTAAAAATGGGGCCAGTGAGAGAAAGGTAGATATGCCCGCTAATGGGCCAGATGGCACCGGATTTTCTGCTCCCAGTCAGCCCGCCGCCAGCTCCCGCAGGCGGACAGCCCCATCCGTGCACCGGAAGCCTTCCCTTCCGGTTTCCTGACCAAGCTGTCCCCCTCCTCTGCCTGCCTTTGCACCTCTGCCCAGGGCAGGTGGTGGTGACCCTGACCGCCTTGCCACCCCAAGCCCAGTGCCTCTGCTCGCTCTCACTGGGTGGCCATCCTCGTTCCACACTGCAGTTCTCCATTTTCCACAGGTTATCAAGAAGACAGTCCTCAAAATATGTGAAAAAGGGAATATGATAGCAGTTGTTCAGTGGCTTCTTCAGACTGTCTGCTTCGACCGTCTGTCCCGACTCTTCAATAGAGTCTAAGTTTGCTCCGACGCATCGATGCCATCAGACTTCAGACGAAAATGGAAGGTTTGCTCATGTGATAATAGTGCAATTGACAGGTAGAGATGATTTAGCTCCTAAAATTCTGCCTCATCTGCAGTCGCTGGGGATGGCCTTGCCTTGCAAAGGAAATACGAACGGAAGCAAGGCCCACCGGGGCCGCGACGCACCCGCAGGCAGTGAGTGCCACCAGGCACTGGCAGAAACAGCCGAACAGCGCTTTGGCCGACGAGAAGGAGAGTGCCCACAAAGGTCTTCATCGGCTCCGAAGTATTATTTCTTCTGTCAGCAATACCCTCAGATCATTGCTGGTTTTAGCCAAATATTGATGTGTTTCTAATTCTATTGCTTTTTCTCACTTTACTTTTATTATATTCCATTTTACTTTCTCCAACCCATCTAATGGGACACTCTTCAATATTAAACCTCAACAACCTCTAATAAACCCATACACTAGCTGAATGTCATTTTTTCGTTTCACAACTCCCCTCCCCCGCACTCTGTGTTCCTGCCTCCCCCCCCGCCCCCCCAGCCGTCTCTGCCTCCACCATCTCCTGCGATGGAGGGGCTCCGCCCCGGGTCCTCCAGGCTGTGCCTGTGCAAGGGCTCCCCTCCGTGTCTCCCTGCAGCCCTACTCTGGACAGAGCTCTACCGGGACGTGAGAGTAGGAGTGAAGGATGACGTTGCTATTGCTCTAGAGAGACCTGGCTGGGGCGCAGGAGGCGCCCAATCCTGTTGTATGGGGTGGATGAACATCTCAGAAGCCCCGGGGTGGGGTGGAGCAACACCGGATTTTTAGAGAAGGCAATAGTTGCAGTTTTCAACGCTTAACCCAGAAAGAAAAGGTAAAATGATGCTCAGTATGAAGATGAGGGAATGTGTAAAAGAGTTTCAAAAGATTGCTTAGGAAAATATTTTTTAAAAGGGTTTTAAAAAACGAGAAACAAGTGGAGATTCAGTCACTTAGTGAACGCTCTTGGGCGGAGGGGAGACACATCAGGCCCTGTCGCGGAGGCGCGGTCGAGCCCACGCGCGGGCGCCAGGGAGCACTTGCGTGTCTGTGGCAGGACTAAGGGCGGATTACCGGGGATGACCAAGTTCCTCAGTAGGCACTCTTATTTGCCGGGTTGTTGGTGGTGGTGGGGGCGGGGGTGATGTCACCAGCTACAGGAAAAGAACAGGGAGTTCTTTCTTACCCGAAGCTCTTCAGATGCTACTTACCAGGAATCTCCGCCGTGGCTAGATGACGCAACTCCTCCAGGTTCCCTTGTAACCAAACACTGATGCGCTCAATCTTTTCGTCTCTTTCGTGCAGTTTGTCTATCAGACATTTTATTTCTTGCAAGGTCTCGACGCCATCGCGTACAAATCCCTTTAAAGAAAAAATTTGGGGGTGTGTAAAATATACATTGAAGTAAAATAAAAAACATTCTGTGTAGTGAATGTGTATACACAGTAAATTCGTGAATTTTTATAACAGAGCTCAGAAAAATGGATTAGTAAATGAGATTTAATAAATGGCTCACTGAACTCAAAATTATTTCTCAATGATTAATTTTTTACTGAGCTATATTGACATGTCGTATTACATGGATTTCAAGTGTACAACATAATAATTTGATATTTGTGTATGCTGTGAAATGACAACAGTGATAAATCTAGTTAACATCACCACCACGTAGTTACAGAGTTTTTTCCTGTGATGGGGACGTTTGAGATCTGCTGTCAATAACTTACAAACATGTGCACTGCGTTATTATGAACTAAAGGCCTCATGCTGTACCTCATGTCCCCATGATTTACAAAGTTCGTATCCTTTGACCCGCCACCCTTTTCTCTCTTGCATCTCCACCCCGCGCCCATCACCCCAAGTCGCCGTTTGCATCTGTGAGTGAAGGCAAATCTTTAACTGCTCCCCTCACGGCAGCACGGCCCTGAAGAGGGATTTAGCATGACCTGAAGTCTAAGAGAAAGGACTTTGGAGATCAGGCTGGAGATATCTGAGTTTTAAATCCTGTAAGTTCACCAACTGGTTGGTTGGTCTTGGGCGAGTTACTCCAACTCTCTGAGTCTCAGTAGCTTCATCTGGAAAGGCATCACTAACATTTCCCTTATCCTGAGTTTTGAGGGTTAAATAAGCATCATATTAAATGTTCGATGATCAGGAAATGGCAGAGCCGGGACTGAAACGGCAGCCGCCCGCCTCTGAAGGGGGCGGCTCAGGCGAGGGCATGTTGCTTGGCTGGTGAAACTCAGGATGGATGGAGAACAGAACTGGTGACTTTGTCCTAAAACAACACGTTCACATTGAGCTACCAAAACAAAACAGAATGAAACAAAGGCACGCCCACTTTCATTGAAGTGGTTTAGTGGGAAGACAGTTCCCCAAAGGATGGAGATTTCATAGTGACATTCGGCATAAGCGACACATTTTAGGATCAGACAGTACGCTAGCTCTGTGACTCCCGAGTCACCCTGACCTCCGACTTTAGGGATGCCCGTGCACACACATGCACACACTTGTTAGGTAGGTAAATACTCTTAGAAATATGATACGGAGATAACCCAGAAAACTCACCTTGACAGTAATCTGGAATTCAGCCCACAAATCCAAATATCGTGCTAAAATAAGGATTTTCAAAATGGTAAGGTTATTGAAACAATTTGAACATTTTAATAAAAGCAATGCTGGTTGTTTTTCAAACATTGTTTTTATGTAAAACTTTCTAGTTCCAAAATGACAGAAGAACTGGATTGGACTTGCCCTCCCACTGCAAACAAGCAGAATATGGGGCAGCACCAGACACGTGGGTGAGGGGTCTCCCTGAGATCTCAGGCCCCAGCTGAGGCCACGTGGAGCAGAGCCCGGACGTCTCCACCCAGCCCTGACCAAACTGGCAATTTGTGAGCAAAGCCAATGATTTGTAGTGTTTTTTATGCCACAATAGATCACTGGTTCAAGACATTTCAGGGAAGATGAAAGATAAGTGGCGAAAAGCTCATGAAAAGATGCTTGATAGCCTCGGTCATCGGGAAAATGCAAATTACAATCACAACGAAATATCATAGCATACCTATTAAAAATGGCTAAAATGTTAACTGTTTTAAGTGTTAAGTGTGGGTGAGGATGTGGAGTATCCCGTAGCTGGTGGGATGAGAAATTTGTAGAACCACTTTGGCAAACTGTTTGGCAGTTCCTTATGAAGTTAAACATACATTAACCATATAATCCAGCAATTCCACTTTTTGGTATCTACCCAAAAGAAATAAAAACAAATATTTGCAAAAGCACTTGTAATCACACAGTGACCCCAGACTGGAAATAATCCAAATGCCCTTCAGCTGGCGAGTAGACGAACTCGGTAGGGCACATCCGTGCAGCAGGGACAGCTGCAGGAAGGAGCAAAGGAGGACACGGGCAACAACACCGGTGGCTGCGTTGGAGTTGGCCGAGTGAAAGAAGCCGGGCCCAAAGTGCGCGCACTCCATCGTCCCATTCACAGGGACAACCCGTCCTCAGGGACAGAGAGCAGCGCGGTGGTTTCCCAGGACTGGAGGAAGAGTGGGACATCACCCCAAAGAGACACAAGGGGCATTTTCCAGGGACGAAAGTGTTCCCTGCCTTGTTTGTGGTGGTGGTGGTTATGGTGGAATGCACATTTATCAAACTTATTGCACTTAAGATGGGTGCATTTTCTTGTAGGCGAATCAGTAAAATTTGATTTAAAATTGACTTAAACACAAGAAAAACTTTACTTTTTAAGTGTAAAGATCACCCATGACACCTTACTTACTGTGATGAGCTATCAGGTGCCAAGACATGTCACTTGAGACGTGCAAGAGGGCTTCTTCTCCCTGAGCGTACTGCTGTATCTTATTCTTCAGGCGTGCAATGTGCTGGAAATCAAAGGCATGGCGTTGCTTTAAGCAGTTTAGTTACTGCAGATTAGTTGTCCATGCAGCCAACCAGCAAACCACTACTGATTCCTCCTCCGAGCCACCAACGGCTCCAGGTGCAAGGGTGACAGTGCTGCACAGAGCCCTCGTCAAGCCAGCATTCTAGTGAGGGAGACAGACGGTTCTACTTCCTAGAAGCATTTCAGTGCCCAAATGAACACAGCATCTGAATGTAATTTTACATAAGAAAAAAATTGAAAGGTAGTCTGTGTAACTGCATCACATGCACGCACACACACAATGTCCCTGATACAAAGCGTGTGTGCAGTGAGTGTCACAGGGCAGCAACGCCTCCTGACTGGAGGACCTTCACAAAAGACCTCAGACGCTGGGTTTTTACTTCCGGCCAAGATGGAGGCATAGGTAGATACACTTTGGCTCCTCACACAACCAAAAGAAGGGCAATGACAAATTAAAAAACAAAAAATATGCAGAACTTCCAGAAAATTGAACTGTATGAAAGTCTGACAACCAAGGAGTTATATTCGTCCAGACTGGTAGGAAAGGCAGACACTGGGGCCAGGCAGGGAAGACTCACAGCAAGGTGGCAGCTGGCAGACTGGCCAGTTTCACATTCATGTGCAGATAAACCAGGAGGAACAACAGGGGAGCAACACAGACCATGCAACCCAAGGCTGCGGTGTAGGGACATAAAGCCTCAAATCTCTGATTGAAAATACCTGTGGGGGTTGAGGCAGCAGTGGAAGAGACTCCCAGCCTCACAGGAGAGTTTGTTGGAGAGACCCTCAGGGTCCTAACACGTGCATAAACCCACTCACCAGGAATCAGCACCAGAAGGGCCCAATTTGCTTGTAGGTAGAGGGGAAAGTGACTGAAAGCCGGCAGAGAGCGGAGCAAGTGCCATTGTTCCCTCTCAGACCCCTTCCCCACGTAGAGGATCACAACCTAATGACGTGGGTTGCCCCACCCTGGTGAACACCTAAGGCCCTGCCCTTTAGTACATCACAGGTGCACCAAGACAAAAAAAATATATAGTCCAAGTGAAAAAACAGATCAAAGCTCCAGAGAAAATACAACTCAGTGATGAAGAGACAGCCAACCTATCAGATACACAATTCAAACACTGGTAATCAGGATGCTCACAGAAATGGCTGAGTACGTTACAAAATAGAGGAAGAAGTGAAGGCTATGCAAATTGAAATAAAGGAAAATGTATAATGATCCAACAGTAAAGGGAAGGAAATTGGGACTCAAATCAGTGGTCTGGACCAGAAGGAAGATATAAACATTCAACCAAAAGAGAATTAAGAAAGAAGAATTCAAATAAATGAGGAGAGGCTTAGGAACCTCCGGGACAACATGAATCAACATCTGAATCATAGGGGTGTCAGAAGAAGAAGAGGAAGAGCAAGAAATTGAGAACTTACTTGAAAAAAACAATGAAGGAGCACTTCCCTAATACAGCAAAGGAAACAGACTTCTAGAAGTCCAGGAAGCTCAGAGAGTCCCAAAGAAGCTGGACCCAAGGAAGCACACACCAAGGCACATCATAATTACGTTAGCCTAGATTAAAATGAAGGAGAGAATCTTAAAAGCAGCAAGAGAAAAGGAGACAGTCACCTACAAAGGAGTTCCCTTTGTAGGCTGCATGGACAACTAATCTGCAGTAACTAAACTGCTTAAAGCAATGCCATGCCTTTGATTTCCAGCACATTGCACAGCTGAAGAATAAGATGCAGCAGTACGCTCAGGGAGAAGAAGCCCTCTTGCACATCTCAAGTGACATGTCTTGGCACCTGATAGCTCATCACAGTAAGTAAGGTGTCATGGGTGATCTTTATATTTAAAAAATAAAGTTTTTCTTCTGTTTAAGTCAATTTTAAATCAAATTTTACTGATTCGCATACAAGAAAATCAGACTATCAGCTGATTTCTCAAAAGAGACCTTACAGGCAAGAAGGGGCTGGAAAGAAGTATTCCAAGTCATGAAAGGCAAGGACCTACATCCAAGATTGTTCTATCCAGCAAAGCTTTCATTTAGAATGGAAGGGCAGATAAAGTGCTTCCCAGATAAGGTCAAGTTAAAGGAGTTCATCATCACCAAGCCCTTATTATATGAAATGTTAAAGGGACTTATCTAAGAAAAAGAAGATAAAAAAAAACAGGTATACTAAAATGACAGCAAACTCACAATTACTAACAACCACACCTAAAATAAAAATGAACTAAGGATCAGCCAAACAGAGTGGTGAAGGAATAACATAAAGGCACAAGGTCATCCAGAGGATTAGTGGATTGGGCATTGAATCCAAAAGCAGAACTTTGAGAACATCCGACACATAGTTGTTCATTTGCTCACTCATTACCAAAATAGCAACAAAATTTCGATTATTTTAATAAGTAATACACATCATCTTGATCGAAAGACAATGTAGTAGGATATTCTCGTGAGTACATGGCACCCCTTGGCTTTGTTACCAGATCCAGAAGAACCAAGATGCACTGCGTGTGGGGGGGTTGTCGGGGATGGTCCCTGGGCTCCGTGGAGCATGTCTCCCTTTCCAAAGCACAGCAGTAGTTTTCATGCCATTTTAATTCTACCAAAAACACATGCTATTGGTTGGAAAACTGTTGCCATTGAAACGATTACCCAGGGAGGTAAACGAATTTCCCCCTTAATTAGAGTCTTATTGCTGAGGACTGCTTTTATTTTTCCAAGTAAAAAAATGTAGAGCCTCAGTTTCCTCATCTATAAAAGGGGCAGAATACTTTATTCACCTAATAAGGTTACCGTGATCAGCAAATGGGACCGAATCCCTCTTACATGTGAGGAATTGCGCAAAACACTTGGGATGCACTGATACAGTTCTGGGCCTAGGGGTCATTCTGGTTTACTGGGGGAAAAAAGATGCAATCGATACCAGCCAGACAGACAACCTAATCTTTAACACAGGCAAAAGAACAAGCACTTCACAAAGAGGGTGTACAGGTGACTCCATTAATCATCAGGGAAATGCAAATAAAAACCACAATGGGACAGCGTCACACACCCTCCATGATGTTAAGTTGATAAAGACCAAGTTTCGGTAGAATGCGGAACAGCTGGTGTCCTCGTGCACTACTGCCGGAGTGGCACAGTGCACAGAACTGGACGACAGGCATCCCCCAGCCCTGTGGCTCGGCGGGAGTGTACACCCAACAGAAACCTGTACATGCATCCACCACAGAGCAGTACTAGAATGTTCACAGCAACCTGTTTGTGATGGCCCACCTCAGAAATTCTCTAAACCCCCACCAACAGCGGAGTACATTAATAAAGAGCAGTGGAGTCGTGCGATGGAATACTACACGGAATGAAGAATGAAGAAGCTTAACTGCACCGCGCAGTAAGGAAGGGAGGAAGCTCGCAAACATGGTGCTGAGCAAAGAGAGTGCGCACTGCGTCATTCCATACGTACAGTGCTTGAAATCAGACAAACCAGTCCAGGGTGTTCAAAGTCAGTACGGGGCTGCTCTTGTGGGGAGGTCGTGATGGGAAGGGGCGGAGAGGATAGCTGGGTGCCAGTTACCCCGGTGTGTTCATTAAACTGTATGCACTTTTCTGTATGTAACTTAAGGTTCATTTGAAAAGACCTGGGCACTTTTCTGTATGTAACTTAAGGTTCATTTGAAAACTTTTAAGAGCTATTCTCCTGTAACTACTACAGGTCTAAGCAATCAACCAAAACCATTGTGCAAACTGAAGTGCTCTTGAACTTACTTCTTTTAATTTTTTATTTTCCAGGAGCAAAGCATCTGTTTTTAGGTCATGTGCATAGATTTCATTTTCTAGGTTCTTCAGAACTTCAAAGTGAGTTTTGATTTTTTGGTTTTCTTGATCTCGTAATTGTTCTAATTCCTCCTTCACTTTATCCTGCTCAAGCATAAACTCACAGTTACATCACAGAAGTCAGGGAGCAGGGCACCGAGGTACTGGATTGCCTGGGCCACACTCAGAGCGGGGCCCCAGTTCACTCCTGGACCCCGGCAGAGGCCGCAGATTCCGTCCCTGGGAAACACTGTACATTAACTTCAACAGCTGGTTCCTGGACATTAGCTCGTGGACTCTGGGAAGTGGGTCCGCAGACCCCACGTTAAGTCGTCGAGACAACTTCACAAAATAAAATACATGTTGCTATAGGAACAACTGTCTAGCAAAAAGGGGAAGTTGGAGAGGAGTGAAATTTGTTGAAGATTTTTAGAGAGGATTTACTATTTCTCGAAGGAGAGGAATGTTACTTTATGGATTTCTCTGAATTTTCTACATTTTTCTCAATTGAATCTCTATAGTTATCATCCTGTTACAAATCACTTAACCTTTATTCATTGTATAATCACCACTAGCAGATCTTACTAAGAAAATAGAATTGAACATATAGCATATTACTTACAATTTCCCCGTCCTATTTCTCTACACCTATAACATATTGCAAGTTACTTTTGATACCAGTGTATATCAAAGAATAGGATGTTTCTATTTTTTAATTAAGCAACTCCACAAACATGTTTATCATTAACTATTGATTTTAACTTTTAAAAAGTGAGTAAACATCTCCTGACTGGCTCTCCTTTCATCCACTCCCTCCTTCCCTAACCTGCAGCCTCTGGCCACTTAACTTATCCTGGTCTCACCTGAGCTGACCAGAGAAGCGGATCTGAAAAGACTTCAGGAATCGGGACCCAGGCGCTACCTTATGGGTAAGGAAGCCGCAGCTGCCAAGGGGTTTGCCCAGGGCCGCCTGCTGGCTGCTGCCAGAGTCTCTCCCTCTCTTGCGGCTGCCTTCTCCCCATCCGGCACCTACGAATCAGCCACTTCAAACTCATTTTAGCTTTTTTCCTTCCCATTGCCTTTAAAAATGCTTGCATGGCTCTGTCTTGATTTGTCATCTTTGACATTTTCTATTTGTCATTTTAAGACATATACACACATGTATGTGTGTATCTATATGCATGTTTATATTTGTGTATGTTGCAAAATTTCAAAACGGTGGTATTAAAAGGGTAAGTGTAATCAATGTGGATTTCCTAAAAACTCCAGTAGTGCCAGGTAAGTACTGCTGTTCCTACATAGTGGCAACTCTAACGAAAGAAAGAAGAATGAGCACGTGGACTCTTTACCATGTTGTTAACGTATCTTGAAAAATCTCTTGTCAGTTGAGAAATGCGTTGTTCCAGCAAATCCTGTTCCTCCTTTTGTGCTATAAAAAGAGAGAGAGGGAGAAAATAACTATTCATAATGTTCTTTGGTTAAAAAAGAACGTTAATCAAAATAAGACACGCTCCTGGTTTTAAAAGTCAAATACGCTGTCTCAGCAAAAACCAGCAGTCCGGGCTCCCCCGCATTGCCTCCTCCCCTGTCTGACTCCTGAGAATCAACTACTTCAAACTCATTTTAGCTTTTTCTTCTTCCACTTTCTTTAAAAATGCTTACATGGCTCTCTCTCGATTTGTCATTTTAAGACGTTCCAGCTACTTCCTAACCCAGCAGAGGAGGACCCAGCATGGTCGCCCCGCCCCCGGTCGCCACGTCTTCCTCCTCTACCCTCCCCATAAAGTCAGGGTTTTTGTTTCACTGAACAAAGTTCCAATCACTGTGCGAATGTGACTGTTATTCACTCATGAGACAAATGGCCTCGTGTGATTATATGTACTTTCTTGTATAATTTTTTTGTTTTCTGGAGTTAATATAGCCTCGCTTTATTTTTACTTGATTTTCCAGGTGTATGTCCAGGTGTATACACCTTGGTTTTCCAGGTGTATGTCATAGTTCACATCAAAATCTACAGCACAATTATTACGTCTCTCCGCACACGAGCCACCACTTCGGGGGACTTGTCAGACCCACTCCTCCTCCCGACCCCACCGATTTCCGTGCCCCGTTTTCTCTGGGTCTTATGCACAGCCGGCCTCGCGGGACTTCCCTCCGCGTCTCCCTCATGTGGGACCTTCTCTTTCCCGAATCTCATATCCTCCTCTCTTCATTTATTCCCTCTATTCGTCAAGACAATTTTTTACTAGCTTTCCAAGACAGAGTAAATGAGATCTTATTTACTCTGAGATCTTATATATCTAAATATGTCTCTATTCTGTATTTATACTTGGATGGGTAGTTAAAGCTGGAAATGAATTTCTCTCCGAATTTTGAAGGCCATGCCCTCTGACCTCTAGTGTAATCACTGCAGTGAAGAAGGCTGAAGCAGTCTGATTCCTAATCTTTCGTGAGATCTCCTCTCTCTCTAGAAGCTTTGAGGATCTTCGCTTTTTTTTTCTCCTGAAATCCCACCGTGATGTAGCTCAGTGTGTTATCTTGCATACATTTTACTGGGGATTTGATGGTCCCATTCAAATATAAAATGCACATTCTCCAGTCTTGAGATACATTATTATACTGTCTTTGATAGTTTTATCCTTTTCACTCATTTCTGTTCTTTTTTTCTGGCCTTTCTGTTACATACTTGACGTCTCAGAGTAGCTTAATTTTTTTACCCTTTTATCCTGTTCTGAATCTCCTTATTATATGTTTGTTTTATATTTGGAAAGATTTCTCTGACTTTTCTTATAACCCTCCTATTGAATTTTAAAATTTTAGTTACTATGTTTTTCATTTCTAAGAGCTCTTTCTTGTTCTCTGTTCTTTCTTTTAAGCTCCTTATTCTTTTTCATAAATGCAATAGCTTCTCTTATTTCTCTAAGAATATACCGGTAAAATATAATCTCTATAATACACAGAGAATAAGTTCTCTAAGAATATGTGGTAATGTTCTTCGTGCTGTCTGTTTCCAGTGAGCTCTGCTCCATTTTTCTTTCTGCATTAGTTTTTCTTTCACATGGGAATTTTTCCTGAGCTATTTGGTGACCTTTCCTGTCTAACCCAATTTAAGAGTAAGGCCCTAGCCCGGGCCAGGTGGCTCAGCTGGTTGGAATATCATCCTGTACACCAAAAGGCTGCAGGTTCGATCCCTGGTCGGGGCACCTACGGGAGGCAATCGATTGATGTTTCTCTCTCACACCGATGTTTCTGTCTCCCCCTTTCTCTCTCATCAATATACATACCCACATATCCTTGGGTGAGTGAGAATGTAAATAAAAAGCGAGGCACTAAAAGGTATGGTTCCTGGGTGGGCTTCCCTATGCAGCAATGAAGAAGGGACCAGCCATTTTTGTCGGGGGACCCTCAGCTATTAGAGTCTATGGGGCTTTTCTCTGAAACTTCAGTCTCCTTAGAGAAAAATCCAGCCGTCTCAGTTCAGCACCTGTCTCCTGCACTCCGTCACAGCGATATGCTGCCATAACCTGCCGTTTAGAAACTTCTGGTCCGGTTTCTCTGCCAGCGTTGAGGAGGGATAGTCACTCAGCTGCACAGAAGATGGCATTTGACCTGGCGATCTCACTGCTCGTGAGAAAGACTTTCAACCAGTCCTCAGCCCCAGGACTCATCTCAGTCTTCACAGTATCAGGGTCGCCCAAGGCCCAGGACTTCCCAGGGCCTCTGGAGAGGACATCTCGCCTTCACGGTGGGCTTCTCTGCAGGCTCTTGTTGTTCTCACCTCTTTCTGCTCATCCTTCTATCCAATTACTCCTTCCAAAACTTTGTTGGTATTTACTATCAGCTGATGTCTTCTCTGCCAGTCTCTTTGTACTTGTGGATTTATTTATTTTTTAAATAAAATTCTTTACTCATATTTTCGTGAAGTTCCTTTAGAGAGCAAAGATAGATGCATGTGTTTTATCCATCACATTCAACCAAAAGTCACCGCGGGGGTCCACGTGTCCTCAGCCCGCTGTTCTGTCCTCTGTAAGCCCCACCCCTGGCAGGGGAAGTACATTTGCTACCCTCTGAAGCACAGATGCTCTATGGCCCCTTTCCCCCTTCTTTACCGACTTTCTTCTGTATTTTTTCTCTTTAACCGTAAGAGAATCAGTACTTGCAATATACTGCTTGTTTTCATACTTACAGTGTATGACAAGCCTCACACCTTCAGGGATAATTCTGAGTCTGTCAACTTTTGGGTGCAGGGTTAGATGACCATGTCTAATTATTGTGGAGAAAATAATGATTTTTATATTAAACACAGTTATGCCAAGTCTTAGAATGCAAAGTGTGCATACTTTCAGACACATTTCACATTCTCTACAAAGCTCCCAGATCTGAGACAAGCTCTTGTCTATCTCTGCCTCAGCGGTAGGTTAGTGAAAAAAAAATCTGAGGGGTACCCACTTCCTAAGTGGTTTAAGTCATAACTGGAAACCATACAACTTGCAACTTTATGTTAAAGAACAGGAAAGAACCTCCACATGGCAGTGAGATACAGAAGTTGATTCTACCTTTACCAAGTACAGAGAGAAACCACAGAATATAGTTGCTACTAATTCTTAATTTTAAACAGCCTTCAAAAGAGAAGAGGAAAAATTGGACAACAGCAACAGTAAGATTTTGTGATGTTGAGAAGAGGAAATTCATAGATAAGAAAAAAAACCCTAGAGAATAAGAGTGATGGGAAAAGTTGGAAGAATTTCACCCTTGCTTTGATGGGTGACCCACCTGGCTTCCTGTTAGAAGACAACAGTGAAATCCTTACCTGGCGTTGAGGTCAATGACTAAGTGCTTCCCACGTACCTGTGATAATGCTATTGAGCTCGTCACACTTTTTGTTTTTGATCTTATATTCTTCTTCTGCCACTTGAAGATAGGGAAGGCACTCGACTAGTTCATCTTCCTTTATTTTGGTGCTTGCTGTTCCCTGAACATATTTTTCCTTTAGAGAAAGTAAAGCTGATTGTGAGATATGATTTTGGAGCATCGACATAACACTCTGGAGTAGAACACAAATTCTTCTGGGGGAAGAGTCTCTCCTGGTCTGCTTTTATCCTGAGGTGCATAGCAAGGTATCTGGCACACACTAGATGTTTGAAAAATATCTGCTGGCTGACTCGCCGACTCTGGCCATCTATAAGCTAGGGAGATAATATTAAATGGCTTTCCAAAGATCCCCTCAGTTCTATAGCTCTATGGCTATAATTCTACTGAGGCTACCATGTATGTACCTCAAAATCATTTGAAGAATTTCTCTTGGTTGCTCATATATTATTTAAAAAAACAGACAGCTGGAGAGAATATACACAAGTTCTAAGAAATATATATGTAAGTAAGAAATGGAAAGGGTGTATCAATAATTGGATAAAAGTCTACAACAAATGGGTAAAAGTGCCGAAGCAAAATGTGAATTTGCCTGCTTAATTATTCAAACTCAGGTTTTGCTTAGTTTCAAATGGAGTAACAGGCCCTTTTTAGAAGGGTAGGGTGGGTTGCAGATGGTGACGAAGGCAGAGGCAGCCCGGTGACGTTTACTATCCGTCCTTCTGTCCTCGGATGTCAGGATTCCTGAGTTTCAGCAGAACATGCGGCTGCCAGCCCAGTGATTTCTCTGTTCCCGTGCAGGTGGGGCTGACCAACAAGTTTGTGAGTCGAAGTGGTTTGTGCCACTTCTGGGCCTTGTCTCCGCAACGAGAAGGGGAACGTGCTCCCTTGGCCCTTTCCTCCCTCCACTGGCGGGGACCCTGCGCACAGAAGCTGCCAGTTGGCCCCTCAGGGGTCGGCCTCCTGCTGAGCACGGCAGAGCTGCCCTTGGCCCTGGCCCGCGTTTCCTTTGGCTGAGAACCAAGACAAAAATAAACGTCTCTCTTGCTGTAACGACCACACCAGTGGGTTTTCTCAACTAGACATGAAGACTCTGAAGATGTGAATAGACTATACCAGTTTACTCTTAAAAACTTTAATTTTCGTTTTTACCCTATTGTAACTGCATATAATTGGAAGGAAACCCTGAGTGCCAAGCACGATTCCCCCCCCCCGGCAGGAGGGGCCCTAAAACACAGCCGACCACAGGTCAGTGTCCTTTGACCTCACCGAAGTGACAACGCAGATGCAGGAGGGAGACCCACACAGGTGGCTGTGCCGGCCCCGGGTTCAAATAGGACCCAACACTTCTTGGGCATAACTCCTAGGTCCCCACAAGGGACATGCCCACTTAAAAGAGGCACCAAGCCCTGGCTGGTGTTGCTCAGTGGATTGAGCGCCAGCCGCAAACCAAAGGGTGGCCAGTTCGATTCCCAGTCAGGGCACATGCCTGGGTTGCAGGCCAGGTCCCCGGTATGGGGCTCTTGAGAGGCAACCACACACTGATGTTTCTCTCCCTCTCTTTTTCTTTTCCCCTCTCTCTAAAATGAATAAATAAAATCTTAAAAAAAAAAAGAGGCACCAGACCCAGAAAAGCCCAATGTCATAGTTTCCCACCTGTTGTTCTCCCAGTCAGGATGCAGCCTCCCTGCCAGGGCCATTCTACATGACCGATGCCACCTGACCGTACCACTGACGGTCCACCTTCATCAGGCTACCAGGGCAAGAAGCCAACAAGTTAAGACAAGGTCAACTTGCCAGTAAAGGAAAGAGTCTTGCTAACCCTTTAGACACATCTTGCCTGTGTCCACTGTATTCGACATTCCTTTGATGAAACAGCTTGCTCATACCCTATGAATTAATACAGTGATGATATGCTGGCCTGCTATGCAGCCTTCCGAATTGCCATTATAATCCTTATAAGTAAAATATAGAAAGAAAAACACACATAAGACACCATAGTGTGAAAATATCACAGTGCAGTGTCAGAGACTGCATTGTTAAAAAAACCCAGTCACATGTTATTTACATATGTTTTGTACAAAACAATGGCCTGGTGGGGATAGGGAGGTATGCGAGTGCAGTAATTCATTCCCATTGTCTGCCCTCTCCCCCCATCTCTGCTCCAGACACGCCGCCCCCTTGTCATTCCTCAAATAGCTCAGTCCTGCCTCAGAACCTCCAGGCCCAACGTGCGGTCTGCGGGAACCACCGGGTGCAGATTTCTCCACGGCCTGCGCCTTCCTGCCCTGCGGGGCTGTAGCCTTCGCTGACCACTCCGATCCAAACGGCACACACACCACATCACGCAAACGTCCCTGCTTTCTTCTTCTCTGTAGCAGCTGTCCCCAACCTTTCCGCGCCGGGGACCAGTTTTCCCGGGACCGGTGCCAGGTGAGGGAGTGGGAGGTCGTGCTGCGCGTTCGGACAGGGCGTTGGGGCGGGGGCGGGGGCAGGGGCGGGCGGAGACCGGAGGCGGAGCTCGGGCGACCCTCCGCCGGGATCTGGACCCGTCTGCGGCCCGGGCTGTGGGGAGCGGCGCGCCCCTCCCTCCGCAGCGAGCACCACCGTCAAACGTACTACACGTTCTAGTTGTTCATCTTGTTGGTTTTCAGTCTCCCCCACGGGGATGTAAGCTCCACAAAGGCCAAGTTCTACTTCTGTTTTTGTTTTGTTTTGTTTTGTTTTGTTTTGTTTTGTTTTGTTTTGTTTTGTTTTGTTTTGTTTTGTTTTAAGCATCTAGAAGAACACATGGCACCCAGATATTCTACAAGCAAGAGAAATGCTCGTCACCCCAACCGCTCTGCAGTCCGTTTCCTCTAATTTTGCCCAGTTCGCGCCTTGCTTTCCCCTTTATCTGTTCCCTGAGCTGTGCCTGTTCCGCTTCCCCGCTTCCTAACCAGGGCCTCCGACTTCTGCCGGTGCTCCCGTGTCGCTGATTTTCCGCGGCGCCTTCATGAAATGATGTTTTTTGTTTTTTTTTTTAATTTACAAAAGAAGGTTTGAGCACAGTTTTTATCTGTTCCGGCATCGTTTTTCTGGGTGTTCTGCATTTGCTGGACGGTTTTGCTCCGCCTTTCACTCGTTTTTCTCATTGCATTTTTGTGTGGAAGACGCATCTGCTTCCTTCTTACTCATATTAGAAAGAAGTGGGTTTTCTGGGATCATCCTCTGCAAAGGGCAGTGCGGCGCGGCGGGAGGAGATGTGGGCGTGGCCCAGGGCGAGATCTAAACTGAAATTTGAGGACTCCCTACTCCGTGGTCACAACCAATAAAGACCCTGGTTGGTGTAGCTCAGCTGCTTTTCCTGCTATGAACGGAATGAAGTCGGGAAGGCTTCTCCCACCGGCTCTTCTGTCCTCGGCTTCTCTACCACTGGTGCCCTCCAGGAAATACACCCTTGCCGTTCAAGGCCACACCACCACCTCGAAAAGGTGTGTTTTCTGTTGTTGCCAGACACCCCCCACCCCCGATGTAGCACCCAGGGCCTCCCTATTCCACCCCGGGCAGCGCTCCGCCGGTCCCAAGTCAGTACAAAACGATGTCTCCTTGCTCCATTCCCTTTTTGGGAAAGAAGAAAGATTCAGAATGAAATTGGGACCTTGGTCATACAAAAAGATTTATTGGACACTTAATTAATTAGAAGAGCATGAAATATACCGCTCTCCCTTGCAAAGAGCCATCTAAAATTATTCTCAGATGTAAAATAAAATTTACCTCATACTTGGTCAACTCTTGAATTAACTTTTTTTCTTTGACGATGAATTCCTCCTCCTCTTGCTTTAATTCTAACGTAATTTTTTCAATCTGTACCAAATAGTCAGCGATCTCTTTTTCTCTAGAACTGGTCTAATTAGGGGAAAAAATAGAGGATTTGTCATTTGTCTGGTAACAGTCATCCTTACATTTTCAAACAGCCAAATAAGTGAGTCTCTCTTTGCATTAAACTGCGCTCTGATTTCAGGTCCCTATTCTGCAGTAACCACTGAGAAGTTCTATTTATTTATGTATTTGTTTATTCCCTTGGAGGTTGGTGACCTCACCAAACAGCATGGACAAATGTAGCGAGGAAGTGGAGAATGGGAGCAGTGGAGCAGGGAGGGTGGGCAGAAGGTAAATATGGAAACTAAAATTACGTTCAGTCTCTATTTTTAGAGATAAATTTCTACAAAACTATCAAGTTTCTCATTATGGCCTTCAAAAACATATTCTGGAGAGAACTGCTACTTTATTTGCTAAATTCCTACAGTTGATACACAGCAAATGGATACATCTGAAAAAGTTAAATAATTCACCTTAAACGTGAAGGTGGCAGGAAGAAAAATACCTTTTGGTTAAATTAAATATTGAAGGAGAATCACTGATACACAGTACAGGGGACTAATACTAAGTCTGTTGAGTTCCCTTACCTCTTCTAATAAAGCACTGCGTCTCGCTTCTGCGGCCTTAATTTTATCTATAAGGAGTTGCAATTCAATTTGCATTTTGAAAAGCCAACGTCTATGTGTTCTTTTCAGGCAAGCTATTTTCCATTGAGTTATAATACTAGAGGGTAGAACAAATAGAATCATTATCAAATTGCCATAAGAGTCTACAGAAAAGATGAAGGAATGCAAAAGAAAACAAGATTACACGAAATTGTGCAATCGGGGATGCAGACTGCACCTTCACTGAAACAATAAGACCAAAACATCGGCTGCCTCGAGGCTGGATGTACAGGTGGCTTCCAAGTGAGAAGCCACCCAGGCGCAAACCACAGGACAGCGGGCAAACCACACATGGCAGCCTGCGTCCTGTAGGGAAAGGAGAGGCGTGGGAAAGGCTCAGGGGCAGGTGGAAAAAGAACAGACCCAGGCAGCATTCGTCATGGAATTCCCTAAATTACCCAGAGTGCTAATAAGAGATTACAAAGTTCTAGGCTCTCAAATTTTTCTCTCCACCACAACATAAAAAAAGTTACATATAATTGGAGCTGAAAATGTCCAATTTGACTCTTACAAATCATATGAATAGAAATGACAACACCAACAATAATAAAATAGAGGTAAGCTTTCCTAAGCGCTTCCTAGTGCTGGGAGTTGCTCAAAATACATCACGTGGATCATCTCATTTACCACTCATGGCAACCTGATCAGGTGGGTGCTATGGTCATTCCCCACTTTATAGGGATGGGAGCAGAAATTATTAATTAACTGACCGAGGTCCCAGAGCTAGTGAGAGGCAGAGCAACCACAGCCCATTGCAGAGGCCGTGCTCCTACCCACTGTCCTCTGTCCCTGTACATCACCTCCCATACTGTCCACACGGAAGCCAGCGTGAGCAAGAGGCATTCCACAAATCTTGGCTCATGAAAGCTTCTACTCTTTCATGACTTCGCTCTGTTCAAATGGAAAACTTTGGTTCTGTTCAATGCCAAAAATCAAGCTAACACACACATCTAGATCTGAGAGAACTCAAACAAGTTAACTTAGGAAAATCGGTTCCCTGGACTCTAGCAACCAACAAGTAGTCTGGTATCCTTCCTGTGTCCGAGCGCTGTTCATTCAGATGGCATACGCTATTTATAACACAAAGGAACTTGTTTTCTTTACCATCTCTGACGTTCTCTTTCCAGGTTATCATTGAGGACTCTTATCTGTTTCCGGTAGACTTCCTTTGTTGCCCTGAAAACAAGAAAAATCACATTGGATTCGGCACCTGTGGGAGCTGTTAGAATACATAAAACCTTCTGTATAATTCTTATGTACAGTAAGGTTACTGCCTAATTGGGAGACAAAACGAACCTTGTGAGACAACTAAAGGCTTTAGTGCCAGACTACTAGGAAGACAGTTACAATTCAATGCAAGCACAAAGTGATTCTATAAGTTTTGAGGTGTATTTCCGAGGACAGAGCACAGATTTTTTGGAGGCAGTAGAGGAAAGCTTATTGGAGGTTAATGTTTAAAAGAAGGGGAAACATGGAGCTCCAGAATGGTGGTGCAGTCTTACCAAAGAAAGGACGTCGTCATCTGCAGAGACACAGGGGAAGGGAGCAGCAAGTCGGGACTCCTGTGACCAAGGCAGGCTCGCTGCATACAGAGGACGTGAGTGGAAGTTACACTCTGACATAGGATGACTTAGAGTCAACAAATCGGCGAGGAGCTCTGTCCTCCAGAATGAGCTAGATACAATGTCTATTCCTGAAAGTCAGTAGAAATTCTTGAACTAGGGGTAAACGGTAATTAAGGATGGAAGATTTTCTGATGAATCTAAAATGGATGAAAACGTGAAGACTCTGATAGAGGTATTAGAAGCCTTTAATATTCTTATTCCCTCTTTTTCTTATTAAATGCTTTCATGCATAGAGGAATGTAAGGCCACAGAAATAAGATGTGACTTTGTGTCTTTATAAAAGATACTTGTAAGTGAAACTTAGAATATGAAATACTCTTAAATAAACTAGAAACACACTATGCTTTTTTTTCTATTTGAAATCATTACATGGGCTCTCATTTTCTTACCTAAATAAACCTAACACCCCCCCCCCCGAACGGTAGGGCTCTTCATAATTTGCCCCAATGTTATTGATTTTATTTATATATTTGATTTAATCCACAAAGGAGCTCACTAATTTAAAATAAAGCAACAGTAATGTAAAAAATCCTAAGTGGATACCAATAGTGGGCCACAAATTTGGCTCTCAGCTTTCTGGTGTCCAGAGTAATGATGACACAATCATTGATTAGAAATTTGCATTTTTCAGGAGGAAAATAAAGCCCCAATTCTATCTTCTTGCTCTACATAGATAAAAGCTTATAGTTTTCTTTCTGAGGTTCACATGATTAGAAAGAGATGTTTAAATATATTATTTAGCAATACATGGACCAGGAACCAAAAAGCTACACTTCCTGCCTTATTCTACATTTCTGTTGGTATGTGTCAAATTTTCATCCCCACCTATCTTAGATTTCTGTAAGTTGGTCTCTTTGGTGTCCTATATTTAAATTATTTATATCTCTATGTGTGGTGATATTATTCTACCATTTAATAAGCAAACAGAAAAATCTAACTTGCTTTTAAAGGTATGAACTTTTAAATCTTTATATGACAAAGAAGAACTTCTTGACTTTCATCCGTTTTTTAGAAATAATTCACACTGTTCTTTAGTCATACACAATTCATTACTTTGCATGTGTTTTTAGTCTTCATCATCTGCCCAGCTAAAGGATAAGTGGCTTTATGCCCAGCCTTAATGAGAGTATAAAGTGGTAGAATATTTACATAGGGCATTTTGATAATAATTATAAAAATTAAAAATACACAACTCTCTTTGATCCAATAATTCAATGCTTAGGACTTTACTATAAAGAAATAGTCACATGGTTGGACAGAGATAAGTTAATGTTAACTTTGAAAATGGTTTGTCATACAGGAAACAAAAAATGCCTATCAATAGAGCACAGGTTAAATAAAATACAGTATAATCTATGAAAGTAACACTATGCAGTTAGAAAAAAGAATGAGGAAAAAAAGCCTGTGTATATAATTTTTTTCCTTTATTTGAAATAGCTTTGAACTCAATAGGTAAATGTAAAAATTAGTACAAAGAATTCTGATATACCTTCCACCAGCTTCTCCAAATATTGCCATTTTACCATGTTTTATCATTTTCTTAGAAATAATTTTTGCAGTTTATGTAACTGACATATAACATCATGTATGTCACCCAGATATAAATTTAAGTGGAAAAGTCCAATTACAAAAGAGTACAATCCAAGTTTTGGGTAAATGAATATGTACATACATATATATACACACACATATATCCAGCACACACACACACACACACATATATAGTATATATACACATACATATCGTATATACACACATATATACAGTATACACATACATAAATATGAGTATATATATTAGAAAGCTTGTATAGAGTACTGTTAACAGTAATTTTCTCTGTGGAGAGAGTAGGTAACCTTCACTCTCTAAGTTACATATTTTAGTATTTGAATTAAAATCAGATATCGTCATTACTTGTGAAATCAAAGTGACTTAGATGGTAGAAATGGACGTGACGGGGGTCGGTGTTGTCGCGATGTCTGGGCACATTCCTGCCACTGGTCCCCTCGCCCGCCAGCCTCATGCCCAGCACCTTGTGAAGAACTCAGACCTGCCCATCCTTTTGATGAGAGACTCTCTGATAGTGACTTTTCAGGACCGTAGAACAAATAGAACTTATTATAAACCTTCTTTTCTTAGTAGATTAGAATTTGACACAGATTTGTTGCTACTATTTATTTAAAATAAATGAAGAGAAGACAGATTAAAAATTTCAAACAACAAACATACCGGAGAAGCTCAGCAAGCGTGTGGAGTCCTTCTTCCATATTTTTGATGTCTACTTTCCTTTGCGACAGGAAGTTCTCTTTCTGAGTGATAAACGCCAGCTGTTTGTGATTCCTGCCATGACAGGAGACAGAGCTGTCACATGCCAAAGGTTTAAATGATCGTTTTTAACTCCTCAGCGTGAGAAAACAAACCATCACCAGTAAAAATCTCAAAAGTAGTTTGGAAGATTTAGTTCGTGAACTATTTACCCAATGAATCAGGAAAAATGGAAACAAAGTCTTTCTGCGTGTTGGGGCTGAACCTATGCAAACCCCCACGTCAATCACAACAGCACCCACAAAGCCATGAGGAATGCCCTGTGGGACCTGATCCCGCTGAGTGGGTGTCTCTCTCCTGCTGCACGGATCAACTTTGTCACGTTCTTTTGTGAAAGGCAAAGGAGTCAATCAGACCCATTTTGAATGCTGGCTCTACCTCTTCCCAGGAGTGTGACTTTGAAAAGAAACTTTACTTATTAATGAGCCTCTGTTTCCCCATCCATAAAATGGGGGTTATAATCTCCCTGGAAATACAGTTAAATGAGATGAAAGCATTTTATAAATGTGGTTATCTCGTTTGGTCTCTAAGCTGAGGAAAGAATGATAGGAAGCTTATGGTTTTGTTCACACTTCCAGACATTGAGAGGAACATGCCCATAACAGAAAGTACTTTATCTAAGTGTCTTATCTTCAAAACCACCGTGGACAGATCTGTGTCCTCCACAGATGCACATGGTGAAGCCCCAATGACCAATGTGATGGTATGTGAAGAGGGGGCCTTTAGGGGGGTTAGGGTTAGATAAGGTCATGAGGGTGGGCCCCTCATGAAGAGATGAGTGTCCCCATAAGAAGAGTCCAATTACAAAAGAGTACAATCCAAGTTTTGGGTAAATAAATACATACATACATATATACACACACATACATATACAGTGTACACACACACACATATATATATAGTATATACACACATATACAGTATATACTTACATAAATATGAGTATATATATTAGAAAGCTTGTATAGCATACTGTTAAGAGTAATTTTCTCTGTGGAGAGAGTAGGTAACTTTTACTCTCTAAGTTACATATTTTAGTATTTGAATTAAAGAAGAAACAACAGTGTGCTTGCTGTCTCTCTGCGTGCGAGGACACAATGAGCAAGTGGCTGATCTGCGAGTCAGGTTGAGAGCCAGGGCCAGAATCTGCCTATGCTGGCATCCCGACCTGGGCTATCCAGTCTCCAGAGCAGTGAGAAATCAGTTTCTGCTGTCTAAACCACCCACTTGATACCACCTTGTCATGGCAGGCCAAGGTGAAAGGGACAAAACCCAATAAAGGTGGCAGATGTCTCAGTGTTACAATGATTTGTCATCAGTTCATTTTATATTTCAAACTTAGGATTCATCTGAGTACTAACTTAGTATTCATCTGAGGAAAGTTTTTGCCTGAAGAATATTAAGTTTTAGTCTCAGTAAGCTGTTCTATTGCATGAGATAAAAAGATTGCCACAACTCTCTCTAGCTTCAGGGCAACAGCAACACTTATAAACTCAGCTTTCCAATAAGTGGGCCTAGACACAGTAGTTACACTTCTGTGAGATTTAACTTCAAGTGCAGAGATGGGTTATTACTTACATAGTTGATGCTTGCCAGGTGTCATTCTGTAGAATTCATTAAGATGATAATTGTGAATGCCCACAACCTGCTGAGCAGTGCACAAGGTCTTGGGGATATTGTGCTGAGAGAGACAGAGCCACTGCCCTGATCTGTTCAAAGTTCAGTAGGACAAAGGGATTTGGACCCAGTTGATTACAATGTGGGAACTCAAGAAAAGGCATGGCTTTAGAGGGATGTTTCACTCTGGTGAAAGGGAGAAAGACCAGATGGAGAAAGTGGGAAGAACTTTTCAGGGGGAAGCCAAACCAAAGAGGCTGAAAGAGGTGAAAAAATGAAGTTGGAGAGGAGGATAGGGCATATTTGAGAAATTTGGGGGAGGTGGAATTGACAGGCCATGGTGCTTAAATGGAGTCCAATGAGTAGTAAAAGACAGGGGTTTCCTCAAAGAATTCCCCAGGCTCTACATCAGAGGACTACGTCAAGGACCGAACCCTTCTCTGACACAGGGAACACAGGGGCAGAGCCAGTTTCTGATGCGTGTAGACCTCACAGCTTCTCCAGATTGCCTTGTAGGGTGAAAGAATGATTATTCTTTCAGGAACATGGTTTATAAGTTCAAAACATGCACTTGATGTTTACGAATTCAATTTGATCCATATGAGGGAAGTATTACTCAATATTATAGAGAAAGATTAGGAGTGTGTATTTATTATTAGGTAACAAATGTTATATCATTGTCAATAGCTTTTAAAATGAGGATAAGCTTATTTGGAGAGTGACCACTTTGACAGCAAGGAAAGCTCCCCGTAACTATGGCACGTTGGTTCATGTGTGGATCATGAATAGAAACATACTCATCGTGGATTTTCTTTTTCTGCAGAAAAACTTTATCCTCCTCCTGTATGACTATCTTACACTGTCTGGAAAGAGTAGCCAATTTCTCTTGTAGATCTTTGTTTTCTAATTGACTTCCGTGTATTTTTTCAGCCATCTAGGGAAAAAAAACCAAAGTAGTTAAGGTAGAGGACCTGCTTCACAGTCCCTTCGAGGGGAGTCGGGGTCAGATGGGCAACTCTCTAGAGCGCAGGAACTTCGTTTAGCACAGAATGACTATGCCACAGAGGGTGAGCGAGAGATTTCTACATCAAATATGCAATCATACATTTTGGGACCTCTTCCATAAATTACAACAAAAGTGTAGAAAAGTAGTTAATACTGATGCAAAACCAGAGAGTAATAATTAACATGTAAATAAAAATCGGGATTAATAAACTGAGATCACTCAGTTTATGATATATAGGTAATATATATATATATATATCCTATATATATCTATATATATAGGATATATATATTTTTTTCTAGAAGGTAAGTTGCACTGGGGAAGTAAAGTATAACATCAACAGAAGCTCTTACTCATAACCTCTTTGACTGGATGGATATTATACTTACTTCTTGTTAAATATTTCTATTCAAGGACCAAAATAGAGTACTCATTAGTGCTCTGAAGAAGGCGAAGTAAAGCCTTCATGTTTGGATGCTTCTACTGAATTGATCAAATGTAGTGAAAAAGGTAAATTGAGTGTCAATGGTGTGCTCAATAATTCAAAATAACCTTCTGGCTGAGGACCACTAAAATGGCTGGAGGAAAACTTTTTTAAGTGTTGAAGAACTAACAAGATACTGAGGAATTATTAGACCCATTTCTACAAGAAAGCAAGACTCCACTGTGATAAATCTATTTTTAATCCATTTTTCACTGAAAAAATCCTTTTACCTTAGGACATTTAAAGACATGGAAGAAACCACTTGAAAAGTGAGTTTGGGTTCTCTTACATGACAAGGGGGATGGAGGTCAACACTTGGAGCTCGCCCAGGTGTTGAGTCTGGTAAGTCTCCCATCGTGTTAGTCTGGGATCCCAAAGAGCTTCACCCCTTGGTGAAGGGTGGATCGGAAGCTAAGAAGCCATGGTCCATGACCACAAAAGAACCAATAGGTGGATTAAGGTAGTTTGGGACTGGTATGCATGTATATTTGAGTATCTATAAAAATAAATTGGGTCATATTATATGTTCTATTTTATATTTGTCATTCAATAATATATTTTAAACTATGAAATTTAATCAAGGCACTTCTGTTAAACTTTGCTTGTATTTTCCCTCTGTTCAACTATCAAAATAAATGCTTCATTGATATTTTGTGGAGAAATCTTAGTGTACATCCATGGTTAATTACTTAAAATATCATATTTCTTTTAACCTAAGTTTCAAATGTCCAGTGAATTCCCCTGGGGCCTAAATCTGACTCAAATGTTTTACTAATATTATTAAGAGCAATACAGTTGCTACACTTCATGGGTACCACACAGCAGTAAGAAGCTCCTAATTTTTCTAATTAATTCACCTGAAAACTGTCCATTAGTCATGGATAGTCTTTAAAAATTTTATTTGTTATTATTGTTCAATTATAGTTGTCCCCATTTCTTTCCTATTACTCTCTCCTGCCCTACCCACTGCCTACCTACCACATTCAATTTTCCCTCCCACCCCCATTGTCTTTGTCCTTGGGTCTTTTTATACATGTTTTTTGACTAGACCCTTCCACTTTTTTCCCCTATTATCCCCATTCCCCCTGCCCCTCTGGTCACTCTCAGTTTGTTTTTTACTTCCATGTCCCTGGTTCTATGTTGCTTGCTTGTTTGTTTTGTTGATTAGATCCCTCTTATAGGTGAGATCATGTGGTATTTGTCTTTCACCCCCTGGCTTATTTCACTTATCATAATGCTCTCCAGTTCCATCCATGTTGTTGTGAAGGGTAGGAGTTCCTTCTTTCTTTCTTTTGTGCAGTATTCCATTGTGTAAATGTACCACATTTTGTTTATTTTTTCAAGATTTTATTTATTTTTTTTTAAAGAGAGAGGAAAGGAGGGAGAAAGACAGGGAGAGAAACATCAATGTGTGGTTCCCCAGTTTTTGGATCCATTCACTTATTGATGGACTTGGGCTGTTTCTAGCACTTGGCTGTTGGGAACCACCCTGCCTGGTTTCAGAAGCTGTAACCCCCCCCCCCCCCCCAAGGCTAAGGCTGAGTGAGCGACCTTCGGACTATAAGCCACTAAGGAGACAAAGCTTATCTCCCTGGCAAGAGCACTGCTCCTTTTCCCATATCTGGCCCCAAATGCTTGATCAGTTGGCCAATTATGGGTAAGATTCCCCAACGGGGGAACAACCTAAGACAGGCACAATCATGGGGAGGGCCCAGGAAAGGGTTTGCAGGGCTACAGCAAAAGAGAGTAATGGACCCTCACCCCTCAGCTTTGACATAACCTGAGTCCTCATTCTGTCTGCAAGAAGTCTCCTAATTTCTTGGCTGCCTTACTTCCCCTGCCTGACTTAAGCCTGAAACAATGACAGAGGGTGGTGCAGCCCTGTGCTGGAAAGGGCAGGTTCCCCAGGCAATCAGGCTTGAGAAAGAATATATAAAATCCTGTGAAACCTGCTTTGCTAAGAATTCTCTCAATTAAATGACGAGGGTCCTAGCAGGAAATGAGTTTGTTTCCCAAAGTTTTGCAGCCCTTTAGCTAACAGACCCTGACTCAGAATAGGCCCTCAGAGTTCTTTCTATGTTATCTATTGTTTGATCCTTACTGCCCAACAATGATTAATGAGCTTTACCTGTATTCTTGTGCAAAATAAACCTAATAAAAGCCCATTGAGCAAAAGGCTCTAGGCCCTTCTCCTTTAAGAGACTGACCACCTTTCTTCCCCAAGCATATCATGTCTTGGTAGACTTATTCTCATCCATGGTGGCCCCTGGGGGGAGCCCCCCCCACTTGGCTATTGTAAATAATGCTGTTATGAACATGGGGTGCATGGGTTTTTTGGAACTGGCATTTCAGGATTCTTAGGGGATAGTCCCAGCAGTGGAATCATTGGGTCAAAAGGCAGTTCTATTAGTTTTCTGAAGAAATTCCGTACTGTTTTCCACAGTGGCTGTACCAGTCTGCATTCCCACCAGCAGTGCACTAGGGATTCCTTTTCTCCACAGCCTGGCCAGCACTTGTTATTTGGTGATTTGTTAATGATGGCCACGCTGACCATTGTGAAGTGGTATCTCATTGTGATTTTAATTTACATCTCTCTGATGGTTAGTGATGCTGAGCATGCTTTCATGGGTCTCTTGGGCCCTCTGTATGTCTTCCTTGGAGAAGTGTCTGTTCAGGTCCTTTGCCTATTTTTTAATTGGATTGTTTGTCTTCCTGGTTTGGAGTCATGTAAGTTCTTATATATTTTGGAAATCAAACCCTTGTCTGAAGTATCATTGGCGAATACACTTTCCCATATGGTTCCCTTTTCATTTTGCTGTTTTCTTTAGCTGTTAAAATATGGAACTCTTCACGAATTTGCATGTCATCCTCGTGCAGGGGACATGCTAATCTTCTCTGTATCGTTCCAATTTTAGTACATGTGTTATTGAAGCAAACACAGTCGTGGACAGTCTTAACATAAAATAACCATACCCATGTGAAAAGCTACTGAGAAAATGGTTCATCTTTACATAACTATCTTTGCTCATTTATACAATTAAAGTTTTTGGGGATGGAATAAAATCTTTCAATCAGTAACTGTTAATTATCATGATTCTTATTGGTTCATGAAAATGTACTTTTGGAAAATTTCACATTCCTCATGTTTATTTAAAATATTGACTAAAAATAAAATCTAATTATAATCTAAAAATCATCATTTCTGTTTTCCTACCTCCTTTATCCTCTGCAATAATTCATTTTTTTCAGTATTAGATGCATCATTCAGTTTTTCCTTGCTCTTCTTAAAAAAAGTCCTTGAACAAAGAAAGTCAACAAATTCCTATTAAAACATGTTTTTTAGCAAAGCCACATCACCCTACATAACATATTTACTTACATAGCCATTATACTAGACAAAAGAAGTTAGTTTTTGAACTGATGGATTAATTATTTATTATTGTATTCAATCATTTAAGAAGTGATTATCAAACACCTGCACTTTGCCTGTGTTATAGGTACATGAGCTGCCGCATAAGCAAAGTACTTACTTTCATAAGAACTGCACTCTACTGGAATGAATAGTCAGAACATAAGCAAATTTTCACAAAATAAACAAATAACATATTTCAGACAGTGTTAAGTGCTGAAAGAACACAAAGTCGGGTAAAGGACATTTGAGAAAGCCTGAGAGCAGGGTTGCTACTTTAGACAGGAAAAAAACTCTCAGAATGACTCGTGAAAGACCTGAACAATGAGAAGGAGCCAGATATGTAAAGATCCAAATGAACAGCTTTTCATGTAGAAGAAGCAGCAGCTGATAGCCTCCTGAAGCAGAAACAAGCTTGGTGTATTTTACAGAATGGGACATGAGAAGGCAGGGTGAGGTAAACAGAGACTAGATCATACAAGGTCTTGGGGACAAGGCAGAAGTTCCGATTTTATTCCAGAGGAAACCAGGGAAGGATTTTTCCAGCAGAGGAGTGACATGAACAGATTTACATCTTGTAAAGATGACTCTGGCTTCTCTGTGGAGTAAGACAACAGTATAGGAAGACAAAGGATGTGGACGGCTATGGAAGTAATCCAGAAGAGATTCTCATAATGGTGGAGGTGGTGAGAAATTGTTAGATTCAGGATATATTTTGAGATGAAGGCAACAGGACGTGCCTTTGGATTTGGCTAGTGTAAGGGTTAGGTAGTGGAGAAAACAGGAAAGGTAGACAATGTCTGTGTTTTGGGTTGTATTGATTGGTGAAATGGTGGCATGGAAGACTGAAGGAAGAGCTGTTTCAAGGAGGTGGGGAATTAAGAATTCTGTTTAGGATGTGATATAGCTGAGATATCTCATAGATAGCCTCCAAATGAAGAGGTATAATAAGCTATAGAGTATATGCATTTAGAGGTCAGGGCTGGGTATATCAGTTTGGGAGTTACTGGGATATGGAAGGAATTTAAAGCCATACAACTTAATAAAATCATGTACGGAGAATAGTGAAAAGAGCTGGGAACTCCAAAATTTTAGAGTCAGAATGAGTTGGATGGAGTAAAGTGTCCTGAGAAGGATCAGTGCAGTGAGTAAAGTAACAGAATGTGAGGTTTGGCAAACCAAGGGAAGAAAGGATTTCCAGAAGGTAAAAGTGATTATCTACGTCACATTCTGTTAAGAATTCAGAAATTTTAAGGACTAGACTGGACCACTGAAGTTTGGCAAGACAGAAGTCACTGGTAACCTTGAAAGTTTTGAAGCCATTTCAGCCCTTTTAAAAAGCATCTATAATTTTCATAGTCTCCTGCACAGTGATGGCATTATTTACTCTGACTCACATATTGGATGTCATTCATATACAACATTTAGCTTCCAACTCCTTACTTCTTGTACATTAAAAACCAGCAAATGGCAAAGAAAGATCATAGCAATTTAGAAAGGTAGGCACTGATCCACCTTTATTCTGCAAACACATCATGATTAATAACAAGAACAAAACAACAAGGATTAAACTATCAATACCTCCCCTCGGCTTGTGGGGCACTGAGATACTCTTAACTGTTTACATATGTGGGGGTGTCAAACTCATTTTCACCGGGGGCCACATCAGCCTCATGGTTGCTTTCAAAGGGTCAGATGTAATTTTAGGACTGTATAAATGTGACTACTTTTTAACTAGGGGCGGGGAGCTCAGCATTGCCACCAGGGAAGACTAGGTGGCGCCAGGCTGGATAAAACAAGGTGGAGGGCCGGATTCAGCCCATGGGCCTTGTGTTTGCCACCTGTGATATAGAATTTAAACTCATGGTTGTGTGATGTTTGTTTTTCCACAATATTTTGACCTCCAAATAGGTATCAAACTTGTAAATTAAAGATTTCATGGGGTGAACATTAAGGCTTCTAGATGATAGGAGTTGTGCAAATTATTCTAGTTTCTTGTGTAATTTATTTATTCTTAAAGAATCTTATAAAACAAACTGGCTTTTCAAATCCACCAAGCAAGAACTAGGCTACCTCTCCTCACCTTCACTGATAGAGAAAATGAACTCAGTGCCAAAATAAAAATGATGAAGAGAATTTTAAGAAATCTGCCAAGTAAAAAAAGAGGAAAAAGTAAAGTTTTATTAGTCAAAAGGGGTTAACCTATACCTTCAATCACCAAATTAATCAAAAACACTTTTCTTCAGTGAGATTCCAATTGAATGAAAACTCTTGAAAAGTTAGGGTTGTCCAAAAAGATGAGCCACTATTTGTGGAACATCTAAGGAGCCTCATTTTCTTCTTGAACATGTACTTAAAACAGTTAGCTAACATGAAGAATGCTTATAAATAAAACTTCCTCAGTGTAGCAAGATTTTTCATCATAACTCCTAGAAATAATGTGAGCTAACTTATATATTTTACTATGATTTTTTGCCTAGTTTTTCTTTAAAACACGGATGAACTAAAAACTATTGACTCACTTTCAAAGGAAAAGATTTCTTATTCTGAGTTGGAATCAGAGTAATGCTTGAGTTTCCTTATTATCAATCTGGCACTGAGTGCAAAGGTTACAGCCCATTTTGTGAACCAATGCTGATGATTACTGTACTGTGCAAATGCTGTTTTAGAAGACATAATTTTAATCACAGTGCATTCAAACCTATATATGTAGAAATGAACCATATCATAACAGGATTCCATGTGTGAAGTTACGTGTCTTCTGTGGAATCTACTCAGTTCACAATTTGTCTTTTAAACTGCCAGAGAAGCCTGAGTTAGGCCCAGGAGCCATGTTGTATCACAAAACCCCACCTTTCTGCCCAGAGTTGAGCCACACAGGTTTTGATGAGAAATGTGGGAATTCTCCCAGAAGAGTCTGTTGGCCAATCTCTAAAGATAGATGGGTCTAGAATGTCCATGCTCAACCATGGGCTCACCAGGAAGAGAACACAGCACGTAAATAAAGAGATAAGGATGAAACACTTTGCAGAAGGAAGAGAGACTGTGGGCCTTGGGGCAGAATGGAAAATTTTCTGAAGTTTCTGGTTCAGGCCCCATGGGTAACAGGTTTTGCCCTGAGGCTTCCCCGTATTAAATCAGTATGTTCTGCAAGTCTCCCTCGTCTAAGAAAAACCACTGTCATGGTAGGGGTAGGTGACTTTGTAGCCTTGTGGCAGGCCTCCCCAATGCCTTCCAGGGGTGTATTTGCTCACAGGGAGTCAGGAACTGAAGTGGAGATGACACAGTCTACAGAGTCCCTTCCTTTCCTAAGGTGACAGCATCATCCCCAATATTTTCTCTTGATCATCTGCACATACGATTAATTTCAAAATAAAGAGGTGCTTCTGTAAAGCTGACATTACACAAATTTTAGTAAACTAAAATATTCTAATTTTCATCTAATTAAACATTTTTAAGGAAAGGAACATAATACCTAGAAATGCTTCAGTAAAAATAAAGTATCATACTTACATTTTATCCTCCAGGACACCACAGGCTTTCTTCATTTCTTCAATCTTTTGTTCCCAATGTCTTATTGCTTCTTGTACTTGTTCTATCTCTACATTGTGATCACTAAGAACCTATTGAAATTAAAAAAAATTTAATGGCATTTAATCATTGTCAAATGATTCATGACAGCATTTCAATTGTCTAAATATTCAGGTATCACTCATTCAACTTCTACTTTGGGGGGTCCTTTAGTTAAAATAAAAGCAACCAATTCGTATACTTGTTTCTTCAAAGTATAAACTTGGACAGAAATAACTCTGAAATCATCAGAAAAAACAACAAAATTTGGGAGGGGGAGCAACCAAATATAGCAGTGAAGATGTGAAAACTATAAAAACAACTTTCAAGACATGAATTCATTTTGATTATCTTTTATAAAGATAAACAAGTCTATATTTTCATATATGTCTTCAAAGTGTTCTTCCAGGATAGTAGAACGAGTATTACAAATAAGTGAAAAAAATGGAGTCTTCACATTAATTGATAGCTATGTTCATGCTGAAAAAAAGTTTCTTTATTAATATTTAATCAAAAGTTTGAAAATGAAACAATTGGATACTGTGAAAAAATGTTAGCATGATGTTAAAAAGGAAATATGGATGAAATATTCATAGTGAAATATATATTTTTACAATGCAGTTTCCAAACAAAGAAAAGGGAGGCAAACATATCAGCCTTGGGTCTTGGCTTGTGAGGGAGCGCGTAGCTGACCCAGTCCCTTGGCTTTCCGGCACAGAGTCCCCTGGACAGATATGCACTCTAACCCTGCATATCAGTGTGGGTCACAGAAACACCTGCGGGCAGTATAAAGGGGCTCTCCATCATGCCAAGTGGCACAGGTGAGTGACAGCTCCCCCAAACTGTTTTTTTTTCTCTAAAGCACCCAGGTGACTGAAATTCTGGGCCATAACTCGTTCCAGAGTAACAGGGGTCTGAAGTCCTAGAACTGCCACCAAAGGTCAGCAGAATGTCTGAAGGACTCTGACCAATCATCAGGATGAGTGAGTAAATGCTGAAGGCCACCAGGCCTGACATCAGTGACCTTTAACCCCCAGTCCTTCCTGCTGTGGACACGTAGGCCACCTGGAAAGTCCCACACTGTCACTATTTTCTGCTATCACGACGTCAGCTTGACCCGTCTGCAGAGTTTTCTAAACTAAAGGTACTGAAAGAAGGTTAATCTGACATTCCCTATTGTCTCAGTCCCCAGCCAAAACGTTCTTTTCTAATCTTGGGCAGGAACGGGAACAAACTTTACCAAATACACAGCACTCAGCTAAAGCCATACGGGCATGACCTCACTGATCTCCACAAGAGCCATTCGCAATAGGCAATGGTATTACTGCATTTTAGAGGTGAGAAAACTCTAGGCTGGTTGAGCCCATGTTTGTGACTGTCAGGTGAAGTACCATTCTCCACCAGGAAGCTGGGGCAGGGCGTGGACAGGCTACACTGGGGGAGAGGAAAAATGAGAAGTTTAAGCCTTGTCTAATCTGGCCTCAGAGATCTTTGGGATTCAGATGAAGGCATGTGTACTTCATTTTCACAAGCTGGAATTGGGAGGGCACATGGCTTGTAATTTATGGGGCCCAAACTGGAGATACAAATGTGGGCATGCAGATAAAATCTGTTCTGTCCCGGCCCTATGCTCGTTCTCCCTAGAGCCTGACTCGAGATTCCTTACCACATTGATATTCAAAAAACGGATGATGATATTTTTAAATGCACATATTTTAAGGAAAATTTGTATTTTACTAGTGTTTTATAATCGGCTATCATAACCAGCATGTTATAACTACAATGATCAGAACCACCCTATACAAAGTGTAATGGGATTAACTGAACATTTTGATAAGATGTGTGAAGTCACTATGACTATTGCCCCATGCATAGAGTTACACATATTCATTAATACAGAGAGAAGAAAGAAGGACTCATTAATTCAACTAACGGTGATAGAAGACTAACAGGCATTTCTGTTTTAATAACATGAAGGTGGTATTAATATTAATCTTTTCAACTATAGTCACTTCCATAAGCTTCAATCTTCCTATCTTTAAAATGAGGACGATCCTCACAAAATATTCAACATAGTACGGGCTTTCACTCAATGTTACTAATATTTTAAAAAGTAGAACTACAGAGTTCCGGAGTATTTTCTAACTTAAACAAATGGTCCCCTTTCCATATGCATGTTCCCACTGCCAATATAAATTGAGAGACTACATTCTTTGTTATCATCACACATTCAGAACTAATGAATCCATCCACGGTTATTTATTTTGTTATGTAAAATAAAACAATATCACAGAGATGTTATATATGGTTCAGTATGCATTTGGATGGTTCTGTGCGCATTTTTGAAAAATAATTTTTACAGTATTTTGGCCCATCAAATGTAGTTTGTTCTTAAAGCATGCCGAACTTCATTCTTCCCACCATATTCCTGAAGAAAACATAATTGCACTATAACACTTTATCAGAAAATGACAAAAATATTCTTCCCGAATGACATAGAGGTAAACTAAAATCAATTCCTTTTTTAAAACACCTTTACCAGTTACATTAAGGGTAGTGTATACTGAGGTGCCTGGGGTTGGGCTTGAAAAACAAGGTTTATTCTTTCTTACCACTGTGGTGGTATTCACTTTTTGTTTCATATTTGCCTCTTTAAGCCTTAATTTATCCAGTTCTTTCTTCTTTTGATAAGCATTCTGTCTCTTGAGTTCACAGATGTTTTCTTGTTCAAAAACCTGCAGTGATAAACATAAGCCCATCAAAAAGCTTATGAGGGCAACAAAGTTTAGAAAATCTTTTTTTTTTTTATTTTGTCAACCTAATTCATATTCAACCTAAGCATACCACAGTCAATCTCAGTATACCAACAATAAAAAAAGGGTTTGCCTGTTTTATAGCATCATAGGAAAGAGAGTGAACCACAAGGACCAAACTGCCATTATAAAATATTGAAATGGTAAATTTGTAAGAGCACTAAAACAACGACTCTTAACAGCAAACTACAAAAGCAATTGCCATGGTAGCAATTTACAAGTAACACAGCATAGCAATCATTGCCAGATTTGCAGTATGCTAGGAGCTCAGGAGAGTCAGAGGAAAGAGGGTAGAACGGTGTCTGGAGACCCAGCTTCACAGTATTTAATGGGAAACAAAACAGACTAAAGACAGAGAAAACAGACTCACTGAAGACAGGGCAGCTTACAGTCCCAGACAACTTCGTACCATCTTTCAAACATATTGTGATCCCTTGTCAAAATATTAAGTATGTCACCCTCTTATCATAATCAGACACATCAACGAATTTGTCTGGCGAAATGAAAAGGTAACTAAGAGGTTAGTAAGGCCTGAGGAAATGTACTCAACTCTGCAGTAAAAAGTCATGAAAACATATGGTTGGGTGACTTTCCATCAATGCCACCAGCCAAGTCACTGGAAGTAGCTACTCTGAATAAATGGGATCATTATCAATTGTATCCACACTGGGGCACAGTTGAAGGAAACTTGGTGATTAATAAGTTTTGCCGAAAGCCCTGGCTGGTGTGCTCAGTGGATTGAGCACCGGCCTGTGAACCAAAAAGTCCCCAGTTTTTTGTTCACAGTTAGACACTTGCTTATTCAGCGAAGTAATATTAGAGAGCGCCCACCGTGAGCCAGGCCGGTAACTATTTTATTCACTCAGCTTTTATTGAATGCAGGGTCACTCAAAGTAGAACATCAACAAACATCAATATCCTACTTATACTCTAACAGTCTAAGAGAAATAAAACACATACACATACATAGCAATCGGTGGGAAATAATGAACCCGAGTCCCAGAGTCTCAGTCTGCAGGTCCGGGAGACATCACGGTGGGCCAGGGAGTCATCAGTGTCCTGCCAGGAAGGATCACCACAGCCAGGTGGGAAGCAGAGTGGAACAAGTCCTCAGTCCAGCAGGGCAGAGCGTCCAGCGGCCGATGCCAAGGGAGGTGAGTGAGGCATGGAGCAGCACTCTGAAGTGTGGAGCTTGGCTGTCTCAGCAGTGGTCTAGCGCCTGCGTCAGTTATACCTTGAGCGTGGTGTATCCCACCCTTCTGGGTCTCTTGATAAGTACTTTGGCACGCCTGCTGCCAAGTGGGGAATTTGCCTAGGAGCCTATCTATGGGTGGTCCCACTCTACAGAAGTAGCTGGTCTGATCACACCTGGGCAGATATCTTGGGTGTGTCCTTGCCAGATGCATCAGGCATGACTTATGTAATCTCTCTCTTGAAACAAAGCATCATGCCTGACTGGCAGCCATCTTGGTTGACATGAGTGACTCCGTTTTGTTTCATATACTTTATGCCATCTTGATTGGACCAGTGCCATTTTATAGGTGCTGCTCTCCACAGGACTTCTGCTGATTCCTGCACTGCAGTCCAGGCGAACAGCCAGCTGCAACTCCACTAAGGTCCAGGGAGCTGGGCAATTACAAATTCAATTTAGTGCCTGCAGTTGGCCTGAGGGATGCCTTGCTAATACCTTCACAAAGAGCCCGTTCCAGAGATGATGAAGGCTGAGCTATCTACATACAAGATATACTGCATTTAAAACTCTAAACTCATCAAACTAATTAGGATTAGTTTTACACTAATAGGTGCTTTAAAGGACAAAGAAGCTTAGACCTGACTGGAATCAAAGTAAGAACCAAATGTTGGTCATGGCTAGTTATAGTCCTCTAAATTTTTAGTAAAGACTCAACAAAAGCAACTTAACTTTTTTCTTTCTATTCTTTTTTATTAAATATAGCAGCACTGTGAGCTTGAATACAATTTCCTGCCTTTATGACTGCAGGTTAGGGCAACTCCAGTCATGGAGAGGGCAGCACCAGGAGCTCGCCAGTAATTCTCACCATAAACTGGCCCCTACGCCACGGGGAGAAGGAGACCGATCCCGGGGCTGCCCGGTGGAGAGAGTCCCGCCTCTCCTGGTGCAGTCGAAGCAGAGCAAAGGACCACCAACAGTTAACCATTCTAATGGTGAATTTTAGTTAACATGGCCTAGCAGATAGAAGAAGCTGAAATTATACCTCACATACCCCCTCACAAAATTCCTGTTTCAAAATTCTCTTTTCTCTTAGGGCCTTTGGCTCTGCCCAGCCCCGCCCCCCTCCCCGCAGGCCCCTCCTCTCAGATTCATTCAGCAGGAGCCGCAGGCTGGGGCCGGGCTGAACTCCCTGGTCCTGTCCATAGCGACTGGGCCTCAGAACTGCTGCAGGCACCAGACAACATGGAGGTAAATCCCTGGTCCCTATCGGGTTGCATATGAGCTGGAGGCCACGCCAGTGATGCAAATCCTGTCACTCACTCTTTCTCATCAGCTGAGATGCTGCTGCTGTACAAGTCAATGTCTTCCCCAAGGGGCCCCAGTGTCCTGTCTCTGCTCCCATCCCAGTCTTCACAGAAGATACCACGGGAGTGCTGGCTGGCCTCGAGGACAAAGAAATCATTTTCCATTTTGTGCTCAAGATTCTGTATAATTATATATTACAAAAAAATCATGCCACTTACTTTTTCATTCAACTTTGATTTTCTTTTTAAATACTCTGCTCTTTCTTTTTCAGTTTGCTCCTCTATCTCTTGAATGTATTTTCTTTGCAATTTTATTTCTTCTTTCTCCATGTTTATTTTGGTATAAGTCTCATTGATGTAAATAATAGCAGCGGCTTTTTTCCCCATCATGTTGTTCAGTGACAGGACAAACTTTTCGTGCTGCTTTGCCAGCTCCTCCTGCTTTTTACTAGGAGAAAAAAAAAATCAATCATGACCTGAAAAGTATGGCTTTTAGGAAAGGGATTTAAAGTCTGTTTAGTGAGATTAACCACCATAAAGAGGGAAATGGTAAGGGATGCTGATTTGACAGTGTATTTGCACTTGTCTAACTTTGGCTGAGACAGATGGAAACACAGTGTCAACCTTGTAATTGTTTACCATGTGGTCCTGCCCACCCACCCATCCCCACACAGCAGGTAGGACCTATGGGCTATTTTGGTTTAAAGCACACAAGGGTTCAACAACAGCTTTGAACAAGTAAATGAAATCTTGCCAAATGGTTAGCTGTGTAGCATTGCCATATCTATCTTACCATCCGGAGAGAAGTGAAAGAGAGGTAGATGTCCCACCATCCCTCCAGCCACCTTCTGATGCCACGGCCCTGCAGGGAGGCCCAGGAGGAAGCTAGCCTTCCTCTGATAGACAGGAGTCAGGCGAGGAGAGGGTTCATCTTCACTGTTAAGAGGACGCTTGGAACCTAATTTGAACTCTATCTTCTCCCAACGGCAGCCAAATCTGAGTTCAAAAGGAGACACTAACTTCACATACCAGTTGGTCACATTCACTAGAGGAAGACCTTAAAGCTGCTAGAAACATCTGTCCCAGGGCTAACAATAACAAACTGGAAGAGGGACAATTTGCGCCATTTATTTGTTTTCCTTTTTTTTGTAAAAGCTCCTGAAATTTAAAGACCTTTTTCCTTTTTCTAGTCTGCAGGGTTAAAACATTTTACAGTTCAGATGGCCGTGTGTAAAGGTTTGGGCCAAAGGAAACAGAGTATCAGTAAGTTCAATCTCCAGACGTCAACTCCACAACAGAAATGCAATACACAGTCTACAGCCATACCACCCTGAACACGCCCCATCTCGTCTGATCTCGGAAGCTAAGCAGGGCCGGGCCTGGTTAGTTCTTGGAGGGGAGAAATGCAATACACAGAAGCCTAGGCTGGAGGGAGTCAGGTCAGGGGTGCTTGGTGCTCCAGCAGAGGAAGCCTTCTCACAGTGCGTACACCTCAGGAAGGCAGAGCGAAACAAGTCAGATCAAAAACCCTGACCCGGCGTAGAGGGAAGCACAGCAAAGAGCTTGCAGGGATTCAGTTTTGTTTCTGTTTTCAGGCTTCCAGGTCACATTTTTTAAATTTTTATTTTTTTAAATTTCTGTTTAAACCAGTTCACATTTTTTAATAGCAACATAATGCATGTTTTTAAAAAATATTTCTGTATGTATTTAGAATATTTTTTAACCGGGATCCAAATAAAATACATACATTGCTAAAAATCAGTATTCCTCAAGTCTCTCTTTTTAAAATACCTCATTTTTTAAAAAAATTGTTGTTGTTCAGTGACAGTTGTCCCGCTTTTCCCCATGGCTCTCCCCAAGGACTGTCCAGGGGAGGACCGCCTGGCAGAGAGTGAGGGTACCTTGAGTGACACCTTTCTTCTAAAAATGGGCACAAAAAGCGATTGTAGCCTGATGATGCTGGCTCGCCAAGCACCCCCCCCCCCACCATGTTTGCCGTTTGCTTTTCCACAAAGATTTCTCTAGAGCAGCGATTCTCAAAATGTGGCCAGGACCTCCTAGCAGCAGCAGTACCTGGGAACTTGTTAGACATCCAAGTTCTCACCCTCACCTCCAAGACCTCCTGAATCAGAAATTCAGGGAGTGGGTGTCCCCAATAATTTGTTTTCACAAGCCCTCCGGGTGATTCTGATACACAATGAGGTGGGAGACTCGCTGGTCTTTAGGGGTGTGTGGGTGCTGGCCAGCTGCTCTGAGGATCCCAGCTTGGAAATGGACAGTTCAGCTTATTCAGCCGCCTCTGGCAATCATGGCTAGTATGCACCACACAGGCATCCGCATTGGGAATCACCAACAGGGGTTAGAGAATGAGTGTTTCTCAAGCTTAGGTGATGATGAACTTTCTTCTTCATGGAACATCTCCCAGAACAGGTGATCTGAGGGCCAACTTCAGGAAAGGCGTCCCTGGGCCTTGAGGTGTCCACCTCACTCCTCATGGTTTGAAATCTCGTGGGCCAAGCAATCCTCTGAGTATTTCAGCTTCCTGAGATTTTCCCCCTATGATGAGGGTTCCTTGAACATTTCTCACTTTGACAAACTGACATTCTGATATTTGCACATTAGCTTTGCAAATGTGCTCACCGTACTGAGTTTTCTTCAGTTTATTTTTGCTTTTTCTTTCGAAATATATCTCTTCCTTCATGAGCTGGATAAATCAAGACTTGCATTCCCCATTTAACAGATGCAGAAAACGAGGTCCCCGGGGTGAAGTGCTGGCAAGGCAGCTAGGAATAACAGGAAGAAACTACCAGGTGTCAGATCCTGAGCTGTGGGCAGTTACACTCATTGTCTCACTTAATTACAGGGAAAATCCAGATCCCTCTCCTGGGAACCAGTCCCACCCTCAGCCCTCCAGCAGATTATGACTGAACACCTTTGAGGAACTAAACTACCTATACTATATCTGGCTTGATGCTGCATTTGCACCCAGCAAGATTTCTTCCTTTGGTGGGTGAGGTTCGTAAATTCAATTTTACTAAAATGCATGCTAAAGCCACTGTGTCCCCCTGCGTGGGGAGGTGGTGTGCATGGCAGTGTATGATTTGCACACCATCGTCACTGCTGTGAGGATGGATAGCCTCTGAAATTGTACAAGTCTCCTGACTGCAGTGGTTGAAGATTTTCTGCTTTGCCCCTCAGCAGCCTGGGTCCCCTTCTCCATGTGACTCCCACCTCTTCTCTTGCCCGGCACCAGTTTGGGTCAGAAGACAAACCCTTCAGCAGAATTTTCCCACTCCTGCCCCAGGCCCCAACTCCCTCAGGTGCTGAGTAAAAAAGTAGTAAGTACTTGCCCCAGAGCTTTATTCATGTCTTTCAGATCAAGTGTTCTCTCCTTCAGGAACTCTATTTCGTTATTCATCCTTGTAATTTTCTTTTGTAATTGATCCATCTCAAGAAGGTTTAATCTGCGAGCATCTCTGACACACTCTTAGAAGGGGAAGAGATGTTAGTGTTATTTGAGAAACAGCACAATTATAGATAACGACTTGTGAAATCATGAACAAATTGTCTGTCTTTGGAGCTTTCTCTGCATCATGTTTCTGGTTCACACGCCTCTTCCTCGCCCTTTCGCGCCCCTCTGCCTCATCTACCAACCATTTCCTTTATTTCGGCCGCTGCCCTGGTGACCAGCCTTCCTTGGGCTCTGAGCCACTTCAGACTGGATCAGTCGGACAGCACCTGATTGTTGCTTTTTCTATCCACTTCTCACTTCCTGCCCAACACTTCCCTGTCGCCTCCACCATGGGACTTCCTTAGACACCCAAACAGCCAAGTGGAAACCAAGGTGCAGGAGGTGGGGCCAACCCTGGACCAGTGACGGACGGGAGCCAGTGCCCGGATGGTCCTGAGAAGAGGTGACTGTGACTCAGGGGTTTGTACGCACACTCCATTGGTTACACTGGCAGCAGTCAGCACCGTCTTGTACCCCACATGAACTCTCCTTTCTCCCCACTCTGGTCTCCTTATCCTGCTGTCCCCCGTGCACTGTACTCCTTAATAAACTCACAGTGCAAGAGCAATTGCCTTTGGTTCTGCTGTGAGGGAACCCAGTGTTTAAAAACAGCAACAACTACAACTAATTATTCATCAATAAATAACAAATCAGTGGAATTACATAAGACTTCAGGTTACCTCAGGGCATGGTAGACAGTAACAATGAATATTTGAACACTGCTGTTTGAGGAAAGTCCTGAATGAGCCATTTCTTTCAGAGACCTTATTTTTTCTAGACTATTAGTTAAATTGTAGCAGGGCTTCTCAAACTCCGCGTCTCAAATATGCAGATGCAACACCTGGGGATCTTGTGGAAATGTAGATTCTGATACAGCAGGTACAGGGTGAGCCTGGAGGGTCTGCATTTTGTGACAAGCTCTCAGGGGATGTTGATGCTGCTGATCTGAGAACCGTATTGCGAGTAGCAAAGCTTTATTCATAATAAGGCCAATTAAATGTACTTGGTTAAGTATTCTGCATGTATCAAGGATCATGAAAGGTCCTATGGTATTGTTTTTCTTTCTAAAATATGTTTTCCTGGTTATAAGATAACCTAACCCAGAACATAAAAAGCTACCAAAAGTAGCTTTGAAACAAAAACACTCCTAATTCTGCTCTTGACACAGCTTCCTTCTAGGTGCTATTTTTATCTGCATGTATAGTTGGTTGTATTTTCCTTGCCAAACTAGACTAACACCATACATATTGTTTTATAACTGACTATATCACTCAGGATCTAAGTAGGGCATAGATATCTTACACTACATTGTAGGGAAATTTTAAAAAAGATTTAATGACTAAATTTTAGAGAGAAGGGAAAGGATAGAGAAAGAGAGGGAGAGAATCACCACTGTGTGAGGGAAATATTGATCAGTTGCCTCTCACCCAAACCAGGGACCCGGCCTACAGCCCAGGCATGTTCCCTGACTGAGAATCTAACAGGCAACCTTTCGGTTCCTAGGCAGGCCCTCAATCCACTGAGCCATATGAGCCAAGGCTGATAGGGAAGTTTATTATAAAGAATTATTGGCCATAAAGTGGATTTGAGTAACGAGGAAAATAATATTAAGAAAGTAAAGAGAACCCTAAAGAATTCAGGAGTAACAGTTATAAGAAACAGCCACTAGACCTGTGGCTGAGAGGAAGTGTCCTGGAAGAAGCAGCACCTCCAGACCCCAGATCTAGACCTCATTGCAGGTGGCTGCAGCCCATTGGATGACTCAAAGAAATTCAGAGTCCTTGGCTGGCAATCTGGCTTCTGGGGGACGGGGGAAACCTGTCCAAGGGAGGTGCCACACTTTAAAACTCACTGCAGAACCACCCAAGGGTGCTGGGGAAGCTGCTCATGGGAAGCTGGCTCAGTGGTAGCAGTCTGCTGTGATGCTGCCCGAGGGGTACTGGAGGAAGCCGCTGGGCACTCTGGACTGCCACACTGCGAGAGTCTTCCAAGCTGAGCACCCTGAAACCAGGAAGAGAAGCCCTTCTTCCCCTGGTATCCCTGGAATGGCAAAGCTTCGTATCGTGCCAGCTGGTAAAGGGGAAATGTCCAGGGTCCGGCTGCCTTATGACAGAGCAGACAATGAAGGTGGATTTGGATCTGCAAGGCAGCAAGTGAATAACTGAAACAGCCACTGAAAGTGTTTTTCCCCAACTGGTGTGGCTCAGTGGGTGGGGTGTTGTCCCACAAACTGAAAGGTCATGGGTTCACTTCCCAGTCAGGGCACAGGCCTGGGTTGCAGGGCTGGGGCTTGGTTGGGGGTGTGCCAGAGGCAACTGATTGATTAGACCATTGTTTTAGGTTGGTCTCCCTGGGAAACAGATTGTAAAATCTGTGTGTCAACGATGCACTGGGAAGTGCTCTCAGGAACATCTCAGAGGAAATAAGGGGCATGGGGCTGGGCAGAAGGGGAGATGAAATGATCATGAGCTTTAGAGCTGTGAGGACACTTGGCCGTTGTTCTGCCTTGAGTCAAGGAAGGCAAGCTTTTACCCCTCCAGTGACCACTCAGCAGCACCAGGGGAGGGTAAGGACCCCAGAGTGAAGCCTTTCTCTTTGCCAAGGACAATTCCTGTGAAGGAACTGAGCTGTGAGCCTCAGCCAAGCCTTCTGGCAGATGGGGAAATGAAATTGGACCTTACCTTACACCAAGCACGACATTTAACATCACAAACCTTAATGGAAGAGCTAAAACTATACAACTCTTATATGCAAACATATGGGAGAGCTTCATGACACTGGATTTGGCTATCATTTCTTCAATATGAACCCTAAAGCACAGGCAACAGCAACAAAAAATAAATGGGACTACATCAAAATTCAGAATTTCTGTGCACAAAACTCACTATCAGCAGAGTGACAAGGCAACTGGGGGAATAGGACCGAATATTTTCAAATTTATACATCATAAGGGGTTATCATGCAGAATAGACAGAGCATCCCTACAACCCAATAACAACAAAACAAACAACCTGATGCAAAGGTGGCAAAGGACCTGAATAAACATTTCTCCAAAGAAGATCTACCAATAGCCAATAAGCACATGAAAAGATGCTGAACACCACTAATCCTTAAGGAAATGCAAATCAAAACCACAATGAGATACCACTTGACACCCATTAAGATGGCAACTATTTACAAAACAAAAACAGGAAAATGGTGACATGAGTGTGGAGAAATTGGAACTATCGTGCACTGTGGGTGGGAATGGAAGAAGGAGCAAGCACTATGAAAAACACTATGACAGTTTCTTAAAAAGTTAAACATGAAATTACCATGTTACTGTACCACCCAGGAATTCCCTTCTGCACACACACCCAAAGAATTTGAAGCAGCAACACAAATTGACATTTATACACCCATGTTTAAACAGCATCATTCACAATAGCCAAAAGGAAACAACTGGAGTGTCCATTGGTGAATGAATGGATAAATAGAACATGGTATATACAAGGTCTGTCTGGGAAAATTCCAGCCACTGTTAGTATAAAAAGAATGGTTTCTGTGCCATCGAGGTAACCTGGTGCCATGGAAAGTGGAGTGAAACACTCATGTGTGAACAATGACGACTTCGCTGTACTAGTCAGTGGGAGCGACTGGTAGATGCCCTTGAGGGAGCATGTGTACTGTGTGGCCATTGCATTCAAAATGACTGAGCAAGTAGAGCCATGAATCTGCACCAGATTTTGTGTTAAGCTTCATCATTCCTCCACAGAACCAATCATTCAGATGATCCAGAAGGCAGCAGCTATGGGCAGCTGGTAACTGGCAGCTTCATCACAACAACACACCCACTCATGCATCACCTCTAGCGCAGAGTTTTTTGGCAATACATCAAATCACCCAGGTGACTCAGCCCAGGTACAGCCCAGATTTGGGACCTTGCGACTTCTGACTTTTTCTAAAACTAAAATCACCTTTGAAAGGGAAGAGATTTTCAGACCATCGATAAGATTCAGGAACATATGACAGAGATGGTGAACTGTGTGAGGTCAAGGCACCTACTTTGAAGGCGATGAGGCACCATTTTTCTATGTACAATGTTTCTTGAATCTTGTATATTCTTCAATAAAAGTCTTTTTTCATATTACTTGGCTGGATACCTTCTGGACAGCCCTCATACATACAATGAAATATTTTTTAAAAGGAGGGAAATTCTACAACAAAGATGAACCCTTAAGACATGATGCCAAGTGAAATAAATTAGTGACAAAAGGACCAATATTGTACAATTCCACTTATGTGAGGTGTCTACAGTAGCCAACTCACAAAGACAGACAGTAGGAAGAATGGCAACTTTGGCCAGTGAAGTCACCTAACTTAATTGGATGAATACCAACTTGGAATGGGCTGATTCTATATATCTTTAGTCTATTCAGACACAAAATTATATTATTTTAAGTTATATATATATTATTTCCACTTAAAATGTCACAGAAATTATTTTGGATCTCACTGTGTGAGTGTCAAGTACTCTTTCTAACTATATTTGACATGAAATAACTACACAAGGTTTGTATAATCATAAATTAAACTCCTCTTTTCACAAGAACTTGGCTCCATTTTTTAATAAGATAAACTAAATTTCTACAGTGATTAACCTCAAAATACCTTCATATTCTGTGTTAACATTAGTGGGAAGAGTTTCCAATTGATGATATAGTCTGCTGAGTTCCATGCTTTCAATTTCCAGAAGATCAATTGTGGTTTTTCTCATTTCTTCCTAAAAATTTAAATTATATATTAAAAAAAATAAAATTATTTCCTAAATAATGCCCTATAATATGTTTTGAAAGGTCAAACTTTGATTTTCCTTAAACACCTTCTGCTGCTATTATTATTTGGAACAGAAAGTAAGGGAAGTAACTACAATCAGTTTTTAAGGTACCATTGTTAGTTTATATTTTAACTTCTGTTTATTTCTTTGACTCAGAAATCACTTTTCCCTATTTGTTTCCTGCTTTGTTTCAATCATTTTAAAGACTTCAAAAGAAAAAACAGGGGTAACACTGAGAAAAAAAAGCTACTTAATATAAAAAAGAGGGAACACCTATAAAAATATGCCTAGGCATAAAGAGAACAATGTTTCTCTTGTACATACTGACAAATCCAAACAAAAGGTCAGGTGGGCCTACTGTTTTTCTTCTTATTATTAATTTATAATATTGAGGGTATAATTTGGGGGGTGTATAAATTATTATTAATTTATAATTTTGGGGTGTATTTTGAAAACAATTCAAAATACATTACTAGAAAAACAGATAAATCATCTTTTAAATAAATGGTCACACTGGCTATATGACCTGATAAATTACCATCCAGTTTCATGAATAATGAAAAGCAGGTTATATAACTTTATTGAGTTGGCCAAAGTGTCTGTTTAGTTTTTTTCCATAAAATAAAAGACACATTATTCAATGGTACCAATAACTTTATTGATTGGGATATTTTGAGTGTATCAGCTGTCTCCTGCTAAAGGCTTCTAGTGGGCAGAGGCCAAGGGTGCTGCTAAACACCTTCCAATGCATGAGACAGCCCCACAGCGAAGGACTGTTTGGCCAAAATGTCAATGGTACCAAGGAACTTTGTGAAGTTCCACTTTTGACACATTTGATCAGTCTCAGCACCTTCTCCATATACTGAACAATCTTTACCTGTGTTTCAGTTGTGTTTTTACCTTTCTTGAAATAAGAAAGCATGACATGCTGAAAATGTTGCATATTTTCTTCCATCTTTAATACAATGGTTGCACAAAAATTTACCGATTTTGATAAGTTTTGGTAAATGCATGTTGATGTGACCGCTGTCACAATACAATCTGACAAAGATTTTGAATGAAGTTAGAGACAACTAAGCACTACTAGAGCCATCGTAACTTCTAGGCCAACCCAGTATCCATAGAGCATGACCACTTTTCTATAAACTTCAATACAAGCATCATCTGTACCCTGAAAGCAGGAAGAACATTCACCAAAGAGGTAACACGATGACTTGAGAGTGCTGGGATCATCGCGATTTTCACTTCCTTCCCTTTGCTTGTCTATTTTTTTCTAAGTTGTCCAGAGTAACCATGTAGTGCTTTATCACAGTGGAAACTTGTTACTTTGAAAAATGGAGGGATTTATCTCTATGCAAGAGATTTCACAGTTCAGATATTAAGTGGGCACATACTAGATAATTTAATATGCTACCATTAATATCATGATCCCCTCAATTCCTGAGAAAAGCATAACTAAAACAAAGCCAGAGAAAAGATTTACACAGACCACAGTGCAGTACAGCATGCACGGATGCTAAATGGTTTATATTCCACATGCATGTATTCTGTATGTATTCAGTTAAGGGACATTATAAAGTATAGTTCTGTAGTATATGTACACAACTCTATAATTACATAAAATATCATTGTAAAGAGATTAACTGTTATCAGCAGTCTGTAGACCCAAACTCATTTACTTTACAATACCTCTATGTTTTGAGATATTGGATATGTGGTAGATTCTTACTCAATATTTTAAAATCAAAGGAAGAGACTTCACCATTCTGACCCTGCTGGGGAAGCATCATAAACATCATCCAGGGCCAGAGAAAGGATTGTGACACCTCAAAAGGAAATTCTTTAAATTCTTCTTTGGTTAATATAACCAAAAGAATATCCGTTCGGTTCTTTTCACTGAACAACATGGTCTACTTCAGTGAAATGGGTGCCAAGAATACCTTTCACCAGGTACATTAGGAACTGCCTGTGGAGAACCGACTTCACTGGCACCACACACCCAGTTTATTTCAGAGGCTATGTGACGCTTACACGTTGGGGTCGCCAGCGTTTCCCATTTGGCTCACCCCTTAACAGAGCTGTGTGCTCACCAGCATTGCTTCTCCTTAGTGGACCTGCCCTCATCCACAACACAGGCCTTGGTTCAGTGTTCTGCATGGAACATGGGGCAACAGTCCACACTTGAGCGACACCGGGTAAATGCTTTGTTAAGTGAGAGGGAAAACAATTTTTTATTTGGTCAGGGTAGATATTTTCCCAGTTTTTCTATTAAAATGCTTTGAACAGATTTGGTGCTAAATTAAAGTTTGATGGGGAAATAAGTGGAACATTTCTTTAAAAGGCTCTTATTAGCTAATACAATACCAATTTCTTGACAGCTACAGCAATGTCCTTAAGAAAGATCCTAGCTTCTTCATTGCATTTAAAAGAGTCCCCTTGCAGTGATTGTTCTAGAAAAAATTTCAAAATTAAGATATCTTATTTATCTGTCCAAATCCTATTTAACCCTTAAGATTTAGCTGAAATGCTAATGCAGCTGCAAGTTACATCTCTCTGTGAATTTCTATAGTACTTGATATAAATCTTTTGTATTTGTCATTTTCTATTTCATAGTATTCTAATTTAGGTGTATATTTTAGGTTCCTTCATCAGAAACTCCCCTTAAGAGTCTCTGTTTGACCTTGGCCAGTGTGGCTCAGTTGGCTGGAGCTTCGCCCAACTGATAGGTTGTGGGTTCCATTCCCAGTCAGGAACCCTTCCTAGGTTACAGGTTTGATCCCAGGTGGGGCATGGATGAGGAGCAACCACTGATGTCTCTCTCTCTCTCTCTCTCTCTCTCTCTCCCCTTCCTCTCTCTCTAATACCAATAAACATATTAGGGGGAAAAAATCTTTGCATCTCTCATGCTAGAAGGAGGGCCCCTCCAGGGCCTGTGAGGAACCCAGGGGGAGTCCAACCAACCTCCCTGAGCTCTGCCTCCTGCCTCCCTGCCCGCGCCCCCCCTCTCCGCCCTCCCCGCCCTCCCCGACCCCTGCGTCTTGTGGGGGAAGTCGCCCCCTCCAGCGCCTGCGGCCTTCTCACCCACAACCAAGAGCTGCCCCAGCGCTGCGGCTGCCACAGAGGAGCCCAGGCTGGAGGGGAAGGTGCACAGCTCCAGGGAGGGGCCGGTGCAGACCGCCGCGGGTCGCAGCACCTTCTCCCCACACCCCAGCTCCGGGGACCAGGACTGCAGCGCCATCTTGCGGCTGCAGTGCAGCGCCCAGCCGCCGGGGCCGCAACTGCCGTTGCCACGGGCAACCGGACGCTGACCGTTGACAGTTGACCGCTGACCGTTGACAGAGGTGCACACATCTTGCATTTTACATGGAGTGCGGGTCACCACCTGAAACTCCCCGGAGTTCCCCGAGGAACAGAGGATGCGTGGCGCACTCTCCTTGCTCTGGTCCTGCTGCTCTGCAGCCGCCTTTGGGTTCTCAGAAATGGCCTCCTCGGGAAGCCTTGCGAGCAGCAGTCCCCCGGGTTAGGGACTTCTCCGTGAGGTTGGAAGCCGCCGCACTTCCCTCAGGAGGCCCTAAGTGGCCGCCAGCCAGAAACTTGGCTCCGGAGTTTACTGTCGGGGCCTTATTTCCCGCTCAGCAGTTTGGGTTTTCCGGCCCCAGACCAAGCTGCTCTGACTAGGAAGGTGAAGAACAGGTTAAGCTGCTCCCTGCTGGCAGCTGCTTGCTAATTCAATGTATTTCTGCCTAAAGGAGCATATTCTGATAGCCAACAGGAAGAATATCCTTGATCAATTACAGGCACTTGGAGTTTTTCAGGGAAACCTCTGCAGAGTAATCAGAAATTAAGTTGGGCCTGAAACAACCAACCCATATTTAGCATGAATGTCTTATTTCATTATTATGTAGGAAGTCGCTGATGTTTGGGGTGGCATCCTCATTTAGAAAGGTAGCAATGATGTCCCTGCTCACTTAGTATTTTTATAGACTTTTCAAACACTCATGACCTTAAAAGAGCAGTGTTCTCATTTTCCTTATTTTAATTAACTTAATTACTATTTTTACAAACCATTTTAGCTCTGATGATTGACCTGACGATGATTCGGTAAAGCTCACTGGAGTATTAAGCTCTCTATTGGATTCCAAAATCTTTGTCTTCTCTCTTTCCTTCTCTCTCTGGATGTGTGTGTGGGAAGGGGTACTGACCATTTCCTTATATAGTGATGCAGTTGAGAATTTCCAGAGTTCGTTTGGAAAATGAAAATATAAACAAGTCACTGCTGCCCTGAATCCCCTTCCTTCTGACCCCCTCAAGGATCTTCCTCAATCAGCTCCTCCCTCACCTGTGTCTTCCATGTGTGCCTCAGAACTCGTGCCGTTTCTCTTACTACAGCCAGGCCTTTCCCAAACCTTTCTGCCACCCTAGCTCTTGCTTCCCTGCATTGCCAGACTTTTTCAAAATATGGTCTCCATCTTGGCTATAATGCATTTCTTCACCCTGAATTTTATTTTATTATTATTTATTTTGTTCAATTCCATTGTCCACATTGGCTCCACTACTCTTCGCTGCCCTACCGACCCCTACCTCCCACAGTCTGTCCTCTCTCGCCTCCCCCACCCCTTGTCTCTGTCCATGGGACCACCCTGCCCCTTCTTTCCCTTTATTCCCTTCCCCCTCCCCTCCGGTTACTGTCGATTTGTTCTTTTTTTTTTTTATGTCTCTGGTTCTATTTTGCCTGCTTATTTGTTTTGCTGATTAGTTTCCATTTACAGGTGAGATCATATGGTATTTGTCTTATCACCACCTGGCTTATTTCATTTAGCATAAAGTTCTCCAGTTCCATCATGCTCTTGCAAAGGGTAGGAGCACCTTCTTTATTTCTGCTGCATAGAACTCTGTTGTATTAATATACCATAGTTTTTTGATCTACTCATTTACTGATGAGCACCTCATTTTATTTATAGCACTTGGCTAATGCAAATTGTGCTGCTATGAACATTGGGGTATATAGGTTCTTTTGAATTGGCGTTTCAGGGTTCTTAGGTTATAATCCCAGCAGTGGAATTGCTGGGCCAAAAGGCAGTTCCATTGTTAGTTTTCTGAGGAAATTCCATACTGTTTTCCACAGAGGCTGCACCAGTCTGCATTCCCACCAGCACTGCACTAGGGGTTCCTTTTCTCCACAGCCTGGCCAGCACTTGTTATTTGGTGATTTGTTAATGATGGCCACTCTGACCATTGTGAAGTGGTATCTCGTTATGATTTTAATTTGCATCTGTCTGATGGTTAGTGATGCTGAGCATCCTTTTAATATGTCTATGGGCCCTCTGTATGTCCTTCTTGGAGAAGAGTCTGTTCAGGTCCGCTGCCTATTTTTTAATTGGATTGTTTGTCTTTGTCTTCCTGGTATGGAGTTGTATGAGTTCTTTACATGTTTTGGAGATCAAATCTTTGTCTGAGGTATCTTTGGCAAATATATTTTTCTATACAGTTGTTTCCTTTTTCATTTTGCTGATGTTTTCTTTAGCTGCACAGAAGCTTTTTAATTTCACTAAGTTCCATTTGTTTATTCTGTTCTTTATGTCCCTTGCTCTGGGGGATGTATCGGTGAAAATATTGCTATGTGGTCAGATACTCCACATTTTCCTGCCTCTGTTCTCCTCCAGGATTTTTATGGTGTTGCCACATATTTACATATTTTATCCATCTTGAGTTTTTTTTTTAATAGGGAATCATTCCATGTGGCGTGGGAATGTAGCCCAGCTCCCATGTGGAAAGGCCAGAGAGAAGTGAGGTTCCTGCACACAGGAGACATGCCCATGGACAGGTTCTCCTATGGGGAATCAGGCCTGCGTTGTACCTAGGCTGCTATGAGAACTGCTTTTGCTAAAATTCCCTAACCCTGAATTGAGGCAACAAGTGCTTACTGTAAATTCCTACAAGCTAAGCTAAACCTCCCAAGCATGGAGTGTGACTGGATCAACCACTTTTCCTTTTACATTTCCAAATATCCTTTTCTGATGTAATTAGCAACATCCTCTCCTTTGTTATCTGTAAAAGGTAATCTCCTACAGTGAAACTGTGCATAGTAAATGAGGGCCATTCTGGATGTAATGTACCCAGGAAAACAATAAAAGCCTTTCCAGGCAGGGGTTGGGGCCCTCTCTCTCACTTAGAGAGTGGCCATGCAGTCCCTTTTCTCCACGGGACTTCTGTTGTCCATGTGAATTTGTTCACAGCAGCCACAACACACGGGTCCTGCAGGCCAGGATCTGCATCCATTTTTGTGTATGATGTAAGTTGGTGATCAAGTTTCATTCACGTGTAGCTATCCATATCTCACAACACCATTTGTTGAAGAGATGATTTTTATACCATTTTATTATTCTGTCCCCTTTGTCAAATAGTAATTGGCCACAGATACATGGGTTTATTTCTGCGCTGTCTATGCTGTTCCCTTGATCTATGTGTCTGTTCTCATGCCAGTACCAGACAATTTTGATTACAGTGGGCTTGTAATATAGTTTGATATCAGGTATGATGAACCCTCCTATTTTGTTGTTCTGTCTCAAAATTGCTGCAGCTATTTGGGTCGTTTATGGTTCCATATAAATGTTTGAAATGTTTGTTTATATCTGGGAAATATGTCATTGGTACTTGAATAGGGATTGCCTTGAATCTATAAATTGCTTTGGGTAGTATGGACCTTTTGAGGATGTTAATTATTCCAAAGCTATGAACATGGTATTTGCTTCCATTTATTTCTGTCTTCCCTAACTTCTTTCTTCAGTGTTCTATAGTTTTCAGAGTACAAGTCTTTTACCTCCTTAGTTAGCTTTAGTCTTAGGTACTTTATTTTCTTGCTGCTATAGCAAATGGGATGTTTTTCCTGAATTCTGTTTCTGATATTTCATTGTTTGTGTAGAAAAATGCCTTCAATTTCTGAACATTGACTTTGTATCCTGCTACTTTGCCAAATTCACTTATTAGGTTGAGTAGTGTTTTTGATGGAGTCTATAGGGTTTTCTATGTAAACATAAGCAATTCTTAGTAAAAAAAAAACCCCAAAAGATCATAATTTATTGATTTTAATCCTCATCCAAAGATATAGTTATTGATTTCAGAGAGAGAAACATTAATGAGAGGAACATTAATCAGTCACCTCCCACAGACAGGCCTGGGGATAGAACCTGCCATCTAGGTAAGTGCCCTGACCGGGAATCAAATCTGCATTCTCTTGGTGCATGGGATGACATTCTGACCAAGTGAGTCACTCAGCCAAGGTATAAAGATTATAATTTTAAAGTTTTTAAACTTTCTTTTAAAAAAGTCAAATATTAAAAGACAGTGTCCTCAAGTTCATTTAAAGTAATACAGACAAGAGATACTTCCCTTAAGAATTACTGAGGCATGCTCTATCACTGAGTTTTCTTACCACAATAAACAATAATCAGAATAGAGAGCAAAAGCAGGTTTACCACTTTTAAAACAACAGAAGTAGTATAATTACTTGATAAGGTCTTTTGATAATTATTCCCATTAAGTGGGAATAAGTGATAAGTGATCATTATTTCCACATCAGTCCATCCAGATACATTCACAGAAAGTGCTAACCTCTTTATTCCTGACTACCATTCAAAGAAGAACCAATGTAAAACCAGAGGAAGCATGGCCATGAATCCAAGATAGAGCCAATCGTAAAGCTCTGGGGACTCTGTGCACGGCTGACAATACTTCTGTGCATTTGTCCTCTGTCCTCTTGGACACACCTACAAGGTATAAAAAGTGTGCACAGCTAATACTGGAGAACATAACACCCCCCAAAATCTCTCTATAAGATATCCCATTTAAACATGTTTAAACATGTTTCCATGTGCATCTTTTAAAAATCAACTAAGAGAAAGCATAAGTAAAATAAAAAGAAATCTACAGTGTATTGCCTATATCTGCATAATGCTCTTAAAGGGGTCCTTTCACTAAGTTACTAAATTAGCTGAGTAGTAGTAAATGAAGAACCTAGTTATTAATAGTGTATAAAAATAACTGCAAACAAGTATTCTGGAACTGTAAAGTGAACTTACTTGGATGTCCAAGTCACTGTACTATATCATTAATACAAATGAAAAATTACTACAACATTACAAAATGTTTTAAAAAATACAATAACTGTGATTGTCAAAAAGGATGTAGTATCCATCAATCAATCAATACTAAGACAAATATTTTATTAATGCCTATATA